TGAGAACAGAACGCGTAGATTGTTACTGCAACCTTCGATTGTTTCGGAAAAATAAGTTTCCCTCGTTCTACGTAGCACACTGTTGAACTTGCACAATGCATCTTTGAAGATCTCATGGTCAACTTGGAGATTTGACTTTCGCCACTTCCGCTCGGCTCTCCGGCACTCGCTCTTCTGTGCCCTGACAGAGTCTGCTTTTGTCCATGGCGCCTTTTGCTTATTTGTAACAATTTTGACCTTTACAGGAGCAATCGTGTCCAGAACATCCAAAACACTAGAGGTGACAGAGTTAAGTAATTCATCCACAGTAGAACACAACGTGTTATCAAAGTTTATCATCCCCATGAAAAGTTCACCTGTATTTTTGTTTATGTGTCTTCTTCTAACAATTGAGGATTCAGCTCGTGCTTTACTATTGAGACACATATCAAAAAATACACAGAAATGATCTGACAGAGCAACATTGGCCACATTTACATTTGAGATATTAACCCCTTTAGTAATTAGCAGATCGAGAGTGTGTCCTCTGCTATGGGTGGGGCCACTCACATGCTGAGTGAGACCAAAGGTTTCCAGCACAGAGCTCAGCTCTTTCGCGTATCTATCATTAACGTTATCTACATGTATATTAAAATCACCTATGACGACTAAACTATCAAAGTCTGTGCACACAACTGAAAGCAACTCGGTGAAATGATCAGTGAAACTATGACATGACTGTGGCGGCTTGTACACAACAATAATAAGAATAGAAGATTGTTTTTGTTCTATTTTAAAAGAGACATACTCAAATGAGGAAAATTTCCCAAGAGGTACTCTATGGGAGACAATACAATCTTTAAAAACTGCTGCTGTGCCTCCTCCTCTTTTATTTTCTCAAATTTCTGATTCAAATTTGAAATTTGGTGGTGTTGTTTCTATTAAAACTGCATTTTCTGTATTATGGTCAAGCCAAGTTTCAGTCATAAACATAAAGTCAAGATCATAAGAACAGATAGAATTATTAATTAAAAAGGATTTGTTGCATAGTGATCTGACATTAAGCAGAGCAAGGTTAAAAATAATATCAGTGTCAGTGGGTTTAGTTGATTGACTACAAAGAATTGGAATTAGATTTCCTGAGTTGGACCGTCTAACTGCTGTCCTTCTGTTATATTTGTGTTTATTCAAATTAAAACACATTTCTGAGCCGGTGCGAGGAACACACACAGTCTCTATTGGTTTAAAAAGTGAACTCTGTTTTACTTTGTTAAGTTCCAGATGCATGACTGAGTAAGCACCGTTCAGTGGCAGGACTGGTATTACACTGCCAGACGGACAGGGGTCAGTGTTTGCACCACAGTACTCACCCGGTGCTGGAGTGGAGGAGGAAGGTGGTAGTGGGGGCCGAGAGGCCTCGGATGTAAACAGTCACGCCCCCCTCGGGGAGCACTGAACAACATGGCGTAAAAAGTCCATCAATAAACTGGTACCGTATCTGTTCGGGTGCAGACCGTCTGGACGATAGGCCACGTGACGCTTCCAGAACAGGCCAAAGTTGTTCACAAAAACAAAGTTAAAAGTGCTGCATGCAGACTGGAGCCACATATTCAGCGCCACAGCGCGACTGTAGAGGCAGTCACCCCGGTTTACAGTCGGGACTGGACCAGAGATAAAAACACACAACCCGGAGGACTGGAGGAGGCGGAATAGATCCATAAAATGCTTCTTTGTGACCTCGGACTGCTGCAGCTTCATGTCGTTGATCCCCACATGCACGATTACCTTTGAAATGGTATCAGGCAGGGAGTGAAGCAGAGGAGGGAGACAGATGAGCAGGTCTGGTACAGTGGCTCCGGGAAAACACTGAGTGACCGCGTTAAAAAAAGCGGACGTGCCTCACAATGGAATCTCTAACAATCAAAGTAGTCGGGGCGAAGAGTGGACGTAGCCGCGGAGAGAGCGCTCGGTGTCCATGGCCGGAACCAGCGGGCTCATCCAGGGATGAGTCCGAACCAGGGCGCTGCTGAACACATGGAGGGGAGCGGGGGTGTTGATTCTCAGCTCCGGGCAACCCACGCTGTGTGCTCGGGGACGCTGGAGCGGCGTGAGGAGCAGGCTCGGGTCGCTGCTGCTGACCCGGTGAAGGTAAGTGGTGGTGATGCACTGGGGTCAGAGAAGGGGAATGACCACTCTTTCGTCTGAGGACGGCTTCCTTTAGGAGCGTTTTTCTCGCAGTGGACTTAGATCCACGAACGGCAGAGTACGCTGCAGAGTCCAGAGGTTCTGCTGAGGGGGCTGGGATGTCAGCGGAGAGGGCTGCATAGCGGTTTGAAAGGCTCAGGACATGGGCCACGGCGCTGGATGGCTCCTCGCAGTTCGCGGGTTCCTCATTCGGAACCGGGCGCTTAGGTGTAGAACAGGAGGGTCCAGAGCTGACAGATCTCTCCCACACGACAGTGTCACAGTATGCAGCGCTCAGTGACATAAGTTGTGAGTGCTGCCCGCCAGCGACATCAAAAAGTTTGGACACGAGTGATTGTTTTTCCTGTAGCTCTGCAGTGAGGCGAAGGACTTCTTTACGGAGGTCTGCAATAGTGGCACGGTCCCTCTCACGAAACTCCAATGTGAGGCGACTAATGTCGTTTATAGGGTTTGTGGTTATTGCAGTGTCGCTTTCCATGTCTGTGTAGGTTTAATAAAAGCTCATGACGTGGTGCACTCGTGGTGCCTAGTACCTAGCTTTAGCATCCTTTAGCTTTAGCATATTGACATACTGTAATGACACTGAAGTCTTCAGATTTACTATGAAGCCGCTCTACTGCATGTGTGCTTGTCAGCTTACGAGTCCAACATAATATTCAGTGGGAAACAGAGAAATCCTTAAAAATAGCTGGCAGATCTGACATTAAGCATAGTACGTTTCAAAGTATCAGCGGTTGTGGTCGGCTGATTCCAGAGATGAGGGGGGAGAGAGTTCCAGAGATGAGGGGGGAGAGAGTTCCAGAGGTGAGGGGGGAGAGAGTTCCAGAGGTGAGGGGGGAGAGAGTTCCAGAGGTGAGGGGGGAGAGAGTTCCAGAGGTGAGGGGGGAGAGAGTTCCAGAGATGAGGGGGGAGAGAGTTCCAGAGATGAGGGGGGAGAGAAGTTCCAGAGGTGAGGGGGGAGAGAGTTCCAGAGATGAGGGGGGAGAGAGTTCCAGAGGTGAGGGGGGAGAGAGTTCCAGAGGTGAGGCGGGAGAGAGTTCCAGAGATGAGGGGGGAGAGAGTTCCAGAGGTGAGGGGGGAGAGAGTTCCAGAGGTGAGGGGGAGAGAGTTTTTATACATATATAAAAACAAATTGGAATCACCCTTGAACATATACTAACTTTGCAATATCCACATCAGCTCCAGCATTGAATAGCCCACACATAATGTAGACATCAAAACGCTGGATAGTAGCCATTGATTCTTTCAGTTTTCTCCACTCTGCAATTGACAAGGGCCGATCCGGAAGCTCTGCTAAAAAATATAAAACACCAGTGGTAAAGTGCCAGCGTATTAGTAAGTGTAAAGCACGTCAGCATTGCTTAACTGTACCTGATATTTTTGGTTTTCGGCCATCCAGATTTGTTGTCTCAGAGTCCAGACCGGCTTTTCTCTTCATGATTTCTGCTGTTCTCTTGGCAGTCCCAGCAGCAAACACAGATTTGGAAGAGCGCTGCAAAGAAGGATCTCTCCAATTTCTTTGTCCATTCTCTTTTGCATTTGTGTCTCTCCCAATCGTGTAGTCCCGTTGCTTTTCATAATCCTTGTTTTGGGCTTTGTTAACCACTTTGTTCCTTTGAAATGTCTCTTTATAGCTTAAACAGCGAGCATTTAAGTAACATTGTGACACCGGCTGCCATTTGGCAACAGTCCCTAGGTTGGACACAGTGTTAAAATGTCTTGAAAAAATGTTGAGTTTGCATATAACGCTTGACTGCATAACAGCATCAAACTTCAATTCAATTCTAATGACTTGTTAATGACTGCTTGGGCGTAAAATAGTTGAATAACCTCAGAAGAAACAAAACATCGACAAATAATTAAAATACATTTGCACATTTCATATAATTCTGTAGATTATTATAGTCGTCAAATATATAATTCCCACACTAGTTGGAATTATAATTGCTCTTACATATTATTGAAGAGTAGCTCAGAAGTCATGAAGAGAAGGCATGTTTTCAGTCGCGTGTTTGACGTCATCAACATTGGACAGTTTCTTGCGGATGTAAACATGATGTAAACATAACTAAAAAGAATAGTAACAAATGTAATGTTGCTGCTAAATGTTTTGTGTTCACAGATTTCTTGAAGTAAATCTTCTGTAACGTTTAAAGGATGTAAAGCACTAACGCAGCTTCAGTCTGATTTACTCTGAAAAACCGAGCGACAACGAATCCGTTTGTGTTTATGAAAATTTTTTCCATGGAAAGTTCTGGTTAACAATAGTTTTCCTCAGTATTTTGCGTTTGATAACATGGAAAACAAAAAAGGAGATCACTGGTCTGACGTATTAAAGAGGAGGCAAGAAAAAGCTTCAAAAGGTATGACAGTGAAGCTAATAATGCTAACGATGCTAGTGATGCTAATGCACGTAAGCTAACCCTTTACAAAATGATGTTAATGTTAAATGCATGTTCGGTTGACAGCTGAAAGGAGCGAGGAGGACAAAAAGGCAGAAGAAACGGAACTATTCACGAAGTTTTACACAGAGTGGAAGGGAGGAGGCCACAAAGACAAGTCCTACAACAACATCCCACGGTTTTACTACAAAGTAATCACACTTCATATAATATCAAACATAAAATGCATGCTATTTACAGAGGGATATATTATTATTACTTATCCCGTAAACAACACTTTGAAAATTAGACATGACTGTGATTCCAGCTTCCAGCAGAAGATGAAATACTGCTGCAAAAGCTGAGAGAGGAATCAAGAGCTGTGTTTCTACAACGGAAAAGTCGAGAACTTCTTGATAATGAGGAACTACAGGTAAATATGTAATTCTTTATTCATTCATTTGTCCATGCCGTCATGTATATCCCCTTTACATTTGTGCAACTAACAAACAATTAGAAAAAGATGGAATACACAAACCCTTATAAACCCTGTCTCTTGTTTAGCTGGTTTAGATATGTAATTATATATATGTTTTTCTTACAGCAAATAAGTGTCATCTTTGGTCTAATGTTTATTTGTTTTGGCAGAATCTTTGGTTTCTTCTCGATAAACATCAAGTGCCTCCGATCACAGGAGACGAGGCCATGATTAGTTATGAAGCGTATCTACAAGTGGGTGAAAAAGCTGGACCCAAGTGCAAGTGAGCAGACCAGTGTCCAATGTTTACTACTTCCATGGCTATAATGTAAGGCAAGGCAAGGCAAGTTTATTTGTATAGCACAATTCATACACAAGGCAACTCAAAGTGCTGAACAAAACAAGAAAGCATTAAAATCATAAATAATCACAGAACATTAAAAAGAAAGGTACAAACATAAAATCCCTCAGTTGTATGCACAGCTAAACAGAACTGTCTTTAACCTGGTTTTAAACATTGTCAGAGAGGAGGCCTGTCTCACATCTTCAGGAAGACTGTTCCAGATTTTAGCAGCATGAATCTGAAAAGCAGCCTCCCCATGTTTAGTTCTGTGTATGTGTCCTGCTTCAACAAACTCTTCATTTTGATGCTTAGAAAGTTCTTTACTGCCCGGGTGTATGCCAAGCTGCTTCACAGTGACCCTTATGGAAGGATCTCCATCATGCAGTTCTTTAATTATGTCATGAGGAAAGGTAGGATGAGTTTTTGTTTCCGTGACACATATGAACTGTCAAACACATTTTTTTTTGCTTTCAGTGTGGTTACATCAGACCCGGATTGGCTTGAGTCTGTATGATGTGGCAGGGCAGGGTCACCTCCGAGAATCTGTGAGTTTGTCAGTAATAAACATAAACACACTGTACTTACTCTAATGAACCATCCTTCTGCTGCATTCAGGATCTTGAGAACTACATTTTGGAATTGATCCCGACCCTGCCTCAGCTCGATGGACTGGAAAAGTCATTTTACTCTTTTTATGTCTGCACTGCTGTCCGCAAATTCTTTTTCTTCCTCGACCCTCTGCGAACAGGTTAACTCCACTATTTAAAAACAGGAATTTAATAGTATTTGTGTCAGGATCATTGTGTTTCTTTTTGCTCAGGAAAGATAAAAATCCAAGACATTTTGGCATGTAGTTTTTTGGATGACTTGTTAGAGGTACTGTCTGTTTTATTAATATAAACACGAACACTGTTTACGTTTGCATCAAGGTTGCTTTTAACAAGGGACTTTTGTTTTCTTCTTACTCTCTGCTCAGTTGAGAGATGAAGAACTGTCCAAAGAGAGTCAGGAGTCAAACTGGTTTTCAGCCCCATCTGCCCTCAGAGTCTACGGTAAATCATTTTTGTTTAGCCACTTTAAAATGTAGTTTTACTAAGCCCCAATTAGTGAAATGTTTCAAACCTCTCTCCAGGCCAGTACCTTAATCTGGACAAGGATCACAACGGCATGTTAAGCAAAGAGGAGCTGTCACGTTATGGAACAGCCACTTTGACTTCAGTCTTCCTTGACAGGGTTTTTCAGGAGTGCCTTACGTATGATGGAGAAATGGTACAATAACTTTATTTTATTGTATTTTTTTTTATTTTTATATATATAATTATTTTAATGTTATGATGCAGGACTACAAGACATATTTGGATTTCGTTTTGGCCTTGGAAAATCGAAAAGAACCCGCTGCCTTGCAATACATCTTCAAACTCTTGGACATGGAGAACCAGGGATATCTCAACGTTTTCTCTCTCAACTACTTTTTCAGGGTACTGCCCCGTTCCAATCCTTAAACCTGTGTGTAAAAATAAGGTTTACATGTTATCTTTTTTAGGCCATACAGGAGCAGATGAAAGTTCATGCCCAAGAGCCCGTGTCTTTCCAAGATGTCAAGGTAAGTTCCACAGATTATGACATTATTCAGGTACGACTCAAACGACTGCTTTTTCTTTTCTAGGATGAGATTTACGACATGGTCAAGCCCAAAGATCCATATAAAATTACTTTACAGGACTTGGTGACCTGCTGTCAAGGAGATACTGTTGTTAGTATACTGATTGACCTCAATGGCTTCTGGAGTTACGAAAACCGGGAAGTGCTGGTTGCCAATGACAACGGCAGTAGCAACGCAGCCGACTCTGACGACACATGAAGTAAAAGTGTTTTATATCATTCAACTTATTTATTGTATAATTAACTTTTACATGCTTTCATTTGAACCGTTACAACACTTTATGTAATGTTTTACAGCCAAAAACAACACAAGTAAAAAAATTCTCATGATTTTATTAAAACATAAAATAAATCTTTACTATGTACAAATCAAAGTGTTTCTTCAATCTTTAAAGTCCTTCACAATGGTTCATTCAAGACATGAGGGTCCTTTACTGATGTCCCTTTAACTCCATTGTCCCATGAATTGTAAGAACCACTGAACAAAAGCATTCAAGTTTTATTTTGTTAAGATATAATAAAATGGCGTACATTTATATAAAAATAGGTTTATAGGGGAATTGTTTTTTGGCAAATCACAAGGCTATGGTAAAACATTTGTAGGACTGAAGCGTGTTAAAATGACACATTCTCATGTCTGATAATCATGTAATTAGGATTATGCTAACTACTGTACACTGAGCAAGGGCACTTTGAGGATTATTAAAAAGTTTGAGCTCTCATTAACCTATTTCTACTCTTTTTAAAAATATGCCTACATTTTATTAGAGCTGAAAAAATAAATGTAGTGACTGGTGAAAAAACTAGAACGAGATAGAAAATAACTAGTATTAAATATAATATATACGACGACATTTTAATTACTATTTGTAGCGTCTTGGCCGTCGCGTGATTGATCACTGTCAAAGTTTATGTTTACAAACGCGGACTCTGGTTGTTGCGTCGTTTCAGAATCACTCGTTTTCCTGCTCTGTTCAAACTGTCGCTCTGCTTCATCTGCGAGACGGTTCTCCTCCTCTTCTTCCTCCTCCTACACACATATACAAAACACATGCACATAAACCAGCGTTGCATTTGTTTTTAGTCTAATCAAACAAAAGAAGTTGTGGCCTCACCTCCTTCTTTATACGGTAGTACTCATCGATAGCATATTGGTACTTTGGTGTAGTGATGCCAAACAAAGAAGCTAGTCTCTCACCCATGTAATCACATACTGTAGGTGAAGAGCCATATTAGTCTCTGTATTCATGAGTTTATATTATTTTTTCAAGCAGAAATAAATTAATTTGTACACTGTTGTTTTACCTGAGACAGTGGAGGTGGCCATTCTCCACATTTGAAACCAGACATATGGACCCCAAGTCATTTTGGACTTAAACATAAACATAAACACAGTCAGAACCACACAGTAAAGAAATGAAGACATATTTGACCTACAGTATCTACTGGCAGAACATCTTTCCGAGCAGGTTCTTCTTCCTCCTCCTCCTCCTCATCTGTGCTGAATTCTTCCATGGTTTCCCCACTGGCAAAGTAGATGGTCCTCCGTGGTACCTTGACCTTCTTTTGGCTCATGTCTCGCATTTCCAAACAAGTTGACACATCCACGCCCTTAAACAAGGATTTAACCAGGTAATTATCTATTGCCACGACTCAGGTAAGTAGCTTATATAAGATAAGATGAGATAAGATAAACTTGGACAATGGATTCACAATAGATTTACAATGGACAAATGCATATGTCACATTTCGCATTGATAGAAAACTCAGGGTGTGTAAAAAGACAGTAAGTGTTAAAAGGTTAGGGTCTCTTTTGTCCAGGATAAATTATGTACAATAAGAAAATTAAATAAAAATAAATTAAATTAAAATTAAAGGTGACTATAACCGTGCGTGAATATAAACATTTAATTGTTATAAAGCTTTACATTTTTAAAAAGCTGTATGTGTATCATCAGTCATATAATGTAAACTGTGTAATATGATACCACAACTTTGTATTTATAAACAAATGATGCTTATTATTAAAAATGGTTTAAGCTACCGTTAGAGTTAGCTAGTGCTCCTGCTAAGGAAGTCAGTCCGCTGTTCTTTAAGTGGAACCACAGCTAAGGTTTAATCACAGCTAAGCTCTACACATAAAAATAACTTACCTTTTCATTATCCATAGTTTGAGCCAACGAAATGTTTGCGTTCGTCAAATACAGAGACAAATGTGCCATATCTGTTAGCCACACAGCGTTAGCTCACTATGTTGACACAGACGTTACTTCCGTCTCTTTTTGCTCTCTTTGTCATTTCAAAATAAAACGTTTCCGCTCATATTGTAACTGTTTTCACACAAAATAGATTATGTTAAAAAACAATTGTAACATTTCTTTCTCGACAAATCAATACATACATTTCCAAAACTGAATACATTATCATCATTGTTTTCATTATATAAGCCTGATTTATCTTTTTTTTTTTTTATCTTATTTAAATCTTATTTTGAAAATCTAGCCGGATCTTCCTTTCCCTTAGCTCAGCTGTCTTTGAACGAGAAGCTTTGAGGCTGTTTTGGTCCAGTCGAGTCGCCCCAAAATGACAGCTAAGAAGTCTGGCTCACGACTGGAGACAGAAATTGAGCGGTGTCGGTCTGAAACACAATGGGACAAAATCCCGGAGCTGGTCAGGCAGCTTTCAGCCAAGCTCATCTCCAATGGTAAGAAACATTAGCTGCTCTGTGTTCATTCAAAGCCACGGGCCTTCTGCACCGTCCTCCACACTTCCTGACAGCAATGCTCACACTGGGACATGACTAAACCCAGACTTATTGAATGTATTTTCAATGCGTTATAATTGTATATTTAACTCGTTTATGGCTGTAAACAAGTCGATAATGTCACTGAAGGTTAAAGGTGCAATGTCATCTGTAACGTTACATTCATTCATTCAGTATTTTCTATTCATTTTCAACACTCTCAGCCCAACTAAATATGTGTGTGTGAACTGAACGAAATACAATCTCAGTATTTGGAATCTTATACTGTGTAACAATAGTGTTATAGGAATATGGAATAGAAAGTTTTATTTTAAAACCAGCTCTTGCAGGGTTAAAATATGTGTGTTCCCTATGAACTTGGAGCATTGTTATGACTGTTCATAATACCGGTTGGTATGTGGTACTTATAGGCGCAAGCATTCTTTTTATATTTACAGAGAACTTTTTAATGCTACATTCATAAAGCTTTCTCACACAGATGACCTCGGAGAGCTGCTGTTGGGGGAGTGTAAACTGCAGACCTATCTAAAGGAGAATCCCATCAAACAGGGAGCAAGTCCAAGAGGCTCCCGGCCCACACTGGTTGAGGTCAGAAAGCACCTCACTGCAGCTTTGGACCGGGGAAACCTCAAGCCTGACTACCTTCAGGAAGCCAGTCTGCTGATGGCTAAGCTCTGTTACGTGGAAGGGGACTACAATGATGCTTTGAGTAAGGATTGTAGCCCACTTTGATTCAAATACTTTATTGTTTTAAAAATTAATAATTCATGATCCCAAATGATTAGGTAACTACAACAAGGTCAATCTGGATGATCTGCAGCTTGGAGGGGCTCCTGTCTATAGGCTTTCTATGATTGCAGAGGCATATGCAACTAAAGGTACAAAAATTTCAGGGTAGAGTTATTCTATTCTATTCTATTATACTAGTGCGATGTATTAATTTATCGACCATGCACGACTTGTAGTTCTGTATTTCAGCTTTGCCTCCACATGGTGGTAGTAGTGTGCTACTTGTAGTTAAGTAGTTACTTGATTGGGAATATTAAGAAACATGTGAATATGTGAAGTCTTTTGGGAACAGAGCAATAAACAGATGTTGTTTTATATAGCCTAGATATATGTATTTTGTCTCCTTTATTTCAGGTCTATGTCTTGAAAAGGTGCCTGCCTCGTCTCCATCTCTGACCAACAAAAACACAAGCTCCCCATCATCTAACAAGGGCACAACAGCAAGGGAGCAGGAAATCATCACATGCTATGAAAAATCAGGGGATATTGCACTTCTTTACCTGCAGGAAGCCGAGAAGGTGTGCTATTAGTTAACAGTAGTTTAATTTTGATCCGGTTAAAGTATATTTAAATCAGCCAATTATTATATATATCGTGCATGCTTATTACAGCCAACTTGCAAATCACATGACATCCTAAACCTATGCCCCTCTCATGAATCTATTATTATAAACAAACTGTACGATATTTAAAATTGAAAATCTGTGTTGCAAAGTTTCTGCAGTGTTGGACAGTGGCTAGAAAATTAGATAATACATATAACCGGGTTATGTATATTTGTTCGGTGGAAATGTACTTTGCAATTACTAGTGTTTATGAGTTTTCCTTTGTGTAGGCCTTGTCCGCAGGAATGCAGAACCGTAGTCCTAAACCAGGTCCAGCGACTCAGGAACAAGAGTTGGGCTATTTTCTGGAGACTGGAATGCAAAGAGCTCATGTCATTCACTTCAAAAATGGGTGAGTGAAATATGTGTGTAATTGTGTTGTCATCAAATACAAGAAATCCAACCAGCGCAACCAGTAAACACCATTAACGCACCATATGGGATTCAATTACAATAAACGGCTTTACAATGATTCTTTCAAAAACGCTCTTAGGGATTGTTTTGCTTATTTGCTACTTTTGTGCAGCAACTTGACCCGTGGTGTGGGGCGATTTCGAGAAATTCTTCGGGCTGTGGAGACAAGAACCACTCAGACCTTGCGCATGGTGAGTGATGAGGCTCTACCAGCTGTAACCATAATTCAGACTACCAGATGACTTTGAATGTGATGACTTTGAATGTGATTTTCGTCCATGAAGACCATAGCGAGACAGCTTGCGGAGATCTTGCTTAGGGGGATGTGTGAGCAGAGTTACTGGTCACCCCTGGAAGACCCGCCCACTGTGTCGCCATTGGACGATCCCACTCGCCACGGACATGTTCTCAGCAAGAATTACACTCTGACCCGGCGTCCTCGAGTCTACTCTGGGGAAAAGTAAGTGTTAAGGCATTTCACTAAACTTGGACAGCAGAAAAAAATAGGCCAAAATGCAGCTAAAATTGGCAGCGATGGTAATTATTTTTCCTTAAATTTGATCTGGTTTGTGAATACATTTGACTCCCTCTTTCTCTCCTCAGCCTATTTTGCCCTCAGGAGAATACAGAGGAGGCACTACTGCTTCTTCTCATTAGTGAGTCCATGGTAAGCACCCATTTATATGTCTGGATAACATATTTTCAGCATCCAATACGATAGATAGACACTTTATTGACCCTCGTGGGAGAAATTCATGTGTACAGTAGCAGCAAAAACACACCCATCCACAAAAAATAAACAAATGGATAGATCATTCTAAAAAGCTAACATTAGTAATAATAAGAAACAGCACTTCAGGTCACAGCAGCAGAGGTGGGCCATCCGCTGGGGGTGGGGCTGGATGGGTCAAAGCAGCAGAGGTGGTTCGGACCATTTTCTCTGCTCTGGTCCAAAATTAAATGCTAAATGGTTATGTACATTCAAAGCCATCCACAACCTGGCTCCTCCATACCTGACTGACCTCCACACTGTCCGCTCCCTCCGCTCCCTCCGCTCCTCCTCCTCTCTCCAGCTCCTGGTCCCCTCTTCCTGCCTCGTCACCATGTGGAGTAGAGCCTACAGCCAATTTTTAACCCGCCCAGCTCTGGAACAGTCTCCCCCATCACCTCTGTAACACCGACCCACTCTCACACTCCAAAGCCACTCTAAAATCTCATCTGTTTAGACCTAAGCCCACTCATTACTACCCCAGCATCAGTTCATGCTGCTTTTAAAGGAGAAGTATGTAAAAATGTTGCCAAAAGTGATATTGCAGCCTCTCCTAGATTCAGGTTGCCAGATATGCAGACGAAGATTTAGGGATTGTACATTTAATTTTGAGAGTTGAATATCTCTGAACCACTGCTTTCAGTTAAAGAAGTATTGGAAAAGAGCAGTTTATTAATGCCTTTTTATAGATTAGGGCCCTTTAATGATGACTTGACATGAAAATCTTACATATTGCCACTTTAACCTTGTAATATAACTGTTTTAAAACACACTTTTTACTTGTGATGTAAGGGGACCTTGAGTGTCAAAGGCAGAAATAAAATGTATTATTATTACTATTATTAATTGTCTGCAAGTTGCCAGATAACTCCTCATAATGTAATGTTTTGCTGTCGCGAAGGCAAACCGTGATGCTGTTTTGAGCCGCATACCAGAACACAACAACGATCGCATCATCAGCCTCCAGTCCGCTTCTGTGGTGTATGATCTTTTGACCATTGCTCTTGGACGGAGAGGGCAGTACGAGATGCTTTCCGAGGTAAGAGCCAAGTTTATTACCACCCAACAACACAACACGCCATGTCTTTAAATGTACTGTGAATATCCTGCTGATACGATACGTCCCCAGTGTTTGGAACGAGCAATGAAGTTTGCTTTCGAGGAGTTTCATTTGTGGTACCAGCTCGCTCTTTCACTGATGGCTGCTGGGAAATCCGCTCGGGCCGTCAAAGTTCTCAAAGAGTGCATTCGCTTGAAGCCGGACGATCCCACAATCCCGCTACTTGCTGTCAAACTTTGCATTGGGCCTCTTCACTGGGTAATCTATTGTGTCTTGATAACGTTCATCTGTTTCTACTATGGTACAATTGTGTGTTATTTTGTTGCAGTTAGACGAAGGAGAGACATTTGCAAAGATGGTTATTGAGATGGGGGAGAAAGCAGCAGAGTTCAGAGCCAAAGGGTACTTGGCCATAGGGCTGGTTTATAGCCTTAAAGCCACAGATGGTAAAAGAAATCAGTGCAACTAAAGTCTTTAAAATATCTATCCACATGATATCTTACTTTTCTCTGTGATCTCAGCGTCATTGAGAAGTTTGCAAGAGGAATACCAGAGAAAAGCTTTAGGGGCATTTCAAAGGTGAGCCTTCTGTCGCACAATGTCATAACAAATTTAACCTTTTGTAATTATTATTATTTATTTTTGTTGATAATGTGTAGAGCCCAGAGTTTGTCACCTACCGACCATTTAGCAGCTTTCTACCTGGCTCTTCAGCTGGCTGTGTCACGGCAGGTAAAAGCAAAACAAAGGACTAATGTTGAATTTTACGCAAGGGAACCAAACTTTTTTCTTTGTAAATGACAGATTGTCTACGTCCCAACAAAAACAGTCTTGTTAAAAGTGAAATGCCGTGAACCAGAATGCAACATGGTGTCTTAATCCTATTAGATGATGATGACAATAATAATAAGAAGAATAGAATTGGTGTTTGTCCCACAGTGGGGAGATTTCAAAGTTGCAGCGCACATACAGGACAGTAGTAAGACCACACAATATATACAATATAAGCTATGTTTCTTAGCTCGCTGTACATTCTTCAATATCTATCTAATAAATCTCTATATATATATTTTACAGGGTGAAGTTATACACATAGGGCAGGGTGAGGAGATAAAGTGATATTCAGTGGACATTCTGAAATTGCAGTATTTGGTTATATTTTATGTTATTATGAAAGAGCCCTGTCAATCACTGTTAGGGCGGCACGGTGGCTGAATAGGTATCACTCTCGCCTCTCAGCAAGAAGATCCTGGGTTCAAATCCCGGTCAGAACGGGGTCTTTCTGGGTGGAGTTTGCATGTTCTCCCCGTGCTTGCATAGGTTTTTTCCGGGTACTCTGGTTTCCCCTACCACTAAACACATGCTCACTAAGTTAATCCTCCAGCTCTGGTCCTGACCAAGCCGAGCATCAACATCTGGAGATGGGTTCCCGGGCGCTGTTACTACGGCGACCACTGCTCCTGACGTAAGCCTTAGCGGCATCAGGATGGGTCAAATGCAAAGGATTGAATTGCCCTACGGGGATTAATAAAGTGCACCTTTAGCTTTACCCATTTTACTAATTGGGCTAAAAGTTGAACAGCTATTGAGGATGGTTACCTCATGTTTTTACTTCTCTGTCTGAAAAAAGCGACAGATGCCAAAAACGCTTATTTGTTTATTTGGACTGACTTGTAACACTCATTAACACGTTGACACCTCTTTTTTATAATTTAATTTAACCAGGAAACCATTGATATTAAGAACCTGTTTTTCAAGGCTGTCCTGGCCAAGAGGCAGCAAAGTGACACATAAACACAACAGACGGATACAAATAAATTAAAAATGACAGGTACAGACAACACACATCAAGTAAAACATTTAACAAACATTTACAGGTGATTGAGGCCGTCTGAGTTAAATATGTTTAATTTTACTGTTATGATTTTATTAGATAGTTTTAATAGATTTTGTGATTTTATTGTAAAGCACTTTGGTCGCCTTGAGTGCTGTAAAGGTCTCTGTGAATAAAAATGTATTGATTTGAATTGGAAAAACACCTGTGAAGACCGTGTTTTAAAACTTTGCTTATACACCTTTTTATATTTTTAAACCTTCACTTTTTATATACTTTTACGCCTCTAATAAATCATGTTTAATTTGCGAGTGAGACGGTGTGCGGGAGTCGTTCTCTCGATCACATTCGGCTATACAGGCCTCTCCTCCTACGCACCCGATCTGTAGGTATTGATGTGCGAATCCCTACCCCAGTCACTTAAAGGAGCTATACCTGTTTCTGCAAGGTTTCAATGTTTAGCCCCGCCCCCAACTCGCTCAGAGGCTTCTCATTTCCCCTACGCTCTCATCCCACGGAGCCGTCTAGTTTTATTTACAATCACTGATGAAATGGTACAAAAGCAACGCACTGCTGACAAAATATATAACTGAAAGATTACCACTAGTTCCGTGTCCGAATGTAGTCCGAGCGTAGACAGTCCGAGCATAGATAGTCCGAGCATAGATAGTCCGAGCGTAGATAGTCCGAGCGTAGACAGTCCGAGCATAGATAGTCCGAGCATAGATAGTCCGAGCGTAGATAGTCCGAGCGTAGATAGTCCGAGCGTAGATAGTCCGAGCGTAGATAGTTCGAGCGTAGATAGTCCGAGCGTAGATAGTCCGAGGCGGTCCCGCAGGTCTCTCCCATAGACCAGTCTCTCCAGAGGATACGATGTAAGCTAGCTCTGTTCAGGGCTTGGTTTCGTCTTTGATCATGTTTTGGCTTTAGTTCCTCTTCTCTTCCTCACTGTTGTGTGGTTTGGGCTGTTTTGCTGTGTCTGCAGTTACAGCCAGAGCAGTTATAGCCACTTATGCTAACATGCTACTGTGTTTAGCAGCGCTGTAGAGGCTAGAGGACGCAGCCTCGTTCTGTGATTGGAGGAGAGCAGGCGTCACGCTAATTTTCTACTCAACACTTTTTACGGCCTGAATTCATACACAGCTGAATCAAAGAGCTCAAGTTTTCAATTAAATTACGGATTATAATTAGGGCTGTCAAAATTATCGCGTTAACGCACGTTAATTAATTGTTTTCATTATTGGCGTTAAAAAAATTAACCCATTTGACGCATGCCCATGCGTCCCATAATAACACTCAGAATGCCGTGGACACATCCGTGTGTAAGATGGGGACAGAGCAGGTCTCTGGGAATTCAAGTTTTGAAAGAATACACGCGTGACCGCGGGGCACTTGTAGTTTCCTGTATGAACTCTGCATGATGAGCTGCGGGCGCCACAGCGCTCTGGACCGTTCCCACTTCCAGCGGCTGTGATGACGGCGAACGGCGCTGCGTAACGGAATCATATCCAAGACCACGCACAGAACTATTACAGAACTATTCTCTAGTGTGCGTACGTGTCTTTGCGTAACCGATGCACACAATATGTACAGCGCTGAAGCTGGACTGCGGAGCCTCAGTCTCCTCCGTGTCTTCTCCCGAAGCGAAGTAAAGCTGAGGTACCTAATTTTCCTTTCGACTACCAGTTCATGTTAGTTGTGCCAAAAAAGTAATGGTGTGAGCAAATCAAACATATTTAATGACATTCTGCTTCAGACTATTTTGAAATGTCTCTCATCTGTAACAAACAATGGTTTTGGTCTGAGTCTAAACAGAAAGACAGAATGTTAATAATGTTAATTCCATTTTATATGGATTTATTGTTATAACAAACAAATACAGTTCATATGTTCACTAAGCTGTCATTTATCTTTCCATTCAAACAACAATTTACAGAAAAATATGGCATAATTTTGCCAATAGTTTGAAATGCGATTAATTTTGATTAATTAATTTTTATGCTGTAATTAACTCGATTAAAAAAATTAATCGTTTGACAGCCCTAATTATTACTACACACAAGTTGTATTATAAGCATTTTTATGAAAAAAATTGGGTATAGCTTCTTCAAAACTTAACTTTTACTTGTGGTTAGATCCCTGAGGCTTTAGGATACGTGCGGCAGGCGTTACAACTGCAGGGAGATGACGTCCACTCCCTCCACCTGCTCGCCCTCCTGCTGTCTGCACAGAAACACTATCATGACGCTCTGAACATCATCGAAATGGCCCTGTCAGAATACCCAGAGAATTTTAAGTAAGGAAAATATATTTCTTTATTTTTTTTGTGAAGTCTGATACATTGTGATGTGTGGATGTTTCGTCTTTGCAGTTTGCTGTACACCAAAGTGAAGTTGGAGTCGATGTGCAGAGGGCCGGAAGAAGCGCTGCTGACCTGTAAACACATGTTGCAAATTTGGAAGAGTTTTTATAACCTGACCAATCCCAGGTATCTGACAATATTAGCTGGACTTTAACACACAGATTTTCTCTGCTCTGGTTTAAAGTAAAATACTAAATGCTTTGTTAGCATTTTTCAAAAAGTTAGCATTCCTCCAGTGGATTTGTACCTGATCCGTTTGCTTCAGCCCATGAATCCTTTCTGTTCTGGTCTGAACCAGTGTAAAACCATGAAGGAAAAAACAATTGTAAAACACAAAACAACAACTGTCTCAGAGACACTTTGGACTTACTGCAGTTTCCAGAACCTTCAAAGATAAATGGAATAAAATAATGTTCTTAGAAATCTTTGCTGAGGCGTGATCATTTCTCTTATAAATAAAGCCTATATACAGTCATTACTCTCGCAAAAACATACACTTTGCATTTAGAAGTAGGGTGTGATAGAAATGTATACAGTGAAAAACACAACACAAAACTTCTAGATTCACTTGGTTCTTGATTTTTCAAATGTGTTTCTACATTTTCTCTTCTGATGAAAATGTAGGCTCAATGATCACCCAAAGCCATTTTTCATCAGTAAATTGTAAAACTATGATTCTGTAGTAAATATTGTAACCGCTGTTGTGTGCCCCTGTGCGTCCTGCAGCGATTCTGGCCGTGGCAGCAGCCTCTTGGACCGAGCCATGGCCGACCGACGCCAGCTGAACGCCATGACTCTCCCGGACTTCAGCGACCCGGAGACTGGTAGGCCACGCTCAGACACAGGACCATTACAGTCAGGCCTCATCCACCTCCGTCCTGAGTCACATGTGCATCAGAGCAGTGTTTCTCAACCAGTGGGTCGTGGTACAGGGCGACAGTAGCTCAGTTGGTAGAGCATTGGCCTTAAGGCCAGAAGGTCGTGGGGCCAATTCCCACCTCTGCACCTTCTCCACCAACTCCCACTGATGACTGCTGTCGTTGTGTCCTTGGGCAAGACACTTAACCCCACTTTGCCCAAAGCCCCCACTGAAAGATCAAGGCTATGCTCACACTCAGAGAGCAGCCGTCCTCCTGTGGACTCACCACCTGCAGAGGGTCAGTGAGGGGCTGGTGCTATGAGACTTGGGTGGCATCTCTGACTGCCACCCCCCTGACCCAGAAATGGATTAAAGGGTAGAAAATGGATGGATGGATGGATGGGTCGTGGTACATTAGTGTGCCTTCAGAAGATGTTCGGTGTACCTTTGGGAATGATCCAATATCACCTAATGAGTCATAATACTGTGAAAAGTAAGAGAAAAATAAGATGTGTTTCATTTTTCTATCATTTTCAGCCGTTGGTGATTGTTTTCAATGAGAAAGCTGTGCCACGGCTCAGAAAAGGTTGGGGAACACTGCTTTACAGCCTTTAGAGTTTTCTCATAGAATAGGATTTTCAGCCAAACTACAGGTTTTACTCGAGAGTATTGGACCGTACTCAGATTTTTCCCATAGAAAAATACCCGTTTTTTGTCCCAACAGAAAGAGTCTTGGGAAAGTTATATTTTGTTCACGAATTAGACTACAACATCCCGTATACATCTTTAAAAATGTCGTCTTTTTGTGTCTCTTTGTGTCTTTTTGTACCTTTTTCACACTTTGAGAACCACTGTTGAAGCTGTTTCTACTAGACATATATTCATTGTTCTTTTTTGCTTCACCATTTTCTGTTTTCTTTTAGTTTCTGGTTCTTCCTCATCTCAGTCGGGCTCAGATCCAATCTCCCCCACCTCCCCCACCTTCCCCACCTCCCCCACCTCCCCCACCTCCCCCACCTTCTCCACCTTCTCCACCTTCTCCACCTTCTCCACCTCGCCCACCTTCCCCACTCCATCCTCTCCGCTGCCCTCCCCTTGCTCTCCGGTCTTCATTCTGCAGTCTCCCCCTTTCTCTCCGCTCAGACCCCTGCCCTTCACACCCACCACTCCCCTCCCGCCCTCACCCATCTCCCCCACGTGTTCTCTGCCGCCCATCAAGACCCAGACGCACTCGTTCTGTAGCCACAAGGCGCTGCGGCAGCTCTCCCACAGCTGTAATCCACCTGCTCGTGCCGTTGCTGTGGCATGGTGTGGAGAAGGCCTGATAGTTTTGATCATCACTGACATAATAACCCTGCATGGAAATCCCAGTCCAAGCAATAACAGAACACAGTTAGGGCCCGGTCAGGCTTGAAGGTCTTCAAGTGGACCAAGTGAGGTCAGGTCGGCAGTGTTTGTTAGTCCTCATTGTTTGTTGTACAGTCTGACAGCAGCAAGAAAGAAAAATAATATATATATGATTTATATTTTTCTCTCTCTCCCCATTTTTGAATCATTAACAGTCATCTTTTCTGTTTTCCGCCCCGCCGTTTTCTTTCAAGGAGGCCCTCAGGAGACTAATGCTCTTGGTTTTTCCTCCATGTTTTCTGTTTGTAAGTAGTAACGTAACCTCCATCTGACCTTCTTTCTACTTCCATTGTTCTTCTCAACTCCAGTCCTTTTCCTCTCCCAGAGAAGTTAGACTTATAAAATCTATCCACACATGCTTATATATCCACGGCTTCATAGTTAGGATCTCTGTCTTCTAGAGTAAGGTTGGAAAAGGAGTTAAAGGAATACATTAAACGGTCTGTAGATATTAGCAGAGTTTAAATCAAGTGTATTCCTTTAATTCACTGATCCGCTTTACTGCATGCATCACTTCATTCACAGCTGAAGGTCACAAACTTTTACCACGGGTTGAACACGGGTGTTTTTGAATTTTTTAATTTAGAAGAAAAGCTTTAAAGAAATGTCCAGATAATGTCCTATTAAACCAGGCTGAAGAAAAACCAACTCAAACATTGTCGTGTTGCTGCTGAAGTGGCCACACCTGCCTGTCAATGCTCCCATCACACCTCAGAAGCTAAGCAGGGCAGGGAAGGGCAGTTGGGTTTGTACGTTGATGGGAGACCTCTGGGATGCCACAGTTGGGCAGCTGTTGTGTCCTTCGGCAAGACACTTTACACACATTCTATGAGTCTGGTGTGTGCGAAAGATTGGTGATGATTGGAGCAGCCAATGGCACAGATGACCAGCCTCCCTCCTGGAAGTCTCCCCCAGGGCAGCTGTGTTACAGTATTAACTTACCACCACTGTTTGTTAGAGAATACTGCAATGTGAAGCGTCTTTGAGACTCCAGGAGGCGCTATAGACGTTTTATTTATTATTATTATCATTATTGCATTAAACCATTTCTTTAAAGACGTTTGTGTGAATACTAACTAGAGAAACTACTACATTTTAAGGTGAACAAAGCTTTGTTGCTTTGCTTTCACAAATTTGCTGTGTGCATTCGCTGCACTTTGCAGCCATTTTACATCCCTGTGTTATTGTGCATGGAGCTAAAGCCAGGCCCACTTTCCTAATGTACTAATGAGCTGCGTTTATGTGGTGTTGCAGAATCCTGGGTAATCCAGGCTTTTTCATGTGCCAGTTTGGGGGTCGCTCGTTTGCACAGATTTAAACCATATCATGTGGTTAGAATCCTAAATGCTGTGACTGAAGCCTGGACCCTGGCACATGGCGCTCTGACACCAGATGATTCAGCTGCTCTGTGCTTAACTGTGGTCTCTCTCTTCAGGCTCGGTCCATGCCACGTCCATCGCAGCCAGCAGAGTGGAGCAGGCTTTGTCTGAAGTGGCCTCTTCTCTTCAGAGCAGTGCCCCCAAACATGGACCCCTGCACCCCTGGATGACACTGGCTCAGATCTGGCTGCATGCAGGTGTGTGTGTGTCTGTGTGTGTGTTATTCTCTTTAAATGTATGCATACAGGTGTATGTCTGTGTGTTATTCTCTCTCTATAAATGTCAAATGAACTCCAACAACTTTTCATCTCAAAGAAACTCCACACATTTTAACAACTTTATTCCAAAAATAAAAACGGTAAATCACACAGACAGCAGTTGTTTACTCTCCTGTTTATCTTTCTGGCTTCCACCTGTCACGTTTCCATCTTGACATCTTACAGTTAATTCAATCCACCCATCATAATTCAGATCTGCAGGCTCATTTCCTGCTTCTGTAGACAGTATTCTGTCTTGAAACAATTAACCAGGACGTCGTGACATTTAAACGCTGTGTGTGTCTCCTCTCTATTTGCGCTGCATGTTTGCCTTCATCAGCCGAAGTGTACATTGGGATGTCTAAGCCAGCTGAAGCCACGGCGTGCACACAGGAGGCAGCCAACCTGTTCCCCACCTCCCATAATGTGCTGTACATGCGGGGGCAGATCGCGGAGCTGCGGGGCAATATCGAAGAGGCCAAGCGCTGGTACGAGGAGGCCCTGTCCATCAACCCCACGCACGTGAAGACCATGCAGAGACTGGTAAAGCACCAAATGTACCATCTCCCCCATAGTCTCCACAGAACACAATTCCCTTCACTGATTAAGAGAGCCTTTATTATTATTAATTTAGTAATATAGTATTTCTTAGCTATGTTATTCAGTAATCAATTCAATGTATTTTTCTACAGCCATTAATTACTACAGCGGTCGTCTTGCTGGACTTTACAAAGTTGTTGATTAATAACACAAACATGCAATAATAACAAACTCATAGAAGCCATTGGTCCACAAATGTCCTTAAACGTCCTTAAACGTCCTGGTTCTTGGCTGTCACCTCTGACTTCACTGTCCCCGGAAAGGAACAACTGAAAAACCCAGTGGGGGGAAAAGTGACTAACTCTCACAGACAGGGAGGCTATAGCTCCAGGACTCAGGCTGTAGAACAAGTACTGAGGCTGTGCGGTGCAGGACTGACGAGGGGGGAGGGAGGGGGGAGGGGGGGGGGGGGGGTGTTTTGGAGTTGGTGCTACGGCTAAGCTAACAAAATCACTTTTTTTATACAGCGCCTTTCACAGACCAGAGTCACAAAGCGCTTTACAATTTTACAATTGTCATTTTGGGCATTTGTCTCTCACTCCACACAGAGATGGGAGAGGGTACAGGAGGCTCATGCCAGACCTATGTTATATATATATTTTTTGTATGTGCTGCTCAGATGAATTGTCCCTGGTGGGATTAATAAAGTCTGTAGTAGTCTGAATCTGAATTATTTGTGTCTGTACTAAATCCCTCCTCCTCCACAGGGCCTGATCCTGCACCAGCTTCAGCGCTACAGTCTGTCTGAGAAGGTCCTACGAGACGCCGTGCAGGTCAACAGGTTTGGGGTCCTCGCGGCGCTTCATTCCTTCAGCCATCTTCACTTTCCCTGACGTGTCTTTCCTCGTGTCTTTTCAGCACTGCTCACGACGTCTGGAACAGTCTGGGCGAGGTGCTGCAGGCCCAGGGAAACGCCGCCGCAGCCACAGAGTGCTTCCTAACGGCGCTGGAGCTAGAGGCCAGCAGCCCCATTCTGCCATTCACCATCATACCAAGAGCTCTATAACAAAACACACTCATCTATACTTTCAACATTGTTCAAGGACAAATCAATCATTCGGGAAAAACCATGATAGCATGGATACTCTTGGAAGCGGTCGGATGCTGTGCTGGCAAAGTTGGAAAATAGTCTTATAAAGAAGCTCTGTGCCAAAATCCTGCTAGTTCCTGTTAGGGCAGCTGCTCTTTAACCCCAATATGTGACTGGCTGTGGGAAAAGAGTAGTAGTAGTAGAAAGGGGGTTGGCTGAAGCATAATCTTGTGTATTTCCAACCTTACACTCATTCATACACACACACACAAACACACACTGGCCCAATCACTCTCCGACCCCACACCCCTCTCAACACCAGAACAATACCCAGGCCATCACACACTCTCCTCCCAGTATTTCTACAGTGATTTATATGTTAAACTTTCTTGAATAATCTACTGTTCGGGCCTGATTTAAATTCTTTTGACAGTCAAATTCCAAATCCTATCTCCACACACTGAGATACACATTAACTTTAGGGTTGTACTAACTTCTACGTCGATATTATAATAATAATAATATAATTTTCTCTGAGTTTGTGCCTTGAAAGAGAGGTCGCCAGAAATCACAAATCTGACTAGAACCACCTCAAAGTTTTGCCCTTTTTTGAGCCCAGTTCAGATTCAGTTTATTTGCCATTTTCAGTAAAAAAAAACCACATTGGAATACCTTCTGGGGAGGGACCTCAAAACTACTCATTTACATCCAAATAGTCAAAAATGTAGGGAGTCCATGATTATATCTGGCTCATACACACACTAAAAATACTTTTCCATAGAACAAAATGGGTGGATTTGCATACATATAATAATAATAATAATATGGTTCTTTTTCCCATGGCCTGTCACATTTGTAAAGGGGTCTCTGCTTGGTTAATTTCTGAAATTGCGCCTGCACCAAGATTATATTGTCTCGCTTTCCCACAATGCCTTTCTTTGCTGGGCCTGTTGAGCTGATGCCATGGCTGCACTTTCTTCCCAGTAAAATCAGCCCATGAGTGAGAGTCTGTGTTCTCCACCTGTACAGTGTGTGTGTGTGTGTGTGTGTCACTTTGATGCCTCTACGGACGTTTGTGTTACCGTCGCTGGCTGTGTGCGTCTCTCAGATGTAAATATGAATCAAAACTAGTGACTTTTCAGGGTTTTTTCGCTGTCGGAGGTTAAGTTACGTTTACATGACGTCCACAGTTCTCCCAAATTGAATTCAAATTTTGTTTTTGCCAATGCCCAAAAATATTTACTGACCTGTTCTGTTTTTGCAATTCAAGCTACATGAAATATAAATGTTAAACAGACTGTGGGGAAGGAACATATTTAAAAATCTGTAAATAGAAAATGCATCTCGTCATGTCTTGAGGAAGAGACAAATGTGGATCTAATGCTTCCAATGGTTGTAGTGTCTGTAAACGTCACATTCAGTGAGTGTGTGTGTTTTTCCTTAATTTATGGAATACCACAATTTATTGATGTACATAAAACTGTTATTTTAGTTACTGTAATTATGAATATATTTTCTGGCTGTAAATGGGGATAAGCTGATGAATCCTAAATGTAGTTGATTTGAGCTGCAAAGTGAGCGACTGAAATGTGAATAAAAGATGGACACTTGCTTTGTCTATAATTTCAATTGTTTACTTTTGAATGCGCGGGAAAAGGTGTTCATGGTTTTACACTGGTCCAGACCAGAGCAGAGAGGATTCATGGTTTTACACTGGTCCAGAGCAGAGAGGCTTCATGGTCCGAATCAAGTGGATCAGATGAAAATCCACTGGAAGAATGCTAACTTTTTGATTCATGCTAATGAAGCATTTAGCATTTTAGTTTGTACCAGAGCAGGGAAAATGGTCCAAACCAAGCGCCTACTCCACCTTGTGACCTGTACTTCTCCACCCAGAGACTACTCCACCTCTGCTGCTGTGGCTGATTATTACTATTGTTAGCTTTTTAAATGATCGCTGTACTGGACACCTGGACGGGGATCAATAAAGTATCTTTCTAATTCAATGCAATTCCATCTACTCATTTTCTTCCCCTTAATCCATTTCTGGGTCAGGGTTGGGGGTGGCAGTCAGAGCACCAGCCCCTCTCTGATCCTCCTGCAGGTGCTGAGTCCACAGGAGCACTCATCTTTCAGTGGGGGCTTAGGGCAAAGTGGGGTTAAGTGTCTTGCCCAAGGACACAACGACAGCCGACATCAGTGGGAACAGCTGGAGCAGGTCTCAAATCCACAACCTTCAGTGGTTGAGTGGGTCGCTTCTTAGCCAGTGTGTTCGGCGGTCCTGGGTTCGAATCCCAGTCGGAACAGGCCCTTTCTGAGTGGAGTTTGCATGTTCTCCCCGTGTCTGCTTAGGTTTTCTCCAGGTGCTGCGGTTTCCCCTACCACTAAAAACATGCACAATAGGTAAGAATGTAGGCGAGAAAGTGAATGGAGGGTGTTTGGTCGGAGGCTTTGATGGTCCAGTGTGTTCGGCGTCTCGCTTCTGTCATCACCGTGTGGAGAGAATGGAACAATATCTGACTCTGAACAATTGTAAAGCGCTTTGGGTGACCTTGGTCTGTAAAATGGGCTATATAACTACTTACTTACTTCAAACCCACAACCTTCAGGGCCCAAAGACATATGCTCTACCCACTGAGCCACTGTCGCCTCTGCATAACAAAAGTTTTTCTTGTATCGCCCTAAATCACAACAGTAATTTTCTCAAAGGACTTAACAAAACTGCTGAAATCACCAACGCAGATCAGAGAATCAAACCGTTAAAACACAAAGTCCAAAGGGAGAGACCATGAATGTCCATAAATCTTGTACAATGTGGGGCGTCCTTTCAGTTTGACCCAATAACTGTCTAACGGACCCTCCTGCATCCGTCCAGTTGGTTTGTGCGGTGTTCCCCAGGCGTGTGGTGACCCGGGACAGCAGTGTGTGTTACAGTGTCTGGATTTCACTGCTGAATATGTAATATACTGTTCTTTTATGAGTGGATTAATGTGGCGACAGCAGAGTGCTCTCCCGCCATCACGGCTCACATAACAACAAGGGTCAAGACCTCTGCCTCTCCAGGGGCCACTGCAGCAGAGATGGAACCGCTGCAATCATTTTCATTCACACTGTTTTTGGTAGAATTATAAATAAGGTAGTAAGTAAGTACCTTTGCTCACACAAATAGTGAACATGTCTTTCTCATCTGGAACATTTCCAATGGCCCTGAAAACGGCAGTCATCAGACCCCTCCTAAAAAAGAGGAGTCTAGATGCCACAGTTCTTAAGAATTATCGCCCCATTTCAAATCTGCCGTTTATGGGAAAAATTCTGGAAAAAGTTGCTTACCAACAACTTACAGAATTCTTAGTAACTAATAGTTCGTTTGATGCGCTCCAGTCCGGCTTTAGAGCCAATCACAGCACTGAGACTGCACTAGTGAAGGTTACAAATGACATCCGACTTAACACCGACACAGGAAAAGTCACAGTTTTAGTAATGTTGGATCTGAGTGCTGCGTTCGACACAGTCGACCACGAGATCCTCCTGCAGAGACTAGAGCACTGGGTGGGTGTCACTGGGACTGCCCTAAGTTGGTTTAGGTCTTACCTAGAAGACAGGAAATACTTGGTTCAGATAGGAAACTGTGTCTCAGATCATATGGCTCTGACCTGCGGAGTGCCACAGGGATCAATTCTGGGGCCTCTTCTGTTCAATATTTACATGCTGCCGTTAGGTCAGTTAATACGCTCCAACAATGTATCCTACCACAATTACGCTGATGACACTCAAATTTATGTCTCACTTACTGCAGGAGAACATGGACCAGTGGAATCACTCCTTCACTGTACTCAACAGATTAGTGATTGGATGCAAAATAACTTCCTTCAGCTAAACGCAGACAAAACAGAATTGATTGTCTTTGGTCCTCAGAAACAAAGAGAGAGCGTTATTCGTCACCTCCAGTCTCTCTCCCTGGAACCTGTAGGCAAGGTCAGAAACCTAGGAGTTATAATGGACTCAGACTTAAATTTTAACAGTCATATCAAATCAGTAACATCAGCAGCATTTTACCATCTGAAAAACATTGCCAAAATTAGAAACATAGTGTCTAAATCAGATCTGGAGATTCTCATCCATGCATTTGTCTCCAGTAGGTTAGACTACTGCAATGGCCTGCTCACAGGTCTCTCCAAACAGGCTGTAAAACAACTGCAGTATGTCCAAAATGCTGCAGCTCGAGTCCTGACCAGGACCAGGAAATATGACCACATTAGTCCAGTTCTCAGGTCTCTGCACTGGCTTCCTGTGGCTCAGAGAATAGACTTCAAAGCAGCACTGCTTGTGTACAAGTCTCTCCATGGCCTCGCACCAGGGTACTTAAGCGACTTGTTAGTCCCATATGAACCGACCCGGACTCTGAGGAGCACAGGAGGTAGCCTCTTACTGGTTCCAAGAGTCAGAACTAAACATGGGGAGGCAGCGTTTGAGATTTATGGAGCTAAAATCTGGAACAATCTTCCTGAAGATGTGAGGCTAGCATCTACTCTGGCAATTTTTAAATCGGGGCTAAAAACTGTTCTTTTTAGCTGTGCATACGGCTGAAGGATTCTATTGATACATACTCTTTTTTTTTTTAATGCATTGTGGTTATTTATTATTTTAATCCCGTGTGTGCTTTTAATATATATTTTTTTTTTTTTCATTATTTGTGATTTTATTCTGTTTTTAATGTATTTATTGATGTCTCTGATTTGTGTGATACTATGTGGGTTGTGAGGCGCTTTGAGTGGCCTTGTGTTGGAAAGGCGCCATACAAATAAAGTTGATTGATTGATAAGTAAGTAATCTTTATATATATATATACCGCCTTTTCACTGCACATCGGAGTCTCAAAGCGGTTTACAATTGTTATTTTTGGGATTGGGGCCAGTACAGGAGGCACATGCCAGACCTATTGTACATATTTTTAGTGGTAGGGGAAACCGGAGTACCCGGAGGAAACCTACGCAGACACGGGGAGAACATGCAAACTCCACTCAGAAAGGCCCTGGTCCAACCGGGATTCGAACCCAGGACCTTCTTGCTGAGAGGCGAGAGTGCTATCCACTCAGCCACCGTGCCGCCCAGTATTAACTGCGTCATTAATAGTAGTATTAATGACGCAGTAAAAATCATCCATTGAAGCTATACTTAAGTAAACCCAGCAGCACAATCTCTGCTTTAACAAAAATCTTCATTATAGGATTACATATAAAAATCAAGAATATTTGGTTGACTCTATGGTTTAGTTTTAATATACTTTCTGTCAATTGTTTTATGTAGGATAAAGCATTGCAATGTTGTTTAGAGCAGTGTTCCCCAAACTTTTTACCTTTACCATTCAAAAAAAAAACACTCACATTGCCAACCGCCAGACAAAACGCCCGCACAGAACTGGTAAAAAAAAAGCTTTTGTACATGCTGCTCCTTCTACATGGAAAGTGTTGCAAAAAGACTGGACATTATTTGAACTCATTTCACTGACTGCTTTTAGATCCAGATTTAGAGCATTTAAGACATCCTCATTGGTATGTAACTGTTTTATAATCTGTAATGTGTAACTTGTGTCCAGGACTCCCTTGAAAAAGAGGTTCTTAATCTCAATGGGACTTTCCTGGTTAAATAAAGGTGAAATAAAAATAAAAATAAAACGTATGCAAACATGACATTCTGCAGCATTTATAACAAGTCTTTCTAATCTTCTCACATTATTTTATTTTCACTTTATTTTAACCAAATCAGTGACATTGGACCATTTCCAAAAGGCACAACATACAACATCTCAAGGCACACTAACGTTCCATGGCCCACAGGTTGAAAAACACTGGTTTTAGAGTGTGAAAGTCTGAAACTTCAGCTTCCTGTTGAATGCAGTAGTTAAAGGTATATAGGAGGATTTCAGGGGGCGACAGTAGCTCAGTTGGTAGAGCATTGGCCTTTGAGCCTGAAGGTCGTGGGTTCGAGCCCACCTCAAGACCTACTTCACGACTCCCACTGATGACTGCTGTCGTTGTGTCCTTGGGCAAGACACTTAACCCCACTTTGCCTGAAGCCCCCACTGAAAGATCTCAGCTCCTGTGGACTCACCACCTGCAGGAGGATCAGTGAGGGGCTGGTGCTCTGTGGACTGGGTGGCATCTCTGGCCACCCCCCCCCCCGACCCAGAAATGGATTAAGGGGAAGAAAATGGATGGATGGAGGAGGATTTTCACAAATTTTAGGAAAGACCCAACCTCTCCACTTTTTGAACCAAACTCTCTGGTCTTATTTGACGAGCTCCTATCCCCAGAATGACAATTATTAGGACCAGTAGTCTTGATGATCCACCCGGAAGTAGAAAATCCTCCTTCATATCTTTAAGGAACCAGAGTTGATAGTAACGGCCACCTGTGCTCAAAAACTAGTTTTGCTGTGCTCTCCATTCATACTGTTCTGTAACTGCTGATGCAACACTGAAATGTCCCCTCTGTGGGATAAATATAGGATCTCTTCATCTTAATACCACTGGAATTAAACACATGAAAGATCGTTTTTATGGAGCACGTATTAGACATTCCTAAGTAGACAATACTATTTTTCTGTGTGAAGCAGATCCGCATCTAAATATTTAAAGGTGAACCAAAAGCCTGGGACTCATACTTGAAATATATTGGGCCTATACTACTATCTTCCCCCGTTACAAGGTAATTCTGATTCAGTCTAGTCGGTCTATGTCAAGACAACTGGGACTTCCAGAAAACTGAAGGACCTGCTATACCTGTGGACCTTTGTCTTACTTTTGTCAGTGGTACCTGCGTGGTTGATGTAGGGAGTGGGGTCTGGAGATGCCAAATTGTATTATTATGATTTATTTTTTTCATCGATGTTGTCTTGTTGTACCTGACTCTTTTTTGTGTGTGTGTTTTCTGCTTGTTTTAAAGAAAAAAATCCATTAAAAATATTAAATAAATAAAAAAGATGAACCAAAGCAGCAGCGGATGTACATTTCTCTCTCTTAGAAATGGCTCATTACGGTTATTTCAATCATTTTCAGATAAATGTGCAGCCGTTTAACAAGTGTTTCTTCTTCTTCTATCGCGAGAAACTTAAAAAAAATACAATAAAACGTGGCATTAGAAGCAACAGTGTGTGATTGTGTCGATTATAATGAGTAACTTCACACCCCATGTCCCTAATCTCCCTGAGACACTCTCCGCCCAAACTGCTCTATTTACTGAAAGTGAAGAATCAAAGACGTCCCGGAGCTTTTCCAGATTCTTCTTTGACGATCACAAATCCACTCAGCTCCTGTGGAAGAAGAATCCACTGCACAAGCTTCAGTTCTTTATATTTTATTGGAAAAAACACAATGTAAGGACAAGAATGTACAATTTGGAATGTAGATCAGCTGAACAGAGCAGAACAGTCTGACACACACACACACAGACAACACGCATGGACACACACACAGCAACACACACACAGCAACACACACACACAGACAACACGCATGGACACACAGACACAGCAACACACACTAACATCAACCAACACACACACACACAGACAGCAACACACACACAGCAACACACACACACACAGACAGCAACACACACACAGCAACACGCACACACACAAACATCAAGCAACACACACAGACACAGGAACATACACACACACACACACAGCAACACACACACATACAGACAGCAACACACACACAGCAACACGCACACACACAAACATCAAGCAACACACACACACACAGCAACACACACGCACAAGCAACACACACAACCTACACACCAAGCAACACACACACACAAACCAAGCAACACATACACACACACAGCAACACACACACAGAAGCACACACACCAAGCAACACACACACAGCAACACACAGACAGCAACACGCACACACACAAACATCAAGCAACACACACACACACACATACACCCCAAGCAACACACACACACACACAGCAACACGCACACACACAAACATCAAGCAACACACACACATACAGCAACACACACGCACAAGCAACACACACACACCAAGCAACACCCACACACACTGCAACACACACACACACCAAGCAACACACACACACACACACAGCAACACACACACAGAAGCACACACACACACATCAAGCAACACACACACACACAGCAACACACACACAGACCAAGCAACACACACACACACACACATCAAGCAACACACACAGCAACACATACACACACAGCTACATGTGCACACACAAAGCAACACGCATAGACACACACACATCAAGCAACACACACACACACACAGCAACATGCGCACACACACAACAACACGCATAAACACATACACACAGCAATACACACACAGACACACACACAGCAATACACACAACAACACGCATACAGACACACATACACACACAGGCACACACACACAGGAACACACATACACACACAGGCACACACACACAGGAACACACACACTACTACGACACACAAAAGCACCTACCCCATCCTCACATCATAAATTCACCTCAAGAAACTCATTTACAGAATATTAGTTTAAGTTTTTGTAAAATGCAGTTGTATTTATTTGTTGAGTGAATAAATGACCCCTTGAACCTCTGAGTCGCCTCTAATTAAAGATTATAGACGTAATATTTAAATTAGAATGAATTTATCTCGAAGTTTTCATACAAATCTTGGCAAATTACAGAGAACCAATGCATGCAGCACTTTGAGCAGATATTATTTTAAAAGTTTGCTTAATCAGCGGACCAATAAAAATAAACCAATGGGATTTGTTCATCCGCAACGAACCAATGGGATGTGTTTACCGCCTTCACCCACTTACCAATTTGAAATACCAATTTCACGTTTGCTCCACTCTCCCTGTGACAAAGAAAAGAAAATGCTGGATGTTTGGTTTGGTGGAGAGGGAGGAGAGGGGGGAGGGGTTTCCAGTTGGTGCTAACGGCTAAGCTAACAACATCACTTACTGCACCTTTAAGTTTAGGCATGGATCTATCAGTTTAGGTTGGTTATATTTACTTCCGATTCCGTGCATGATCTAGTGCCGTGCGCTGGACAGGGTTCAAGCTCGTCCTCAGTCCTAGTCTGCAGGAAATGAGACTGTGAGGAGAGAGGAGGAGGCGGGCGCTGATTAGGAGCTGCTAAAGGGCTGCATCTGATTGGTCAGCTCACCATCAAGGCCGGAACACAAGTCTGTACATGCAGATTCCTTTGGGGTTTGTCCTTTACCTTTTTGAGCCTGTTGTAAATGAAGTCAGTGTAAATTGTGTGTTGTATGTATAAATATGGGCCGCTGCCATACGAGGTACAGAGTCTAAGTTGACCCTACACTATGAATACATATGTTGCTAGATGTTTGTTTGTTTGTTTGTTTGTTTATTTATTCATTTCAGGCATTTCACATGAGGCAGCAGTCACCTCTTGTTCATCATAGTTTCCAACAAAAAATAAAAATAAGTAAAGCATTGCTAACATGCATGAAAATAAAATAAAAAAATAAACCACAATATTTGCCTGAAAGGGAGTAGGAAGAAGAAAACTTATTTAATCCTACCCCCATAATATGTATACAACAAAAATTTGCTTCTTTGCGAGACAGGGCTATCAACAACTTTCGACTTCTGCACTATATTAACACAGAAAGGTTTGAGTATTCACATTGTGGAGTTACCATAGTAATGTGATTTATTGTCCATGAAAGTCCGTTTATCTGTTGGTCATCATATTAACAAACTCTGGAAAGAAACAGAAACACCTGTAAGTTTATAATTATGTGGTAAATATCAAAGTGGCATTGTTCAGGAGATCGTACCGTCGTAGTTGACCTGGCCGTCTCCGTCCACGTCTGCTTCTCGAATCATTTCATCGACTTCTTCATCCGTCAACTTCTCTCCCAGATTTGTCATCACGTGACGGAGTTCTGCAGCACTAATGAAACCGTTGCCGTCCTGAACAGACAAGGTCACGTCTTGAGTGTGTGTGTGTTTTTCATAAACTCTGTGATTTTGTACCTTGTCAAAGACTCGGAATGCTTCTCTGATCTCCTCCTCGCCGTCTGTGTCCTTCATCTTCCTCGCCATCATCGTCAGGAACTCAGGGAAGTCAATGGTCCCATTCCCTGCACAGATTCATTGCATTTAGCAGTTTTTCCCCACACAGAAACGTATCACTAAATCCCTGAACGTACCGTCAGCGTCCACTTCGTTAATCATGTCTTGGAGTTCGGCTTCTGTCGGGTTTTGCCCCAATGACCTCATGACCGTCCCCAGCTCCTTCGTGGTGATGGTCCCGTCTCCATCTTTGTCAAACAGAGAGAAGGCTTCCTTGAACTCTGAAATAAAAAGACAAGTTTTATTTTAAAGCGTATTTGTTAATGTCCCAAAGTATAAATGAATTGTCTTACCAGCAATCTGCTCTTCTGTTAGTTGGTCAGCCTGAAAACGCACAACAAACATTGGAGCAGCGTTTAGAGTCATGGATGGAGGATAATACTGTTTCTAACGATTATAACTGCTCTCAACACAAACTATACTCATGGAGCATGTGGTAAATACTGTATATATTTGTATAAATGTATTAGATCGGGAATAACTTGTTAAACATGCAAAATAATGTAATATCATCTGTAATGTATTGGTAGTGGAGGGGGGGGTAAATGAGAGTGTGTGTGTGTGTGTGTGTGTGTGTGTTTGTAATCTGTACAAATTTCTTTCTATCATGTTGTTGCTTTTGCTGTTGTTGTACATCAAAGACTACTCTGCTGTCACCTGTAGAGGACCCCCACGAAAACGATCTCATGGGGTTATTCCTCTTTAAATAAATAAATAAATTGGCAATAATGAATGATTCTAATTGATAGCTACAGCCCTAACAGCTAATTTACCTCTATATCAGGGATATGTACATTTGACTGTTCCAATAACAACTTATTAACACGTTTGATGCTGTGTTTGAAACGGTCTCTGGAGCAGCTGTTCTGGGACTGGCCCGGGTTTCAGCCCAAGGTACATCCTGAGCATTCAATGGGATTTGCAGAAAAGTTCACTTCCAAGAAGAGACTTAAGTATTTGACTTCTAAGTATTTGACTATTTGACATGGTTTTAGAAGCTTGTCTGCAGTCTGCCTCTGCCCCTGAGTTCATACTTAGCACCATCTCAGTTGTCGGTCAGGCTGAGGCGGTTAGTACTGGTTTAGACCTGACAGTCCTGTTAATAATAAGGAATCAGATTTTACGAGATGACACATGGCTTTATTCATTCACTCTGTTCACAGTGATGGTAAACTACTACTGTAGCCACAGCTGCCCTTAAGTCAGACCCTTCAAATGTGGTTATAGCCTGCAGTTAAGAGTTGCCACTCTGACACATCTGCAGTGATTGTCCTCCGCTTGATCAGGAACACATGAGCTGGACAAAACTCTCCCATTTACAAGGAGCAACAAACTCAGTAAAGCCCAATCATCTCTTTAGTGGAAGATACAAAACAGATTACTCCTTACACACGACCTTTAGGTTTTCAAAGTGGATGTCGGTGAGATCTGCTACAAGCTTCACAGCTTTAGGCTCGATCTTCTTCAGCTCCGCTCGACCAGCCACAGCCCGTCCACTCGAGTCCAGCCTTAAACCAGAGCGCTTTGGGTCGGCTGGTCTCACTCCGCTCCTACTCTCCTTCATGGTCTGTCCGTCCAGTGCTTCCCGGACCATCACCAGGCCTTCAGCCAGACACTCGGTGCGCTTGCTGTTCTGCACACCATGCCTCTTCACTTCGGACAGATCCGACTTTGTCCTCTGTAGACAGTTCCTCAGGTCTTGCATCTCTCGCACCAGGCTGTCCATGCGGCTGGAGGTGGAGTCCATGACCATCTGAAGAAAGGCTCTGTAGTTCCGCTCCTGCTGCTGGATTAGCTCCTTGTAAAAGTGCTGCTGCTCATCCAGAAGGTCGTACACCGTGGATAGACTCACCAGATCGTCCTCCACCGCATACATGGCGGCTTTCTTGGGCAGCATGCTCAGGGGGCAATAGCAGCGAGAACAGCGACAATATTTTGAGCCAGTATAAAAGCAGCGTCCAGACATTGATCAGACGCCCCAGTCCACAAACACCTGTATCGCCGAATATTGCTGGTCCTTTCTCTGTTTGTAGCTTCTGATGGTATCTTTAATTGCAGGATATACACACGTCATTAACCCTGCTTCTACAACAAGAGGCCGGAAACATAAAAACACATTCTTCAAAACGTCTAATAGATGCCGCGGAATAATCCAAACGTCAGAAAATCCGCTGCATCCCAGAGCAGTCCAAAGGCGGCTTATCCATGTGTGACTCAAACTGACTGACATCGGTTCTGTTCTCGCCCAGCCCAGCCCAGCCCAGCCTGCGGGACAGAGTTCAGCCCCTCTCAGTCTATGGACCTCCAGCAGACATGGGTGAAAAGAAGGTGACGGGTGTCCATGACAAAATGTCCGCTCTGTGGGGGGAGCTCAAAGAAGAAGTCTGCAGAAGATGACTCGTATTGCCGCCCCTGCAGAGGATCACATGGCTGGACCTTTGAGGCTCCACCAGAACAAGGCCAGGATTTTCAACAGTAAAACCAGAAGCAGGACTGCCCCTTTAATGGACATTTTTATGACAAATAGTCAACACTGGACATTAACACATCTGTATCCTCCTTGTTGTGTGCACCAAGGGTCTATTTTCATATTGGTGAGCGCTTGTGAAAAAAGTTCTGTTTAGAAATTATAACGTGATTTAGTCTCAACGTTATCATGGCTTAAATATATATAGTCTATTAAGGCTGTAATTCATTAGTCGGCTGATTATTCTGATTATTTTTTTGATTAAACATTTAGTTATTTATATAGCATATTTTACAGACCAAGGTCACTCAAAGCGCTTTACAATTGTTCAGAGTTCAGATATTTTTCTATTCTCTCCACACACGGTGATGACAGAAGCGAGTCGCCGAACACACTGGTCCATCAAAACCTCCGACCAAACACCCTCCATTCCCTCACTCATTACATTCAGACCTATTGTGCATGTTTTTAGTGGTAGGGGAAACCGGAGCACCCGGAAGAAAACCTACACAGACACGGGGAAAACATGCAAACTCCACTCAGAAAGGCCCTGCTCCGACCGGGATTGGAATCCAGGACCTTCTTACTGAGAAGCGAGAGGGCTAACCACTCAAACACAAAGTTTAGTTGGTGGCTAAGTCTATTTCGTGTTTGGAATCCATGTAAGGTTAAAAAAAAAAAATCCGTCGATGCCTGAATTGACAACTACAGCAGCACTTTCCCAATCCGGCTTTAATGGAAGAGAAGCTGTAAAAGCAAGTACGTAATGTTTATTTATACAGCGCATTTTACAGACCAAGGTGACCCAAATCCAGGTTACTCAGGAATCAGATATTTTAAAAGGCCTGAATGTAAATGACCCTCAGAGCCAGATTCTGTCCAATGAAACCAAAGCGACACATTTGGAGGAAACCGGGCTCTGATGGTTCTGGGTCCTGGTGATGGGTCGCTGTGCTCTCCAGAACCTTCTATGCTGCTTCAATGTTTTTGTGTCGTTCTACAAATCTGTGCCGTCTTAAATCGTTTCTTTGGACCTCATCATGGCCTGGACCTCAAATAAACAGGTCTGTCCCATTCCAAATCCAGTGACATCAGTAGAATTTACCACTTGTTATTTTTTGAGTTGTGTTTGTGAAATCAACAAGCAAAAATGAACTTCATACATTGGAATGAGCCTGTAGCAATGTTAGCCGTGGATGCAAAGTCTTTCTGTATGTCCTGACATTTGGTACAATTCATGTGTCGCGCAAAAACCAGCAGCTGTTTATCAGACGTGGTTTTTGTTCTGCTTTTTCTGTGGGAATCATTTTCAAGAACTGCAATTCAAGGTTTTGATTCATTAATTCCGACAAAAACATAATTTGAAGCCAAACTTCCCAATAACTTTTCTCTTTTCTAGTTTATATTCTGAATGAATTCCCAACATGCAGTGCAACACAGATGTTTTACACAGCTCCAGACTTCATTTCCAGAATCTGTCGGTCTGGACTTGTCGAAGCACGTTGAGGAAAGAGCTCTACTTTAAACTTTACAAGCCCCTGCTAACCCCCCCTCCCCTTTAAAACATTATGCTTTGGTAAACGGATACCTGCTGAGGAAAATTTAAATTTAAATTTATTCTTTAGAAGTGTTTTTTATTCTTATTTTTATTATCTCTTTTTGACTGTTGCACTGAGCCAAAGCAATTTCCTAGTCTGTGACCTCCTGTTACTTACGTGGCAATAAAGATGATTCTGATTCTGATTCTGAAATAATCTTAATGCATCATCCTCATCGTGGATTTGGTCTGGACCTAAGCAGAGTGATAAGGATTTTCTTTGTGAATTTAAGGCGTTTAAAATGTATGTAAAACGTGTCTGGTGGTGACGAGCTCAGAACCCGTACATCAGGATCGACCAGTCTCTTCGTTCCACTGTCAATCTAAATTAATTATGTGTATTTTAAATGAGAAACCTCTGAGAACATAGAAACCTCTGGTGGTTGCATCTGTAACCAATTCAAATGTGATAATAAATTACATCTACATCATAGAATCTACAGCAGCTTGTAACAAACACGTTTTGGAATGAATTTTGACTTTTTTGAATTTGTATTTTTATTGCTTTTTTTCTGCCTGAGATGTTGCTGCAGTACAGTGTTCATGGTTTTACACTGGTCCAGACCAGAGCAAAGATTTATGGTCCGGAACAAGTGGATCAGATGAAAATCCACAGTAGGAATGCTAACTTTTTGAAAAATGCTAATGAAGCATTTATCATTTGACTTTGGACCAGAGCAGAGAAAAATGGTCTCCACCCTGTGACCCGTCCTGCTCCACCCAGAGGCTACTCCACCTCTGCTGCTGTGACCCGTCCTGCTCCACCCAGAGGCTACTCCACCTCTGCTGCTGTGACCTGTCCTGCTCCACCCAGAGGCTACTCCATCTCTGAAGGGCTGCTGCTGATTATTATCACTATTTTTAACTTTTTAGAATGATCAATTTTTTTTTTTTTTTATTCTCGCTGCTACTTGACACCTGCACTTCTCCTCCGGGATCAATAAAGTATCTATCTATCTAAACATAAAAATATTCTTTTCGGTCCAATCCAAGGATGCACGTGGCCTGATAAATATTACAAATAAAACTATCACTGACACCCACATGCTCAGCCAACACAGACCGCTGAAAAGTCCAAAAGTCCCAGTCAAGTCCCAGTCAAGTCCCAGTCAAGTCCCAGTTAAGTCCCATCCTCCAGGTCAATAATACAGGTCTGTGCCCACTCACTCACAAACACATCAGTGCATTCAGGAACAATACTTTTGGCCACAACCTTTTGCAAAACACATCATTTAGCTTCATAAAACACACTCACCATGTCTGAAAGTGGAAGGATGGTCTGCTCTGGGTGAAGGCAGAGGCAGAAGACTGAAGGCTGGAGGCGGTTCACACAAAACAGCGCATCTCGGTATCCCTCCGCCCAAACTGTTGACACATGCGCAAATTAAAGTTGGGAAACGTAACTTTTTAAACCACAAAAAAAGAACTATTAATCAAATCCAGGAGACACATCGCTCTAAAAAGTTTGGTACAGATATTTTTTTTTATTTTTTTTTTTATTTATTTCAGGCGACGGCACAGGTGAGTAAACAAGGCAATTAAATGCAGTTAAATAATATAAATCATAAAAAACAGACAGACAAAAAACACAATAAACAAAAAACAGTATAAACAATAAATGCACGGTATAAACATGGCCGTATAATTCTGCCTGAAAATGAGTGGGAAGAAGAAAAACGTATTTAATCCCACCCCTGTATCCCCATTCAGTGATTAAACAATCGACTTCACTGTTAATTTGTTGAAGCATTAGTTTACAGTGTTATATCATGATGCCGTTACCACGGGCAACAAGGAAATTTACATTGTAACAGCAATTAATACCAACAATGGTAATGAACAAAAAAACAACAACAATCAACAGATATGGTTTTTACATGCGTGTATTTTATAATCTAAAAACGTAAGAAGAGTTGTGTGATCTGATTGGTTCACAAACTTCCTTCTTACAAGACTCTTTCAATTGGCTATTTGTATTCTTTAGGGAAAAATATTACGTTACCAGCCTTTAATCATCACTCATCACACGTTTATATGCATTCACCTGCAACATGAAAACTAAAAATTTAAGTAATACCAAAGTCAGATTCACTTCAGATTCATTTTATTTGCCATTTGCAGCAAAACCACATTGGAAAACATTTGCAAATATCCCTTAGACAAGTACATACATTAAGCAACATTAAAAGAATCTCTCTACACAAAATAAATGTACAGTTGCGCTTCGTATGAATAGTTATTAGTATAAGTGAAGGGACTACTTTTCCGAATCTTCTAGTCAATTTTAGACGTGGTCACAAAGTACAGCACTGGAAGAGCAGGGGCATGGTTTTTTTTGTGGTTTTGTGGTTTTGTGGTTTTGTGGTCTATAGATGCGTCAAAACCACTGCGTGTGGAAAAGGAGGGAAAATAACTAGTTTGGTTAGTTCAAATACATAATTAAAAACAAGAACAACAGCTTGTCTGAAACCTGCTGGGAAATGGCTTTTCAAAAATGCAGAAAGGAATGAGTGGAGTTTTTTTCATCTTTTTTTTAACTCTGGTTTTAGTTTTTATGATTGAGAAGTTTCAGCTCCAAGTTTAACAGTCATCTGGAACTAAGACTGTAAATATGTAGTAACGGACGTAGGATGTTGATAATATAACAGATACATGGTTGAAACTAATGTGTCTCCACTTTTGCCTGATGTGGGCTATTTCAAAATGGCCCTGGGGCAGGAAAACGTAAAATAAAATAAAAATAAAAGTCCACCAAGGTTGTTCCAAAAAAAGAAAAAAAAACACTTCAGCATTGACAGTCTCTGCAATCAAGAGCGACTTTTGGACCATATTGTTGCCATACAAAAGCACCGGGTAATTCTCTTTCCGGGTACACCCCCACAGACAAGGACTGCCGCTTCCACTGGTCTGGAAGTGAAATTCCCATTGATTTGCCACATATTTTGTAAAGCTTTCCAACAATTTTTTTATTCTTGGTTAATGGCGCTGTTTCCTATTTACGCTTCCAAATTTCTTCCAACTTATAACATTTAACCGTTTCACTGAAATAATACACTTCTTATTCAGTAAAGCAGTTCATATAGAAACCCAAGGACTGGAGGATTTGAAAATTATTGAATCTCTGTATAAAAAAAATCTCTTGACCAAAAACCTAGTTCATTTTGTGTAGTACAATCTTTTAAACTTTTATCAACTGTATCAAGTCTCTATACCATCCATCCATTTTCTTCCCCTTAATCCATTTCTGGGTCAGGGGGGTGGCAGTCAGGGCTACACCCAGTACACAGAGCACCAGCCCCTCACTGATCCTCCTGCAGGTGCTGAGTCCACTGGAGCTGAGATCTTTCAGCGGGGGCTTCAGGCAAAGTGGGGTTAAGTGTCTTGCCCAAGGACACAACAACAGCTGACATCAGTGGGAGTCATGAGGTGGGTCTCACGGTGAGCTCAAACCCATGACCTTCAGGCTCTACCAACTGAGCCACTGTCGCCCCAAGTCTGTATGTTTCATTTACAAAGCGCTAAATGGACTTGCCCCACTTCCTGTATCGGCCTTATTCAAACCGAGGTCTTCAAGTTGTCTGAGAACTGGGGCCTCCTCCAGAGAAGACTGTGAGGTCCTCTTCAGAAGAACTACCTTGGGACACTCTCTCTGTGAGGGCCCTGAACATCTGGAACCGTCTCCCTCTGCACTTATGAGAGAGTCCTACACTGGTCCCCTTTAAAACTCAAATCTGAAAAGACTCCAGTCATGTGACCACTTTTGCCCGGAGCTGCCTGTGCCGTATTTTATTGTTTTCAAAAGTTGTATTGTTGAAAAAGAGGTTCTGAATCTCCTGGTTGAATAAAAGTTAAATAAAACAATAAAAAAATGTATTGTATGTTGTCATTTCCTATGTATATCTTCTCGCCGAGGGACTACGGATGAAAACTAGCCTTATCGCTATAATCCAAAATATTTACATTTGTTTTAGGCTGATGTTCATTATTGTGCATTGACCCTACCGAATAAATTAAAAATAAATAGGACTCATAACGAGAGGACCACACGCAAGACTGACCTCTAGTGGCTAATTAGTGTAATAATACGTTCTTAATAATATCCATGTTGTAAAACCAATCATTTAAATTCTTTTGGTGATTTGGACTTCGATGTTTGAGCTTTTATTATTGTATTATGTTCAGTTTTGTTTGTTTGGGTTCCACAATGTTCTGTTTTTAGGCTTTTATGCCCTGAGTAGCTCAAACAAATTGCCTCTGGTGGGGTAAATAAAGTAGTCTGAATCTTTAAAAACATTCATATTCTTCTAATTTTATAATGTGATTGTTTTGTTTTCTTATAGTAATTGCCAGTACCTGTTTTTAAATGTCATAGCAATACTCTGAGTGGACTCCATGCAGGCCTACTAGAAAAGTGTCTCAAGCTATTTAAAAAAACGGATTATTTTGTGTCTTATCTTCGGCCACACAAGTGCAGCACGGCAGTATGAAAACACAAACTTTTACCATTTTGAAAAACAGAATTTATTGAACACATTTACAAAAGAAAATCTGTATTCTTGTTTCTTTTAAGATCACATTAATTAGTCTTCCAAAAGTATATCGAGCTCTTCCAGCGGGAGCCTGAGTCGAAGTTCCTTTTCCGTCATCAGGTCCACAAACTCCTGCAAATGCTCCGGGAACAGTTGAACTGCATCCATGTACAGGCCCTGGTCCCAACACAAGTCTGAGTTAGCAACTAAGCAAACGGTAACGCAAAAAAACCACACAAAACCGAGGTGATGCCGCAATTTTACCTTAGTCCACGGAACATTCTGCAGCGCTTTATAGAAAATCCCTTTGGCTTGATCCTCTTTACCATCGGACACCTGAAAGAGAAAGTCCTATGGTATTAATGATGTATCTTTGCCGGTAAACGGTGCACAAAATATATATACTATGGATTTCTCACCAGGAAATACATGTACATTCTCCAAAGCAGAGGACAATGAGCTCCGGTCTGAGTTTTTGTTGTATTTTCAAATAACCCACGGATTCTGTGACCAAGGCCGTTTTCTGGCAACGTAGGCAAAGCGGCGCCATGGCAACACGATCTGGAAGAGTTTGACCATTAGATGTATAAGTAACAGCTACACTGCAAAAAGTGATGAAAAACCAAAAAAAAGATTGCTCAAATTTGACAAGATGTAATATTTAAAGGTTTATAGGAGGATTTTCCCAATTTTTTTGTAAAGAACCGCCCTCTCCACTTTTTGAACAAATCTCTCCGCTCTTATTGGACGAGTACGTAACAGCAGAATGATTGACAACTGGGAGGACCAATAGTCTTGAGGATACACCCGGAAGTAGAAAATCCTCCTTTTTACCATATACTGTACCTTTAACATATTCTGACTGATCTTAAAACAAGATTCGTCAATGGGACAAAAAAAATTATCTTGTTTCGAAAAGATACAAGTAATATCTTCCGTGAAAATTGAGAATATTGTTGTAACACAGTCAGAATGTGTACCTCTGAGCAGCGTCCATATTCTGCTTCCTTTGTTGTTCGGCCACGATCGCAAAGAGGCTTGGCACCACATTATTTGTTTTCCGCATTACAGAATGAAAGAAGCGGCGAGCTCGGCCGGCGCTGTGATAACGGTTCTCTACCTAAAGATGAGAAAGACGGCACAATGTTAAACTTCTGAGAAAAATAATCGGCAAACGCTGTACCTCAGGGGTGTCAAACTCATTTTGGTCAGGGGCCGGTGAAAAACATAGGAACTGGTCGGGGCCGAAACAATAGAAGAGATTTTCTTTTCTTTAATTTGTCTTTTAACAGTTTAACAGGAGTTTAATGTGTCATGAGTTTCACTGTTATTCTCTGTTGATTTTTCTGAAAACAAAATGTGTTTATTGTTTAGATTGAACCAAAACTGGAGCAAATATAAAGTTAAACACATTTTATATTTAACTATTTAACTTCAAATCATGTGTTAATGGGTTGAAAATTGGTTAAATCTGGTTGTTTTCCTGAGAAATAGATTATGTATAACCTGCCTTGGTCGCCCTTAACCATCAATGCTGCAAGTTCATAATAAAAAAACTATATATATAATTTTAGGAGCCACTAAAAACGGTCGTACTTTTTTAAAATTTGTTTTTTTTAAATTATTATATACATTAGGTATTTTTTATGTTTTATATATTTTGTTATGTTTTTATTTTTTATTTTTTTCCCTTATGTTTTTTATTTCTTTATTTATCTTTATTGTTTTTTTTCTTTTTTCCAATCTTTCTTTATTATTATTATTATTATGACTACTTGACTTTGACACCCATGCTGTACATTATTCTGAAAGTACCTGAATGTAGATGCTCCAGAGGGAAGCACAGCAAGGCCAAGCCGTCAAGGCGTCCGTCAAAATGTGTCGGAGTTCAGCTAACGGAAACACACTCACTTTGCCGTGGTACTTGAGCAGAGCTGCGTGTTGTATCGCTAAAGCCTCACACTCAGACGACAAACTCAAAATAAAATCCGTGGAATCACTTTTGTTATTCTTGATGCCATCCATTAGCTTCTGCTGCAGGGCCTCCAGCGGGTTTCTGGCCAGTGTATATACATCAGAGGCAGCTTTGATCCCCACGGTCAGGTATTGGAACAGAGCAAAGCAGCCAATCAGGCCTCTGTATGATGGACCTGGAAATGCATGAATGGTCGCGAATCACAATGGGCACTACATTTCTTAATCAACATGGAGTCAAAGTCTGACCTTTATCTTTTTGTGTCTGGGAGTCCTGGTCCAAGGTAGATAAAGTGCTGGTAACCGTTTGCTCATATGCTTTTCGTGCTTTTAATATAGAAACTGGAGAGAGCAGTTGGGAGGAAGACACTGTGGCTCCTTCGGCAAGTCGTGTTAGAATACACACGGCCGGCGATGCAGTTACGTCCGTCAGTCTTCCACCGATATCTAAAGCATTTTCAATTTCTAACTGTGCCCACAATAACGTCAGATTGCACAGACTTGGAGAGTTCAGTGCATTGGTCCCTCCAAGCGACGCTGCTGTGGCAAAAACCTTTCGTGCTTCTTCCAGGTTTCCCAAAAGCCACTCCAAGTGCGCATACTCCCGCCACAGCTCTAAGGAAGAACGGTTCTCTGCTTCTTTGAGTAAACGCTTTGCAACGCGTTTGCTTTTCTTGCCTTGTGACTGGAGATGTTTTTTGTTGCTGCTGCATGCGCTCTGCAGGACCTGGGATGTACATGGTTCTAAAAGTTCATGGCATAGAAATGACCTGTTGTAAAGGTGATCAAAACAAGAAGATTAAATACCTTCAGTTTCTCATTCTGGAGGCGGCTCAGAGTCAGAATGGCTCGATGGTGGAGAGGAAGTAAAGGCTGAATCACGGCAAAGACATTATTTAAAAACTTTTCACCCTGTTTTCCTAAACCTATACGAGTGGGTGTTTCCTGGAGAGTATAAACCTGTCCAACAGAATTCATCCCAGTGTTGAGAACCTCAGGAAATGTCAGAGGTCGTGCAATGTTATCATCTGGAAATATAAGAAATACAAATATACTGTTAATAAAGCTCTTTGCACTTGTTGATGTACACATTGTTGTTTTTACTTTGAGTCAGTAGTGAAAGCTTTTCTAGCAACATTGCTGATTGGCTCGACATAGAAATATTAACAGGCAGTCCCAGAAATGACAAAAAATGAAGGAGAAGTCGAAGCTGTAATTCTGGAGATGATAAACAAATCATGGACTGGCCAATGTCATCAAACAGAACCTAGGAACAAAAGAAGATGAGAGAGAGAGTGTGTATTTGAATAACTCCTTCTCCATGGCAACAGCACAGATGTACTTTCGTAGTTTGTGCAGAACCATTACCTGTCGGTCAGGATCTTCACAGTCCTCTTCTGATTGGCCCTGGGATTTGTCTGGTCTCCACGGTAACCACTGAGCTGCCTCCCGTGATGACTCCACATCTAACCAGATCTTCCATTTGGACTGTTTTGGATCTTTGACCTCGTCTTCCTCCTCCTCTACTTCTTCCTCTTCGTCTATGAAATAAAACACAGATAAAATGTGTGTCTGTAGTTTTTAATGTTGTGCCTGACGTTGTACCTTCACATGGCTGCAGCCAACCGCCTCGCTCCTGTTGAAGCATCCACGACTTCCAGCCTTTTGATCCAAACTCACCCACTCGAGCTTCACCACTGTCCCAAAAAGTCTCAAAAAACTCCACCTGAACAAGTAAATGAAACAAATGATGATATTGAGCTGCACATTTACATTTTGATAATTCCCAAATGACTGCACACCTGCTGCTTGGTCAATAGTTTTTGTACAGTTGGGGGTTTTAAAAAAGTAAACTCTATCAAAGCCTGAAACAAAGAGATTGCCTTTTCTGAGTGACCGGCCTGACGCAGGAAGTGGCACTGCTGGATGAAGATGTCTAAAATGGGAAAATAAGATAAATTGTAGATTTACAACAAAAAAAGAGAATCGAAATATTCCTTTTCCAAAGGTTACCCAACATATCCTCCTCCACCCTGGGCAGAGCTGGATGAGAGACCATGCTTCCATCTCGAACAGCACTCAGAGTGCTCAGACATTTCCCATACGCAGCGTTGACTTTGGTCACAGAGAAGTTACTGAAATAGCTCTGCATGAACAGTAGATATTCCTTCCACAAAGACGCACTGTTTGGGTGAAGAAAAACCTGCACGGTAGAAGAGACTTTAGACTTTTCAAGTTTAAGTTAGAAGTTCAAACATAGTAATAGTTTATTGCTTAACTTACCAGTTTCTTCCATTCTTTTGCTAAAACTGAGGACTCCCAGAGTTCTTGGCAGATCTTTAATCTCTCCAGTTGAAGAGGAATACAAGTGGGATTAGAAGCAACAGCTCGGTCTGCTATGCTCAGCTTTTTCTCAAGCACTGCTCGATATGAAGTTTTATGTCTCTCTGTGTGATCCCGGCGCTGACTGTCCTGCTCATCACTAAATACTGTCGCACTAAGTTCATCCTGGACAACAAATCCATAGCATTAGACAATATTTACACTTCATATTTCTCTAGAAAACACAAACCTGATAATGCATAAACTGTATCCACAATTCAGTATCATCTGGTTGCTCTCTGAGTCGTTTGTTAAAGTCTTCTGTTTTCCTTGTGAAAAACTTTGATATTTCTGATGTTTGTGGATCTGTTTTTTTGTCAGGTTCATCTGGTTTCCCTTTACCCTGCACCCAGAGGGCAGTGGATGGGTCGTACACACCGAGAGGGTTGAAGGATGAACTCTGTGACCGCTCACCTGGGTGCACACACGCTGTTAACAAAGGCTAAACTATGAAAAACAAAACATCATATAAAAAGGTTTCTTACTTGTCAGAGATTCTGTATTTTCTTTTGTATCGCACAAAGCAAGGAAAGGCTCTCCCTTAATGTCAATGTTTACAGAAGTTGCTGTAGGTGCTATTAAGACGGGTAATTCAGATAAAAGTAATTGGCGACAAGCTGTAGAAAAATATCTCTCCTCTCCACATCCAACTCCTCTGCGCTTCTTCTTGTCTTTTAGTTTCTTATCAGATCCAGGGTCATCCCACACGACTCCCTGTCTGCGGGGATCTACACCCAAAACAGAAGAGCCTTTTCTACGGTACCTGCGATCAACACATTAGAAGCATTATTTTACTTAATTATTATCTTCTAATTAATGTATATATATAGTATACCTGGCCACATCTCCTCTATAAAGTGACTTGTAAGTCCAGTTGGCTGAGTCTGGCTTGTTGTCAACACAGAATGTATCTTTCAGTGCAGGACTATGGTCATCAAGCCAGGAGAATTTACTTGAAAATACATCACTTTTGGGCCTGAAAAAAGTTGACCATTTCTGTGTAAATACCAGTTGTTGCTATTCAGAACATTTTTTTTCAAATCAATACCTGTCATTATCTTGGTCTTTCTTTAAATCACTTGGGAAGACAATTTCAGAGTCAGATCCACTGCTGCCAGAATACCCGTGCCGCTTTTTGTGTTTTTTCTTTTTCTTCTTTTCACTTTTTTTACGCTTCTTTTTGTGAGACACATCCTCTCCTAATTCCTCTGCAGAGCTTACAGCCCTATAATAATAATAATAATACAAACATGACATATGCAAAATGTATTTTAATTTATAAAACAAAAAGTAAATCAAAATAATGATACCTTGAATCTGCTCCATCTTGTGTCTTCTCCAAAAAACGAGAGTGCAAAGAGAGCGCGTCTTGAGTTTGAAAACTTTTATTTTTCAACCAATCTAACTCTGTAATAAAAGAAAGAGAGATAAACATTTGGATATTTCATGACACTTTGAAGCAACTATGGTTAAAGTTCTAACTTCATTCTTACATATGCAGAAGCCAGTGCTTTTCCCTTGTTTTGATTTTTGAAGGCCAAGCTACATGGCACCGTGGAAGCTGCTGATTGGAGGACTGCATTCCTCCATGCTGTATAATACACTTGCATTCTATCGTGTTCGTGTTCGTGCTGTCTCTACCATCAACAATAAAACATGTCTTCTGTCTGAATTAAAGACACGATCCCAGACTTTGTCATCTTCTTCAAACATTCAAATGTAATTCATATTTAAAATGTGTAGACCTATGTTTGGCTGAAGCCATCTAGGATTATAGAATGGTAATAGAGTAATGTATCGTTTATTACCATCAAATACTTTAAAATGTTACAAATTTTTTCTGTTAAATAAAATAAAAAAGCATATCAATGCATATAAAATGTATACCTCTCTGCTCAGACTCCTGAGCAGATGGATTGAACCACTGACATAGTTGACATATTTAAAAATAATGTATCTTGTGACACCCCAACTATTCATAAAGTGTATATACAGCATTGCCTAATTCCATGGTATTATTTGTATTACTAGTATCCCTGACTATTACTAATACTAGTCCTGGATATACTTACACACTGAGTAATTTCAGATAACATGGCATAAATTTGTCTATTCACATAAGCAAGTATGACAAGAATTGTGTTTAGGAAAACAGCCTCATTAGCTCAGAGGGGTTTGTTGAGTTAACAGGTTTTAAGGGAAAGGTTTGTTGAAGGACCAGGGGAGCTAATGGTAGTGATGGGTCGTGCCGCGTCGGCGCTTCGGGGCGTGAGCCGAGAAATCCCTGAAGTTTTTATCGGAGCGCGGGCCGAAGCCTGAGTTGTTTTAGATGAGTGACGTCACTAATGACGTTTGAAGCCTCGGGAGCACAGGAAATGGAGCGATTCATGAAGTACTGCAGAGGATCCGCTCAAACTGTGTGTTTGTTTTGGTGATTAATTTAGTCAGTGATGGAGAGTACTGTAGTATCAGCTGGTTGGCTCAATTGATAGGGAAGCAGGGCTGGGACTTGGGAGACCGGGGTTCGAATCTCACCGGGAGTGCGTCGATGTAAATACACGAGAAAGAATTTTGTCAGAAATGTTTTGGTTTTAAACAACTGATGGGGTCACAATCCCAAATGATATCCCCATTTGTGTCACGTCCTTTTAAAAGCACTTAGTTACACTTTCAACATGTTTGTTGTCCCATTGGATTTATAACATTGATTTTGACTTGAAAAGCTATAATCATTCATCATTAAATATGTATATAAATATATATCTACATATATGTATGTGTGTGTGTGTGTGTGTGTGTGTATTGATCATAATGAAACAGATAAATTAATGGGTCATACACAATCAAATTACATTTTTATTTCTGTTACCAGTATTAATTCCTATGCGCAAGAGCCTCACAAACAGTTCAATTGTCAATACAGATTTTGACCAACAGGAGGTTTGTGAGCATATGAAGCATCAAGAAATGAACCTTTTCTCGAACCAATGGATGAAAAGGTTCAACACTTCATGAAGCTTCATCAACCCATCACTAGTCGAACTATGAAACTGTGACCATTAGGGTCACAGTTTCATAGTTCGACTACGCACGACAGAAAACACACGCAATATTTAAACCCGTCAACACAGAAAAGGGTTAAACAATTGTCTACCTTTTTGAGGATTTTCATCGTTTATATTTAGTTCTTCGGAAAAAGCTGGAAAGAGCGCCATGATGAAATTGTCGCACATAAACAGTCGCTGAGTGATGACGTCAGAAATCATGTAACGCTGTCGCTGGTGTTAATTTTCATGCGCAAACAATTATTTAATTTATTCATTGTGAATGCAGCAGTTTTTTATAGGTTTTTTTTATTTATACTTTCTGTAATCTTGAATTTTAATCTGGGCTACGCAGTTGTGTCAACACGTCGTCAAATTAAAATTAAACAAATGTAGTAATATTATAACTATAATAGCACCAGAATTATGGTATAATAACTTTAAACAAATCGCTGTTCTTTCGTTCTGTTTTGACTACAAAGAAGACGTCTCCACGTTTCTCCAGATGCTCTTCCAGGTTGTCAAACTTTTCCGCCATATTCTTTGGTTGTTATTAAACAGTGATTCAACCCGAATGAGTAAGGTGGAACTTTATATTTATGGTGAAAAGATGCGTTTAGAGAGCTAACACCATGGCTAACAGCCGTTCTGAAAGAGGCTACATAGTCACAACGGCAGGAAAGTAGCCAATGAGACGAACAGAAAGTCCCGCTGTCATAGCAACCGCCGGGGATAAGCTGCCGCCATGCGATCTGTGGTGACTGAAACGAGACGTGGAGTCATGTCGTGGCCAATCACAGCAGAGAGTCAGACCCTTCCACCAATGGGCTTTCAAATCTGTTTTGACTGACGTCTCTCCGCCCTTATATAAAGGCTCTGCTGCGTGCTCGGGGAGTGTCACTGCAGCTTTCCTCCCGGTGCAACACTGCTGTAATCTTCAACACTGCTGTAATCTTCAAGCTACTCCTCGAGGAAAGGTTTTAACCCTCGGTCGTCATGAGGGAAATTGTGCATCTGCAAGCGGGCCAGTGTGGAAACCAGATTGGCGCCAAGGTCAGAATCTAATTTTGATATTTAAAAAAAAAATGTGCGTCACAGTCTCTTGGTGCAACTCTCTGACATTTTGTTTTGGCGGGATGCTAATTTACTGCATGGATGTTCAGGAGAGCAGCTGGTGTCAGTGTGTGGATGATGTAGACTGTGGATGCGAAAGTGCTGAGTTTGTAAAGCCTGAAAACGTCTCTTTTTTTAAAAATTTTATGATTTGGGCGTTTTCAGTTTTGGGAGGTGATCAGTGATGAACATGGCATCGACCCCACCGGTTCATACAACGGGGACAGCGACCTGCAGTTGGAGCGGATCAACGTGTATTACAACGAGGCTTCCGGTGTGTGATTTCTTTTACTTTCATGCGTAGTAAGAATGTGTTGCGTAACCCAAATGTGTCGTTGGGACTGGGCGCAGTACAATGGCTTCTGCCTGGATACTGTCGCCATGTTTTTTATAACACGGTTTCTATGATACTAGGAATCAACCAGCCCCCGCCCCTAATGTAGAGGACTACGATTAATGAAATATTAAACATTTAACTATAAACTTTATAAAAAATAAATAAAATTAAAAAAAAAAAAACTAGCAAAGTAGAGCATTAACAAAGTATACGGTGGCTGAGTGGATAGCACTCTCGCCTCTCAGCAAGAAGGTCCTGGGTTCGAATCCCGGCCGTACCAGGGCCTTTCTGAGTGGAGTTTGCATGTTCTCCCAGTGTCTGCGTAGGTTTCCTCTGGGTACTCCGGTTTCCCCTACCACTAAAAATATGTACAATAGGTCTGGCATGCGCCTCCTGTTCGGCGACCCCGCTCCCATCTCTGTGTGGAGTGAGACTAATGCCCAAAAAATAACAATTGTAGACCGCTTTGTGACTCTGGTCTGTGAAAGGCGGTATATAAATAAAGCTTACTACATCATGTGCATTCCTCTTGTTCCTGCTTAGGTGGAAAGTATGTCCCACGTGCAATTCTTGTTGATTTGGAGCCTGGAACCATGGACTCTGTGAGATCTGGTCCATTTGGTCAGATTTTCAGACCAGACAATTTTGTGTTCGGTAAGATTGCAACTGTCTATTTTAAATGGCAATAAAATGTTCATAATCACATTCTGCTGATGTAGGTCAGAGTGGCGCAGGTAACAACTGGGCTAAAGGCCACTACACAGAAGGAGCTGAGCTTGTGGACTCGGTGATGGACGTAGTGCGGAAAGAGGCCGAGAGCTGTGACTGTTTACAGGGCTTTCAGCTCACACATTCCCTGGGAGGAGGTACAGGCTCTGGCATGGGTACACTACTAATCAGCAAAATCCGAGAGGAGTATCCAGACCGCATCATGAACACTTTTAGCGTAGTGCCCTCACCAAAGGTACTATTAATTAAATGGATCGAACAAGTCTGGGCTACTAACTTTCTTCTTTTTCTCGTCAGGTATCGGACACTGTGGTAGAGCCGTACAATGCCACGCTCTCTGTTCACCAGCTGGTAGAGAACACTGACGAAACCTACTGCATTGATAATGAGGCCCTGTACGACATCTGCTTTCGTACTCTGAAGCTCACTACTCCGACATATGGAGACCTGAACCATCTAGTTTCTGCAACTATGAGCGGCGTGACCACCTGCCTGCGCTTCCCCGGTCAGCTCAATGCGGATTTGAGGAAACTGGCAGTGAATATGGTTCCATTCCCGCGCTTGCACTTCTTCATGCCAGGCTTCGCTCCTCTGACCAGCCGAGGCAGTCAGCAATACAGGTGAAATTAAAGATTCAGTCAGTGGTTCTCCAGATGCACTTTTTTTTTTAATATTGTGGGGAAACGTCCCTAAAAGTAGTAAAGTTATCAAATGGTAATGGAATTGATCAGATGCCTATTGTCTCCAAAAATGTGTAAACATTTTGGAGTGGACCTATAAAACCAATGGGATTAATTCATCCCCAACGAACCAATGGGATGTGTTCACCCTCTTCTGCACTAGTTATCGGATTTTCTAAAACCTAAAATGGCTGAACAGAAAATCTCCCTGTTATGACAAAGAAAATAAAATGCTGGATGTTTGGTTTGGTGGAGAGGGAGGGGGGAGTAGTTTCCAGTTGGTCCTAAGCTAACAAAATTGCTTACTAAATCTTTAACAAAAAACCAATGTGAAATAGAAATAGACTAGAATATATAGAGGTTGAAATTGACTTTAGTTGTTGTTCCAGGGCCTTGTCTGTTCCTGAGCTCACCCAGCAAATGTTTGATGCCAAAAACATGATGGCTGCTTGTGACCCTCGCCATGGCCGCTACCTCACCGTGGCGGCCATTTTCCGAGGCCGCATGTCCATGAAGGAGGTGGACGAGCAGATGCTGAACATACAAAACAAGAACAGCAGCTACTTTGTGGAATGGATCCCGAATAACGTCAAAACTGCTGTGTGCGACATTCCTCCCCGTGGCCTCAAAATGGCCGCCACATTCATCGGCAACAGCACGGCCATTCAAGAGCTGTTTAAACGCATCTCTGAGCAGTTTACCGCCATGTTCCGCCGCAAAGCTTTCCTCCACTGGTGAGTAAGGCCCTATGTACATTTCTCCTGTGTGAGATTAATAAAGTATCTTATCCAAATACCCACACTGCACCCTACGACAGGTTTGAGTGCGCAGGTTATAAGCTTGGGAAATTGCATGGTCATTTTTAAGTCTGAAAATTAAAGGTCATTTCATCTGACCCTGTAGGAAACAAAATGAGTTGCTCCAAGCACGTTAAAATATATATTGGTTATTCATAAGCTGTATGATTTTAAGTTATCTGGTCTAAGTGAGAAGTTAAAATTTAATATGAATGCTTGCATGAAGTTGTTAGCATAGAATGTCTGGAATTCTTGATCAGACATTTATGCTCATTTCAAAGTAACCGCAAAACTTAAGCTTTTTTTTTCCAACGTTTTGGTGTGTACCGCAAAGAATTATGGGCAATATCCTTCGCCAGAGTCCACTCAGATGGATCAGGAGCTCTAAAGGGGGCGGGGCCAAAGACCTCCCAGGAGAATTGGGACACCCTACGCACTCTCACCCATCATCGGGAACGTGCAAATGAGGGGCGCCAGGGTGGAAGTGAGAGTGTTGGGACTGGGCCCTTATGAAAGATTTAGCTGCTAATCTCAGAAGTTGCTAAATCTTTCATAATCCTGCGCAGCTCCTGACCAGCTTCTGTGAATATGTCTGTTTCAGGTACACTGGCGAGGGCATGGACGAGATGGAGTTTACTGAAGCGGAAAGCAACATGAATGACCTGGTGTCCGAGTACCAGCAGTACCAGGACGCCACCGCAGAAGAGGAGGGGGAGTTTGATGAGGAAGAGGAAGGAGAGATGGCTTAAACGTTCTTAGCGATGCAAAAGTGAATGTTCTAGCATTTATCGTTCTGTTCTATTTATCCATTTCCTGGATCAATGTTCCTGGACCAATGTTTAATGACCTGTTTCCTCTACCAACATGTTTTGCTTTGGTTAACTGGATTTTACTTAAACATGTCTGAATAAAGTGCAACATCAATCTAGACTCTTTAACCATTTTGTTCATTATGAAATTAACAAAGTTGAGTAATGGAAAAGGCTAGTTACGTTTCAAGATTAAAAAATACATACTTGCAGTCTAGTTTCAAATGAAAGCCTTAAAGTGTTTGAGTGTAGGTAATGCAAATGAAGAGGCTGTCAACTACTGGACTCGGACTTAAAGACCTTATGACTGGTTTGATTTATTTAGAAATACAGTTTTAATACCATATTAGAACTACTAAAGGTTTCAAATTCACAGGCTTTGGTGACGTCAGAACGGGTCGCTGTAAGTTGTTTACAATTTGGTATTTGTTCTTTTTTTTGCGGATATTCAAGATCACAAGGTTGTGTACAGAGAGTATGACATTAGTACTAGAATGTCATATTTCGTTGTCACTGAGATAGTCCAGTGGTTGTGTCGATGGACTGTCCCACCTCAGACACTTTCACTCGGCAATTTATGTGTAGTGAGCAATTGCCACCTGTAGAGGGCAGTATTGTGTTGGGCATCAGTAGAGAGAAAAGGCAGTCCTGTGGCATAGATCCATGGTTTTCAATGCATGGGCGTTACCCGCTGTGACGTCACACAGGTTAGAGCATAGACAACTTAAATTCATGAAAAACACGTTCTTTTTATAAAATATAGGATTTTTTTTGCCGGAATCTCTTTCAAATTGACATTGTCATGCAATTTTGATATCCACTATTTTTTTTTTTAAAACCTGTCATAAGGTCTTTAACACGAAAGGACATCAGAGTTTCGCAGCTTTTCATGGAGACAGTCTGTCATCGGTGAATCAAAGGGTGGTATCGGCCAGAGCTCAGTGGCGCTACAGGAGAGAAAGCACCCAGCAGTTTACACTTAGAGGAAAGACATGAGCTGGACTCATTGCACTTTGAAGCATCTGTAAAATAACGTATTCACTTTAAGGTGTAGAAAGTACATATAGTTGGATTTAAAGATGTGAAACTAATGCGTCGCCTGAAAATAGTGTTATCAGGAAAGTATAGAAACAAATAGTACAGTAGGCTTCTTAAACGGCCATTTTTTTAGTGTGTATGTTCAATCATAATCCATGTATTTAATAGATTACTTTTGGTAGGAGTAATCTTAAAAGGCATCAGCTGATCGGGACAGAGTTTACATAAATGTCCTCGGCCAGAACAGGACCTTTCTGAGATGACTTTGCATGTTCTCCCTGTGTCGGCGTAGGTTTCCTCCAGCTGCTCCGATTTCCCCCACCACTAAAAACATTCACAATAGGTCAAATCCTCCAGCTCCAGTCCTGACCAAACAGTACCAACAGCTGGAGACTGGTTCCTGGGCGCTGTTACTATGGCGACCACTGCTCCTGATGTAAGCTTTTGTGGCCTCAGGATGTGTCAAATGCAGAGGACAAAGTGCATATTTACATTTACTCTGGTAAAACTGTATCAACCCCAGCCGCCTCCACTTCTCTGAGGAAGCGACAAAGTGCTGAGGGTTCTCTTTATGGGAACACATCACACACATGAACAATTATAAGTGACTTGCTGGGAATATATAGAGGTGTTACCCTAGCCTACTGTCATTTCCTGAAGCAGAATGAAACTATAAGTAAGCTTTATTTATACAGCGCCCTTCACAGACCAAGGCCACAAAGCGCTTCACAGTTTAAACAGGTAAAAACACAAAATACAATTTAAAATGTGCGTATACAAAAAATAATACAAAATATACAGTCAATATAATGGCCAAGACAACTCAGTGACAGGTTTAAAACAGCCGCAAGAAAATTATGTAAAAGCTTGCCCAAATAAATAGGTTTTTAGCTGACCTTTGAATGAATCAACCGACTCCATAAAAGAGTTATCCAATAAAAGCCATTATAAACATTAAAGGTATGAGGGTTTTCACATATTTAAGGAAAGAACCGCCCTCTCCACTTTTTGAACCAAACTCTCTGGTCTTATTTGACGAGCACGTATCACCAGAATGATTGACAAGTGTCTTGATGATCCACCCGTAAGAAGAAAATCCTCCTGTATACCTTTATTTTATTGTAGGTCCCGGCCAGCAGTCATATTTTTCTCTTGAATCCTTATTGTGCAAAACCTCTGAAAAAACACATTTCAGATTTGTCATTCAAACGATAGGAAACATGGCTGCAGTGTATTAAAATGAGCCACAGAGCAAAAGCCCAGTTTGAGAGCTCTGAACAAGATGGACTGGGATTTGTCTGTTCTGGAGGTTCTTTATGAATCCAGACTTTCAAACAGAGCTCTTAGAATAATCACAGACTCTTCTGGCCCCTGGAAGCGCCATGTTCCAGCTTCTTCCCTCTGGCTGAATATATAGTTCTCTGAGATGCAGGACAGCTTGTTTTGCTAACAGCTTCTTTTCACAAACTGTTTTCAGAAATCCTTTATAATCTGTGTCAGCTTGGAATCTTTTGTAGTTGTTGAGAATGAGCAGCTTTAACATGAACAAAACAGCTGAAATGTGGACTGACAAATCTCTCACACAAGAATCTCTAGAATCTCCTCAATAATGTCAATAATTGCTACTTTGAACGAATCCCTGAAGACATATTTTCAAAGCAAACCTTTACCTTTCAAAGTGAATTACACAAATACACTTTTTGAAACCCATTCCCGTTTCACTGGTGCTAGAGAATATTTGTATGTTTACGTGATAATTACAGTATATTATGGAAATGCTGTTGAAAAAAACATTTCCAGGATCAAAAACATAGTGTCTAAAGCAGACTTGGAGATTCTTATCCATGCATTTGTCTCCAGTAGGTTAGACTACTGCAATGGCCTGCTCACAGGTCTGTCCAAACAGGCTGTAAAACAGCTGCAGTACATTCAAAATGCAGCAGCTCGAGTCCTGACTAGAACCAGGAAATACGACCACATTAGTCCAGTTCTCAGGTCTCTGCACTGGCTTCCTGTGGCTCAGAGAATAGACTTTAAAACAGCTCTGCTTGTGTACAAGTCTCTCCATGGCCTCGCACCAAAATATATTAGTGACATGTTAGTCCCATATGAACCAGCCCGGACTCTGAGGAGCACAGGGACTGGACTCCTGTTAGTGCCCAGAGTCAGAACTAAACATGGGGAGGCTGCTTTTCAGATTCATGCTGCTAAAATCTGGAACAATCATCCTGAAGATGTGAGACAGGCCTTCTCTCTGACAATGTTTAAAACCAGGTTAAAAACAGTTCTGTTTAGCTGTGCATACAACTGAGGGATTTTATATTTTTATCTTTCGTTTTAATGTTCTGTGATTATTTATGATTTTAATGCTATCTTGTTCAGCACTTTGAGTTGCCTTGTGGGCGGCACGGTGTTATGAATTGTGCTATACAAATAAACTTGCCTTGCCTTGATTTATCATTAAAAATATAAATCACTAAAATGACTCAAACACCACCGGGCGACAGTAGCTCAGTTGGTAGAGCACTGGCCTTTGAGCCTGAAGGTCGTGGATTTGAGCCCACCACGGGACCTTCTCCACCGACTCCCACTGATGTCGTTGTGTCCTTGGGCAAGACACTTAGCCCCACATTGCCTGAAGCCCCCGCTGAAAAATCAAGGCTGTATCGTCAAACGGAGCAGCCATCCTCCTGTGGACTCACCCCCTGAAGAGGATCAGAGAGGTGGGTGCAGCTTTGATTGCCACCCCCATGACCCAGAAATGGATGGATGGGCTCAAACACCAACTTGTCAAATATATTTATTTTTCAACAAAGAAAAAAACATTTTAAATAACTGTTCACACACTTTGTCATACTAGTGTACACTAATACACTAATTCCCATGTAATAAAAAAATGGTAAATGTATTGAACAAAACAAATCTCATGAATGTATAAGTTATAACCAAGGAGCATAACTTTCAGGTTTATAACTTCAATTTCAACTTTTTTCAACAGTGAACAAATCTGACAATCACATCAAAAAGAATAATCAGCGTCCATTTTCAATTCTTGTTAAATCCAGAATTAGCTGAAGGAATGTCATCAGGGTCTTAAATTTGTACGGGATGTAAAATGATTATTATTGTGTTTTTCAGTGAGCCAATACAACCTAAATATAAAGTGGACACAGGTCTGAATCTTTCTTCACAAAAGTTTATTTACTTTGGACACTTGTACATGTACTGCCCAGATTACTGGTTAGGAACTAGACAAATTCAATAGATGAGAATGTGGGATAGAAAGTAAAAAAACTATATGGACGCTATACGCTCACCATTCAAAAACGCCTGCTCCACAAACATGTACGAGTCTGTCAGGCCGACGGCTCCTCGTGTGATTCTAGTTCATGGATCGATCTGTAGATTAGTCGTGTGTGATAGAGTTCAAAGCACGGCACGGGGCAGAGGCCGGGCTCCCCCACGCACGTCTTACAAAAATACGTGGTCTGCCCGAGCCGCACTTTCACCTCACAGTCCGTCTCCTCCTTGTTTTCGTTCTCCACGTTCTCCTTCAGCACGTTCTCCTCCAGCTTGGGCCTCTTCCTCTCCTCTGGATCGTCGTCCGACCTCTTTCTCTTGCACGTGGAGCAGACCTTGCAGTCGGAAGGGGCGTCTCTCGCGCCGAGGAAGTGGCGTCCGAAAAGGCGGGCGGGCAGACTGGAGTACGCCTGGGGGTCTTCGAGGGGGGTGGGCGTTGCCGCGGGTGAGGTAGATGCTTCCGTCGTGGACTTGGAAGGTTCCTGGCCGTCGAGTGGAGCTGATATAATCGGTAAAACACTAATTGTGAGTCATGCAGATCGAAGAGCAGGAAGATACACTGAGAAAGTCTAACGAATGACTTTATAATTACAGCTTGTTGCAGGGACTAACCATAAACATACCAAAGCTGGGGGTACCTGACTTTCAAAACACAAACTATCAAAAAACTAATAAAATGGACTGCCTGCTCGTTTCGGCCAAAGCGGTCTTCGTCAGGGCCTTTTTTAAATAAACTATCAATAGCTCCAAGCTTCAAAACAGTCTGGGCCCATTTTTCACACAGAAGTACCACCCGCACTCAGCCAATCAGCCCCTAACCCAAAGCATCTTTCTTTCTTACAAAAAGGTGCAATCAAATGTTTTTTTTTATTTTTATTGTAGCCTGATTTATGTCCAAAATGCTCCTTCTACAAAACTAGTTCTGTTGGAAAAAACTTGAAGGAAAAAAATAAGTTGGGTACCACAGCTTTAAGTTTTAATGGAATCTCTTATTTAAAACTGATTTTTTTTCAATTTTATTTAACTTTTATTCAACCAGGAAAGTCCCATTGAGATTAAGAACCTCTTTTTCATAGGGAATCCTGGACAAAAATGTGTGAAAGTAAGAAAGTAAGCCTTGGTATGTGTGGTGGTAGAGAGGGGTGGATATTTACCTGTGGTCTCAGGCGGACACAGCAGCTGGCACGAGATCTCTTGGCTCATTGTGATTGGCCGGCACATAATAGACTTGTTTTTCATTTGCCGTCGACGAGCCACATATGGGCCAACAGTCTGGGTACTCGCCTACATCAACAGCAAAATATTAAAACGCATTTCATCATTTTGATTGGACACAGACTCGACAAATACATACGTGGTCCGAATTCTTCATATTTTTGGATGAAGGAGGAGTTCCTGGAAAAGAGAAAGCTGTTACAGGTTTAATTGGTTACTAGGACTGTGTTGTTGTTGTTGTGGGGTATTTACCATTGAGCTTTGGGGGCACTGGGCCTGTCCCGTTGCTTGTAAGCCGGGATCCTTTATTAAAATGCGTGTGGCAATACTGTAGAAGGCAGGTTAAGTTGCAAAAGTTTCTCACTGAACCCATGCACTGCAGGTTCTCAGTCATGTGGCACTGTTTACGGCAACTGTCGCAGCGAGCCATCTGGCAATAAAAACAAATGATCGTGAGAGTCAGAGAATGAGAGACGTGCCGAGCTGAACTGTGTCTATCCGCGTCCTCCTCACCCCGTAGTATCGCACTGTGTACTTGGACATACAGTACGGTTTACAGAATCCTTTCATCTGGCCACAATAGTGACTCTGAACGTTTTTACTGGAGAATCTGGAGCAATAGCTACATGGATTTTCCAAAGTCTCTTGGTAGACATTCCTACAATCTAAAATTAAAAAAAAGAAAGAAGTTAGGTGTGTAATATATTTGACAAAGAAGCAGTGGGAAAGATCTACCTAGCCACATTTTGATAGTTCAACCACTAGATGGCGCCAAAACACTTCCAGTGCGAGCAACGTTATTTTTCAGGGTTACAGAATTGGATTTGATAACTTACTTTCGCTGCAGAAAGACACATCTTCATCATTGTGGCTAATCTTATCGAAGAGAATGGTTTCCGCCTTGCAATGCCCGCACGTGGCCAAAATTTTATTATGCATTTTATACTCAAAACTACAAGCATTGCTGCAGAATATCGAAATAGTGCCCTGAGAAAAACAAAAAGACAGTTACCCTTATATACACAACATAAACAAAATGTAAAAATGTATTAAACTAGTCATGTCTTAAGTATTAACATAACAAACAAAGGAAGGTTGCTCACTCAGTGTACTTCAGTGAGCAGGTTTTTACAACGTTTTGTTCTTAATCCAAAACGCTTTCTCAAGGAAATGAAAGCTCAGCCGTGAGTTAAGAGTTAGGGTGAGATTTATAACCTGTCAGTGCGTTTACAGACACCGCCTGATCCTGAGACTAACTCATTAACAACAGCTAAAGTCTGATCAGAAGTGGATGGGACCAGAGATGATGAGCTTTCTTTTCTTTCTTTTACGAAGTTCTTAGGATTAAGGACAAAAGATTGGTAAAAAAAAAAAAATAATAAAAAAATAAAAGTCTCCCAGATCTGCACAGGCAGCTCCCACACTCTGCACTCACACTACAGTCTGCTCCCATCAGGGCATAGGTTCAGGTCCCTCCCATTCAAAACAAAAAGGGCCACATCCAGCTTCCTCCACAACCTCAATTCACCTTTAAAACTGATCTGGAGACCTGTTTTTATGCATTTTAAATCGCATTTTGGCTCTTTTACTGTATTTATATTTAGATCTTGTGTCTCTGTGTTTTTGTGTTCCCCACCGGTGCTCCGTCTGTAAATGAAGTTCTTCACCGATGCATAAAGTTATATGAATGGAATTGAATTAAACTTGCTAACTGAAGTACATATGATGAATGAGCGACCTTTCTTTGTTTTGAATAATCCCTGTACCACAGAGCTTACACAAACTTACTGATATAATAATAATAATATGCATTCTTTCTACTAAAATATGTAAACAATAGAAAGACATGTGAACCTACCTGGTGACTCATCAGCTGAGGTTTGGATCTGAACAGATTTTTACAGTTATTGCAGGACAGTTGGATTTTAACTTTTTGAGGCTGAATTGGTTCTGGCTCGAAAACCGGTGGAACTTCCGACTTAGGAGGGACAGTTGGTGTGGTCGGCGACGGATGGGAGTTTGTATTGCGCGTCAATGAATCTTTACAACTTGAAATATTGTCCTTTGAAGGCGGCGGGTCTTTCACAGATGATTCTTTGGGAGATTGGTTCCCATTTGTAACGTTTGTGCGGCTAAATTTCTGTAATAAAAATGGAGAGATATTTAACATTATGGATGAACCAACATATAGTCAAAATGGTCGCACCCTGTATGTCGTAACACAGTCAAGTGAGCAGAAGTTCCGTATCGTTCCATCCACCATGGCCAGATGATACTGTGGAACCGCAGACACCTTGCAATGGCTGCAGGGAAAAGCCGTATCTGGAAGAAATAGGAATGAAAATGGTGATGTGAACGTTTTTCCAAACTTGTCAAATAACTAGTAACTAAAATTACCACTAAGAATGTGTTTTGAAGGTCGACTTTTTTCAACACAGAAAGTTGAGCAATACAGTTGGACCTTCCCCTTTTGGTCCACCTCCATGATCGTTGCTGATACGACAGAAACCTTACGGCAACAGGCACAATCGGTCGTTTTCCTACATGTCTGAGCAAAGAGAAGAACAATCAAATACTCATGTTGTTACTGCTGTTAATGTTGAACTCCCAAGACTTAAAAACCCATACTTGTTTGTAAGTGCTGATGCATGTCGGGCCACAGAAATTCAGTTCAGATTTATCCACCATAAGAGTTTGACAGGAATCAGAGTTGCTGTTGCAGTAGAGTCCACAGCCTTCGCAGCAGTTTAAGGCCAACTGCTTAATTTTACGCCAGGACACAAAGCAAACGTCGCTGCAGAGTTTGTAAAGAGACCCTTGATGGTTAACCTCATGCTCGATCTGGAAAAGAGAACATTCCCGAGTCAAATAAGACACTGAAAAACTGAATTGAACTGAACAAAGAGTGCCATGTCGCTTCACGTTACCTTGCCGGGGACTTTGCACACACTGCAGGTGGGTTTTTCTGGTAACTTTGCTAGTTTTTTATCAGTTGTCCACTTGTCTGTTTCTACTTTTTTCTTTTTGGCTCTATACACAGATAGACAAAACTGCCCACAGAAGTTCAACAAGGAATTGTTTTCTACTGACATTGTGACCATCTCCCTTGGGTTTACAATTTCTCTGAAAACACAGACATTTTAAACATGGTTAAACAAAGTATATTGAGTGGATATGAATGTGTGAAGGTTTGAAACTCACTTGTAGCATTGAAAACAGGTTCGATTTTTGGCGACTAAAGGGAGGTGTCCCGTCAGACATACAGTGGAGCAGAAGAGCTGTGTCGAGCCTTTTCTTTGGAATGCCGTTTGACCTTTCATTAGAATCTGGGAATAAGACGTGATCATATTTAAATACATAGTGAAAAGTAATACACAGTGAAACATAGTGTATATACATAGCAATACACAGTGAAAGTAATATCATTTTCAGTTTGTCATAGTACCTTGGAACAGCCACTGCAGCGCACACCACCGGGTACGACGGGTGGTGGAGGGCGGGGGACCATTTGTGGTGCAGTGGGCAAAATATTCATTATAGGGACCGCCGGCCTGATCGGCAGAGGAGCCATGATCTGAGGCACCGTCCCTCGTCCAGAGAGGAAAACTGTGGTTGTGGCAGGCATTTGTGTCAGTGTTGGAATTGGTGCTGAAACTGGAACTGGAACTGGGGCTGGAATCGGGGCTGGAATTGGGGCTGGAATCGGGGCTGGAATCGGGGCTGGAATCGGGGCTGGAATCGGGGCTGGAATTGGCAGAGGCACTGATGCAGGGACTGGTGCAGGCGCTGAGAATATACGGAAAATCAGTATAAATGTATAAAGTTTTAAAAAGTACTCTATATCTCACCTGATGGATGTGCAAAAGTGCTGCTGCCGCCTACAGAAAACACTGAACTGATCCTCAGCTCCTCCTTCAACAAATGAATGACCGTGAAAACATAGTTGGTGGTAAAATGGTTGTAATTACACTTTGCTAAACTTGCCTCCTGCTCCAGTTCTTCTTTGACATCTTTGATTGAGCTCTGGGGCAACAGCGCAGCATCGTACTCTTCATCAATGGGCTCGTCTTTGATGTTTACATTAGGCGACAGAGGAGGATGAACGTTTTCCGGGGCTGCAACCGGTGGCTGTTAAAATATAGTAAGTAATTAGTAAGTAATCTTTATTTATATACCGCCTTTTCACTGCACATTGGAGTCTCAAAGCGGTTTACAATTGTTAATTTTGGGATTGGGGTTGCCAGTACAGGAGGCACATGCCAGACCTATTGTACATATTTTTAGTGGTAGGGGAAACCGGAGCACCCGGAGGAAACCTACGCAGACACGGGGAGAACATGCAAACTCCACTCAGAAAGGCCCTGGTCCAACCGGGATTCGAACCCAGGACCTTCTTGCTGAGAGGCGGGAGTGCTATCCACTCAGCCACCGTGCCGCCCAATATACATAGCATATATGTTTTTGCAGCACATTTATGCTACACTAAGAAGTATTATAAAACGTATTATTCTAGGTATTATTCATGTAAACCAATGTAATTCCACTATAACACAAATAATGTCATATAATAAAATGGTATTAAGTCACACACAGTCCTAAACAGTGAACAGCTAAAACTCACTGGTTCCTGCTGGCTGTCATCAGTCTCTGAACTTCTTTCCGCATTATCTGAAAACAAATTCAAATACTTTTACAGATACACTCACTATACATGTGATAACTGGTACAGTACTTTAAATTCTATTACCTCGGCCACTCTCTCGCCCCCGCCGCACAGAAGAGGCAGATGAAGTTGATGACCTACTGCTCACATTGTCTTCTGCTTCTCTTGAATCACCGGGAAAGGTTTCACTTTGAGATTCAGATTTACCTCCTTTCGACTGGGTGCTTTTAAGCGGAAAGTTAAAGTCCCAATCTTCATCTTCGTCATCCTCCAGCCCAGGCGGTGGCGGGGCATCCATGGCATTGTCAAGTGCTGCTCCTCCACTTTCAGCATTTGCACCGGCTGTAAACGAAGGAGCCGACGAAAAGGAAGCAATGCTAGGAAACAACCCGTCCGTCTTTTCCTCTTGTTTGCTGCAACTGCTGTCCTGTTCACCAAGTGGTTGATCTTTCTCCTCAACTTTAGAATCGTCTTGACCACTTTTGGAAGAAGATCCTGAACCTCTGGAGAAGTCGGCGTAGCGTCCAAGCCCCATCACTTCGTCAAACATTATGGACATGCGCAAATCGTTTTGTTGCTATTAAAAATACAGAGGGGACATTCAATAATCACTTTCAGTTCAGCTCATTTCTTCTTCTTCGGTCACCACATTCAACACCACAAAAACAAATACATAAATAGGCCAAGGGGTTCAGGATGAATTATAAACTTATTTAGCCTATCCTCTATGTCTGTGACTCTATCACAATATTACATAATAATTTATACATCTATGGATACTCACCAATAAGTCAAAGATCAATATCTGAATTCAAGTCATCAATATTGCTTATGGATTACTTAGCATGGCAGGCAAACACACTCGCACAGGGTTAAAATATGCCACAATTTTGATAATTAGAGAATACATACCATATTCTAAATAAAAACGAGTTTATTTAGTACACAAAAAAGGCCCTTGCAAGCAACTATACGATTGGGCTAACACCTACAATAACATCTTTTGTCAAAAACAACACGTCTCAGTTTAAAGTGTGATAAACAGAATTCCAAACACTAACTATGGGAATTGTGTCGATTTTGTATTCATGGTTAGTTTTCACTCCAATATAAACCATCCGACCCTATTAGTGGAAGTAGGATGCAGAACTCTTTCAGGAATTAGCCTTTAGCTTGCTAGTGCTAGTTAGCATTAGCTAGCATACGATTCAACATCTGGCCATCCGACGAGGCTTCCACAGGGACTTATTAGATGCACATTGAAAAAAACCAACAGTGCATTGGATGTGAAGCTCGCAGGCTTTCATATACTCATGCAAGTACCTCTAAACGCGTAAGCCTCGTTTCCTCCGATTCCGCCATGTTTTAATAATGCCGCAGACGCTAAACAATCCACCCTCCGCACGGGTTCTGCATGAGGGGCCGCGACTGATGCTGAATACCAACTGAAAACTCACACAAACACTTCTAAACACAAGTAAATGTGTGAAGTTTGTTGGCGAGGGAGTTTTGCAGCCCAATGAAAAGGACAAAATGCAACGTGTGCAATTTTCAATCATTTGTCTTGTACTTATAAATGTACTGCTTTCGATATAGAGCTATGCTTCGTCTTCCCGTCCAGCAGAGGGCGCACAACTATGTCCGTGTGGGGGGGATTTTACCGTAAAAACAAAATAGAAGCACAAATAATAATAATAATAACAATACTTAAAAAAAAGAAAAAGAAAAATCGGTAACATTAAGATTAAGAGATTCTTTATTCGACCCACAGCGGGGGAATTTAAGATGGTCGGCACTATATATATATGTATATATGTATATATGTGTACATATGTATATGTGTTTGTGTGTATGTGTGTATGTATGTATATATGTATGTATGTGTATATATGTGTGTGTGTGCATGTGTATGCATTCGTACACATATATACTTTTTTTGTTTCTTTTTTTTTAACTTGAAGTTATTTTTCCCTTTTTAGGAACATGCTTATTTATTTACCTTTTTTACATAGCCAAACATAACTCTACGAGATACACTGTCAACCTGGAGACGAACTGGGGAGGGAGGGTGGTAGTGGGAGGGGGGGTTGTGTATATATAATAAAAAAACACGCACATAGACTGTACTTGCTGTCAACAACTGTAAATGCATCTAATTGTGTGTATAACAAAATAAAAAATAAAAAAAAGATGGTCGGCACTAGATCATATACGGAATCGGGACGAAACCGGAAGTAACAATCCTACTTTCAAATTAATTTTAGACTAATTCGTCCTTAAATGGTGACTGGTTAAGTTTTAGGTGTTTAAGTAAGATAGTTAAGGTTAGGGTTAAGGGTGGGTTGGGGTTATTTTATGGGAATGGCTGGTTAAGTTTAGGCATGAATAGGTAGTTTGTTATTTTCACTTCCGCTCGAATCCGGTTTCCGGGACGAATCCGGGAGTGACACCAATAGGAGGATTTTCTACTTCCGGGTGGATCATATACAGTCTATGGTCTTCCCAAATGTTGTTGTTATCATTCTGGTGATACGTGCTCATCAAACAAGACCAGAGAGTTTTGTTAAAAAAGTGGAGAGGGCGGTTCTTGTGTTAAAGTTTTTATCATATTATTTATTGTATTATTCTTGTGTGATCTTTTTCTTGTCCGACCCACGTTTCTGTAGTACATTTTAATAATAATAATAATAATAATAATAAGTCATCAAAATGCACTGACAGACTGTACTATGGAAGGACGAAAAAAAAAAAAAACACCGCTTCTAAAACTGAATACCCATTTACGATTTTTAGTCCGGATTTACGGTAATATTACGTCAGCGTGCGTAATCCATCATGGTAGTTTTATATTACTTCTGGGGTGGCGGTGTTGGCCTGTCCTTGTCCTTACTGTGCAGCAAAACCACGGCTGTATGAAATTGGTGTTGTCGTTGCAGTGAAATAACTTGGTGTGTGGGTGAATGTCTTTCCCCGCAGCTAGGGCGATGACAGCGGGCAGCCAGGCCTCTTTGTCCAGGTTCAGAGGGGCATTGGTGGCAGGGGTTCTGGGGGACTGTGTCGGTGGGGAGTTTGAGGGCGCAGAGGAGGTGCCCATGGAAAGCGTCTTGGCGCATCTGAGTGGACTGGACGATGAGACCAAGCGGACCGGTGTGTAAGAAAAAAGGCAAATCTACACTGTTTGAGCAATGTAATGTTTTTGATGTTCTGTTGTTTGGATTGCAGGAGAGCTTGAATATAGCGATGACACTGCTATGGCCCGATGTGTGGTTCAATCTCTGCTCGCCAAAACAGGCTTCGATGAGCAGGACATGGCTCGCAGGTAACACGCCAAGCAATCGCAATTCTATGTTATGCAGCTATTTCCAACTATGCTTCAGACATCTAAGAGCATGCATATTACTACGTCATTACTTATTGAGTTACCAGTAGCATGCAGGGCAATGTTAGTATAGTACTGTACTTACAAATGTAGGCTCATCGTCAATGTATTTTCTCGTGGGAACAACACCAGGTTTCAAGATCAACTTTTGAGTCAGTCCAGTTTGATGGTAGCCGTAGTTCTGGAAGCAATCTTTGTCGAAGTGTCGTCTGCAGACATACACATTCTTTGTGGGTGGTTTCGGAGGCAATTCCCTTTGAATAATGGGTTTCGGAGGCGCTTCTTTCTGAATAAAATCGAGCCACATTTGCCGTATTTCTTCGTCTTTGGGCAAGCCAAACAGGCACATTACTTCTTTACACCCAAAGACACATTTTCTCCAAGTTGACATGATGCTAACACTTTTACCCGGGGACTGGAGCAGTAAAAACTACAGAGCTCTGGAGCGTGGTCCCTTGTCTTCACAGCCGAGCGCCCCCTGGTGGTAGGCTTCTGCAGCTCTGTGCCGCGTCATCAAATTGAGCTGAGGTGTCGAGCTCCCTCTCCTGTATGAAAGAGAAAATGACCCTCTAACTAAAGCATGTGGGGATCAATGAAAAAACTACTTTGGGCATGTGTATGAAGGCAAAAAAAAACATTTTGATGATGTTTAAAGCATAAAGTCAGAATATGGGACCTTTTCGAAGCAGTATAGGAACGATGCATTGTAGAAAATTACTCCCAGTTGAGGATCCAAACAATGACTTTTCATACTGAATAATTACAATATGTGCACCGTAAAATTATTTATTGCCATACTTGAAATTTTGTGTCCAGTACTTGGTTAATGATAATTATGGGATTTATAGGAATCTTAAGTATTCTCCATCTTGTTGGTGGTGATAGAAGGGTCTGGTGCATGGATCTATAATAACGAGTCTAGTGGGTCCACATGAAGACTTCCGAATCTTGAAATTTGTCTGAGAGACTTGATTTCTCATATTCTATGGACGCCTCCCACCCTCTTTGGGCAGAGTTTAAGTTGCTTCCATCTGGCCGCATATATAGTTTCACTAAATGTAGGACCAACAGATTTAAGAACTTTTTTTTATCCCTGTTGCTGTTGGTGTTTTAAACCAATCATTGTAGCCATGATTTATTGTGTATAAATTGTTTACTTGTGCCGTTCTGCTGCTGCCACCACATTACCGTACACCTTCTATACATCTCCATTTTTGTTTTAAAAAGTAGATCATTTGACTACTTTCTATATTCTTCTCATTCATAATTTCCGCAGGTTTGCAAAGGAGTACAGTGCCTCCCCGGGTCGTGGATATGGGTCCGGTGTCATTCAGGTGTTAAAGAAACTGTCCTGCCCGCGGCTCAGTGACGTCTTCCAGCCGGCAAGAGACCAATTCAACGGTCGGGGGTCTTTTGGAAATGGAGGTGCAATGAGAGCCGCACCCTTCGCATTGGCTTTTTCTGATGCCGTTGATGTTAAAAGGGTGCGATATCCAATTTTCTATGGGACACAATGGACTACAATGTATTGCTTTGGGTTGATAGTAGTTTATCTGTTCTTGCAGTGTGCTCGGTTGGGTGCTTTACTCACCCACTCGTGCTCTTTGGGTTACAATGGTGCGATCCTTCAAGCGCTTGCGGTCCACTACTCTCTGCAAGGCGCATTACGGTCACCTCAGCAGTTCATCAATCGTCTCATTGCAGAAATGGAAGAGGTGGAGGAGACCGAAGTTGCACGGAAGGATGCGAGAATGTGAGTTAATATTGTTTTTTGGCTTTGTAACAGGCACATTTTTACAGTGTGTTTTGTTGGTTCAGATTGAAGGAAGCAGAGAAGCCTTTTTGTGAAAGACTTCATAGAGTAAAGGAGCTGATGGACAAGAGCAACATCAGCATTGAAGAAGTCATTTTACAACTGGGTAAGAGGAATTATAAGTTTATTTACTACTATACAACATTATTACGTGTGAATAGACCCATTTACTGGAGGTTGTCATGTCATTCAGGATTTTCTATAATAATAACTATAGTAATAATAATGATCAGATTACACGTAATTATCCCACCAAGGGGTAATGTGATTGCCTCTGTGTCTTTCTGGAGAAACTACTGGATGGATTGAGCTGAAATTGCGATGGTAGGGGGAGATTCCATGGCCTTGGCGGAGTATGGGCTCTCCGAGTGCACGTCCTACCTTGTGTGTGTGTCACTAGATCATTTTCAGTGTTTGTACAGTCTGCTACTTTGGTGCTTAAAAGGTTCTGTAGACACTTTTAGGCCCTGTTTAGACGGAGACACTGCTAAGCCATTAGTAAAAACGTCCAGGCTCCTTATTCAAGTGCACAGCTCAGTAGTTCTAGCACTCAGCCAGTAGGGGGCAGTGGAACTTTACAACACAACACACGCGACCCCCAGCAGTAGAACCACTTCCTCAACAACATCCTCCTCAGGCCTCGGCAAAGACGTAAAAGAACCAACATCGTTCTCTAACAGCAGCTGTGAAAATATAAACTACAGCTGTGGTTTGGTTCGGGCGAAGGAGTAGAATATTCCTCCGTTAGCGTAGCACACGTAGCATTAGTCGACCCGCCGCCGTTGTCGTTTACGTTCTACTGCGTCCAAATGTAAGTGGGGGAAGTGCTGAGGTCATCGCAGCAGAGAATTCACACCTTTTTCTTCACTCATCTGTGAAAGAGCCTGTTCTGTTCCTCTCTGGAGGCTGTTTCCCAACGCTAGTCCCAGTCTCCATGTAAACAAAAGGCCAAACCGCTACCAACTCTAACATTTTACAGGCGCAGCGTCTCTGTGTAAACCGCACCTTAGATGTATTTGTCTCCCTTTTTACCATCAGGAAACGGCATTGCAGCCCTTCACTCCGTCCCCACAGCCATCTTCTGTGTCCTTCACTGTCTTAAACCTCTGGAGTGTTTACCACAAAGCTACGGAGGACTGCAGAGGACAATCGCTTTCAGCCTGGCTCTGGGAGGGGACACGGACACTATTGCGTGCATGGCGGGGGCAATCGCTGGAGCACACTACGGCATCGAGACCATCCCTCCGTCGTGGATCAAATGCTGCGAGGGAGCGGAGGACGCAGACAGAGACGCTGAAAGACTACACACATTGTATCACCGAATGACAAAGGATGATGCAAACAGCACTGGGGAGAAGAGCGCCGGAGATGGATCCAGAAATGGGACGACAAAGACGGGAGGTGACTAAAATGTGAAAATAAATGGACACGTGTGGGTCACATTTGCGTTGGCGCACAAGAACAAACGCTATGACTATGGACATTATGTAAAGTATGTCATTAACCATTACTGAATTTCTTTTGTCATGTGCAATTGTTAATGTGGAAAAATATTTGTGAATATAAATTAATAAAAACAACTCTTTGATATTTTCCTAAATCATTTACGGGAAATTATTTAAAGGAGCAATACGTAAAAATCTGACCAATAGTGGGACTGTAATCATGGTTAATATTCTGTAGTCCTCTCCCAGACTCAGGTTGCCAGATATGCAGATGAATCCAGCTGGGACCATAACAGCTGAATAGACAAGAGTTTTGTCAACAACAAATCTATAACCAACACTTTTTTCACAAAGATAGAAATCCTGGTTTTATTCCTTGTTTTGTCGTTAATGATTTGAGAATCATGTTTTATATATCGCTTTTTTGGACACTCAAAGACGCTTTACAAGTCCTTATTTATTCACTCCAAACACAGTGGTGATAAACTACTGTTGTAGCCACAGCTGCCCTGGGGCACACTGACAGAAGCGAGGCAACCAGTATGTGCCATCGGTCCCTCTGACCACCACCAACCATTCATACACACACCAGACTCATTCTAGGCAATGGGGGTGAAGTGTCTTGCCTAAGGACACAACGGCAGTTTGGCACTTTACAGCCGACGCCGCCCCACTGTGGCTGGTGTTCCCAGAGGTTAAGTGTCTTGCCCAAGGACACAACGACAGTAGACAGTGGGAGTCGATGGTGAAAGTCGGGCTCAAACCCACAACCCTCCAGCTCAAAGGCCAATGCTCTACCAAATGAGCTACTGTCGCCAGTGAGATTAGCTCGATGCGGTGAGTTCTGGCGCCCGGATCACAGACTTTCTGATTGGTGAAACGGTGGAGGGCGGGACATCAAAATGAAAACAATAAGATTTAAGGGCTGTAAAACTAACATTGAAACTCAAATATCTCTGAACTACTGTTATCAGTTAAAGAAGTATTGGAAAAGAGTATGTTTTATTAATGCATTTTGACAGATTAGGGCTCTTTAATGAGGACTTGAGATGAAAATATTACTACTTTGATTACCGTGAATATATTTTTGTGTAGCCCTAATTGATTACAGCAGTCATCTGAGAGGACTTTACAAAATTGTCAATTTGCAAACGACAAATGAGAGAAACTGAGAAGCTAAGCCTAACCATAATTAATACAGTAATAGAATAAGCACCGGATGAACAATGGCTGTACATTTTCACAAGAACAAACTTTTCCAACAAGAATGAAACGTCTGGATTTATTTCCCATTATATAGTAAGTAAGTAATCTTTTATTTATATACCGCCTTTTCACTGCACATCAGAGTCTCAAAGCGGTTTACAATTGTTATTTTTGGGAGTGGGGCCAGTACAGGAGGCACATGCCAGAACTATTGTACATATTTTTAGTGGTAGGGGAAACCGGAGCACCCGGAGGAAACCTACGCAGACACGGGGAGAACATGCAAACTCCACTCAGAAAGGCCCTGGTCCAACCGGGATTCGAACCCAGGACCTTCTTGCTGAGAGGCGAGAGTGCTATCCACTCAGCCACCGTGCCACCCAAATAACATGACACTGTAAACATGTAGTTCTGTCTTTTATCCAGTTTGTGATGAGCGTGTGGTGCAACACTGAAATTTCCTCACTGTGGGACGAAAGTTGACAGCCAAAAAATGCTCAGGGGTTTCTCAGCTGATTCAGACTAATGTTGGTGTTCTGAGTCTGAATATCTCATGCATGTTGCTCTATCAGGTCAACTGTGTGAGATACAGCCAAAGTGTTACAGATGTACGTCTACGTTATTATAAATTCTGCTTATCAAATTTGATGGAGTAAATAAAAACTGAATGACTTTGGATACGTTGACTTTTTTTTTCTTGAGGAAAACGGAAAAAACGTCAAGGGTTTCTCAGCTGATGATCCGCAGAAATTAGTTTTTTACGCAAAATCGATTAAAAAAAATATTTCTGTAGCAAAAAATCCTGACCTGATTGAGCAAAACCAAGGTCATTTTCGGACTCAGAGCCTCAAAATTAGTCTAATTCAGCTGGAAAACCCTGGACTATTTTCCAAAAATATTTTTTTGTTACCCAGTGTTCTAGAACAGTAGGAAAGAGGAGCACACAGCACAAATTAAGTCAATCAATAGCTATACTAATTAAAATAAAACAATATCTAACTCTAGCATCAAATAACAAGTATAAAATCTCTATCTTGAAAATTATACTAAAAAAGTTTTAAATTTGGCAAAACAAGGCAAGTATAAAGTACTGTGTGTTCTAGTGCAAGCAATGTGTTGGTACCATGTTGGTACAGTATATGTTTAGCATCTGTACATTAGCAGCAGTATGTTAGCAGCTGCACATGTAGTTATGCAATGACAGTATATTTTTGATTTAAAGTTACATCTCCATCTCCAAGGTCAACGTCATACACGACCATTTCTAATAAAATCGTTCAGACTCTTTTATGTCCAATGAGAAGGCAGAATGTGTGGGTGTCCAGGTTCTTTGAGGCCCTCCCTCCGGGTTGGTCACTGGCTGAACACTAAACACTAGCTCGGGAATCAGACAAGAAGAATTTATAGTAACATTTCACACCAGTTGGAGCAAAAATTACATAAAGTTCCTCAAATGTTATTTCAAGTGCAAAACATTAGACATTTTTCTCTGCCGGTGAAACTTCCAGAAAGACTTGTAGGAACACGGTGAGCTTGGTTAAGAGGCGAGGACACACTTTGTAATGAATGAAAGGAATGTAGAGGATGATTCCGCTTAAGAGGGATAAAGCCACGTACAAATATTCTAACTGCGGATTGTCTAAAATGGGCGTCAGAACAAAAAAGATCGATGCCGCCACAACCAGCACAGGCAGTAAGATGAAAACCTGTCCCAAAAGACGCCAAAACAAAATTAGACAATATTCAGTTTGTTAAATAATCAATATTCAAACTACTAACTTTGTATGGTCTGGGAAGCGACGGTTTCTTAATGCGGAGATAGATGACACACGATACTGTCACGGCGTAGAAGAACCAGCCAACAAAGCTTGAGATGGACAAATGTGTGTTTTAATTTGAAATTCTACGGAAAATAAACAATTTCAACCTCACCTTGAGTAGTTGACAATGGTTTTAAAATCCCCAGACAGGAGAACGACCAAGGAAAATAAACAATAAACAATAAAATTAAAAATAAAATAAAAAAAAAAAAAAATACATAAATTAAAAAAAAATTTAAAAAATAAAATATAATAATAATAATAATAATAATAACAAAAATAACAAAATTTAAAAAATAATAATAATAATAATAATAAATAAATAAATAAAAAACAAAAAAATAAACAATTTCAACCTCACCTTGAGTAGTTGACAATGGTTTTAAAATCCCCAGACAGGAGAACGACCAAGGAGATGAAGGTGGTGAAGATGAGCGATGGAGAGGGAGTCAGTCTGCGCACATGGGCCATGGATAGAATGTCCGGCTAGAAGTGCATGCAAAAGGTTGAAGTTACAATTCCAGTCCTCCGTTTGAAAAAAATTATAATTCCAAATCCATTTTTCTTTACCAAAAGTCCTTCTCTGGCAACCACGGACACAATTCGTCCACCAGCAAACAGGGAGCCGTTCAAAGATCCAAAGGCAGACAAGGCAGCAGCCACAGACATGATCCATCCCCATCTCCCTAAAACCTTGTTCCTGCATTTAAGATGGAGAGATCCTTTATTTGTTCCACAGCGGGGAAATTTCAGTGTTGCATCACCGGTTACAGAACAGTAGGAATGAGGAGCACACAGCACAAGATAAATGAACTATTAATATAAGCATCTAAGTCCTTTGGAATAATAAGAAGCAAGAAAAAAGTACTGTTTTCTCGGGCAAGTAATTTACACCTTTACAATTTACAACATCTGTACATGTTAGCAGCAGTATGTTTACATCTGTACATGTTAGCAGCAGTATGTTTACACCTGTACATGTTAGCAGCAGTATGTTTACATCTGTACATGTTAGCAGCAGTATGTTTACATCTGTACATGTTAGCAGCAGTATGTTTACACCTGTACATGTTAGCAGCTGTATGTTTACACCTGTACATGTTAGCAGCAGTATGTCTACATCTGTACATGTTAGCAGCAGTATGTTTACACCTGTACATGTTAGCAGCTGTATGTTTACACCTGTACATGTTAGCAGCAGTATGTTTACATTTGCACATGTTAGCAGCAGTATGTTTACACCTGTACATGTTAGCAGCAGTATGTTTACATCTGTACATGTTAGCAGCAGTATGTTTACACCTGTACATGTTAGCAGCTGTATGTTTACACCTGTACATGTTAGCAGCAGTATGTTTACATTTGCACATGTTAGCAGCAGTATGTTTACATCTGTACATGTTAGCAGCAGTATGTTTACACCTGTACATGTTAGCAGCAGTATGTTTACACCTGTACATGTTAGCAGCAGTATGTTTACATCTGTACATGTTAGCAGCAGTATGTTTACATCTGTACATGTTAGCAGCAGTATTTTTACATCTGTACATGTTAGCAGCAGTATGTTTACATCTGTACATGTTAGCAGCAGTATGTTTACACCTGTACATGTTAGCAGCAGTATGTTTACATCTGTACATGTTAGCAGCAGTATGTTTACACCTGTACATGTTAGCAGCAGTATGTTTACATCTGTACATGTTAGCAGCAGTATGTTTACACCTGTACATGTTAGCAGCAGTATGTTTACACCTGTACATGTTAGCAGCAGTATGTTTACATCTGTACATGTTAGCAGCAGTATGTTTACACCTGTACATGTTAGCAGCAGTATGTTTACATCTGTACATGTTAGCAGCAGTATGTTTACATCTGTACATGTTAGCAGCAGTATGTTTACATCTGTACATGTTAGCAGCAGTATGTTTACATCTGTACATGTTAGCAGCAGTATGTTTACATCTGTACATGTTAGCAGAAGTATGTTTACATCTGTACATGTTAGCAGCAGTATGTTTACATCTGTACATGTTAGCAGCAGTATGTTTACATCTGTACATGTTAGCAGCAGTATGTTTACATCTGTACATGTTAGCAGCAGTATGTTTACATCTGTACATGTTAGCAGCAGTATGTTTACATCTGTACATGTTAGCAGCAGTATGTTTACATCTGTACATGTTAGCAGCAGTATGTTTACATCTGTACATGTTAGCAGAAGTATGTTTACATCTGTACATGTTAGCAGCAGTATGTTTACATCTGTACATGTTAGCAGCAGTATGTTTACATCTGTACATGTTAGCAGCAGTATGTTTACATCTGTACATGTTAGCAGCAGTATGTTTACATCTGTACATGTTAGCAGCAGTATGTTTACATCTGTACATGTTAGCAGCAGTATGTTTACATCTGTACATGTTAGCAGCAGTATGTTTACATCTGTACATGTTAGCAGCAGTATGTTTACATCTGTACATGTTAGCAGCAGTATGTTTACATCTGTACATGTTAGCAGCAGTATGTTTACATCTGTACATGTTAGCAGCAGTATGTTTACACCTGTACATGTTAGCAGCAGTATGTTTACACCTGTACTGTTAGCAGCAGTATGTTTACATCTGTACATGTTAGCAGCAGTATGTTTACATCTGTACATGTTAGCAGCAGTATGTTTACATCTGTACATGTTAGCAGCAGTATGTTTACATCTGTACATGTTAGCAGCAGTATGTTTACACCTGTACATGTTAGCAGCAGTATGTTTACACCTGTACATGTTAGCAGCAGTATGTTTACATCTGTACATGTTAGCAGCAGTATGTTTACACCTGTACATGTTAACAGCAGTATGTTTACACCTGTACATGTTAGCAGCAGTATGTTTACACCTGTACATGTTAGCAGCAGTATGTTTACACCTGTACATGTTAGCAGCAGTATGTTTACATCTGTACATGTTAGCAGCAGTATGTTTACATCTGTACATGTTAGCAGCAGTATGTTTACATCTGTACATGTTAGCAGCAGTATGTTTACATCTGTACATGTTAGCAGCAGTATGTTTACATCTGTACATGTTAGCAGCAGTATGTTTACATCTGTACATGTTAGCAGCAGTATGTTTACATCTGTACATGTTAGCAGCAGTATGTTTACATCTGTACATGTTAGCAGCAGTATGTTTACATCTGTACATGTTAGCAGCAGTATGTTTACATCTGTACATGTTAGCAGCAGTATGTTTACATCTGTACATGTTAGCAGCAGTATGTTTACACCTGTACATGTTAGCAGCAGTATGTTTACATCTGTACATGTTAGCAGCAGTATGTTTACATCTGTACATGTTAGCAGCAGTATGTTTACATCTGTACATGTTAGCAGCAGTATGTTTACATCTGTACATGTTAGCAGCAGTATGTTTACATCTGTACATGTTAGCAGCAGTGACACATGTGGTTCCATATTGCACATTCTGACAGTCGTTCCCAGGTATTGCACCGACGCATGACGTGTGAGGTCAGGTTAAGCCTCAGTGTTTGTTGTACAGTCTGACAGCAGCTGCAGGGAAAGACCTGCAGACCCTCTCCTTCACACAGCGAGAGTATTTTAAATGCGCTGTGATAATTTTCCCACTACAATAATGCATCACGGCGTTATTATTATTAATCTAGCTCCATGGTCCTTACCCCCATGTGACTGCTACAGCGTTGGAGGACATGAGCTCGTTGGGGGTCATCACAGACAGATAGCTCACATTGACCAACAGGTACAAAACTGTTACCAGGGAAACGCCGACGACGATAGCTTTGGGAAGATTTACCTGCAGGGAGCACAGACAAATCAGTGTTAATGCTGCTATTTAACCACATTTTGAACCCGACCAAATCTCACACAACAAACAGACATAGTTCATCTTTTACTTGTTACCCGCGAAGGAAAAAAAGTCTTGGCAGAGACAGAGACAGGGCACAGACCCCAGTCTCTCTCAGACCAGATCTGAAGCTCAGAGTCATACTAGAAGATACACTTTCATTATGCAGATAGGAAAGGAAGTACCAACACAAGTAATAGTAATCTTTATTTACATACCGCCTTTCACAGACCCAATTCACAAAGCGGTTTACAATGGTTATTTTTTGGGCAATTGTCTCTCCAGAACAGGAGGCACAAGCCAGACTTATTGTACATGTTTTTAGTGGTGGGGAAACCGGAGCACTCAGAGGAAACCTAAACAGACACAGGAAGACCATGCAAACTCCACTCAGAAAGGCCCTGTTCTGACCGGGATATGAACACAGCTCCTTCTTGCTGAGAAGTGAGAGTGCTAACCACTCTGCCACCGTGCCGTCAACAAAAGACACTCTGTTTTAGCGTATACAAAGGCTGCTTCCTCCTGATGTCTAACATACAAGCCCGCCAGACTTCCTGGAGTCTTCCTGGAGCTAAAGTGAATTACAAAACAGATAATATATTTTAGCCGCATATTATTTATTCAAATTATAACTTATTTCAATGACAATCAGTTAGAAATGGACAAAGATTCTCAGTCATCAAATGGTATTGCTTATGTGTGTGTCTGCCTGAAGAGACATAAAGATAACTAATAGACTGATGCTAACAAGAAAAACAACACAAAAATAAATAAAACAACAATAACAAAACAAGGAAATTAGTAGTAACTGAGGAAGATATTCTCTGTGTGTGTGTGTGTGTGTGTGTGTGTGTGTGTGTGTGTGTGTGTGTGTGTAATAATAATAATAATAATACATTTTATTTAAAAGCGCCTTTCAAAACACCCAAGGACACTGTACAGGCATAATAAAAACATTTAAAAACAGGATAAACAGAATAAAACAGTAGTCAGGTGCAATATGGGATGGTGTGTGTGTGTGTGTGAGTTAGGAGGGTGTGTGTGTGCGTGTGTGTTAGGTGTGTGTGTGTGTGTGTGTGTGTGTGTGTGTGTGTGTGTGTGTGTGTGTGTGTGTGTGTGTGTGTGTGTGTGTGTGTGTGTGTGTGTGTGTGTGTGTGTGTGTGTGTGTGTGTGTGTGTGTGTGTGTGTGTGTGTGTGTGTGTGTGTGCGCGCGTGTGTGTTAGGTGGGGTGGGACAGTCTGAACAGATGGGTTTTGAGTCGGGATTTGAAGAGTGGAAGAGAGTCAATGGTACGGAGGTCAGGGGGGAGAGAGTTCCAGAGCTGGGGGGCAGAGTGGCTGAAGGCTCTGTGTCCCACAGTGATGAGTCTGGCTGGGGGGACGGAGAGTGTGAGGGTGGAGGAGGAGCGGAGTGTGCGGGCAGGAATGTGAGGGTGGAGGAGGTCAGATAAGTACGGAGGGGCCAGGTTGTGAAGTGCTTTGAAGGTGGTGAGGAGTATTTTGAAATTGATGCGCTGTTTGACAGGAAGCCAGTGGAGTTGTTGTAGTACGGGGGTGATGTGGTGAGCTGTGGGGGTCCGGGTGATGATACGAGCTGCAGAGTTTTGGAGGAGCTGCAGTTTCTGGAGGGATTTGTTGGGGAGGCCGAAGAGAAGTGAGTTGCAGTAGTCAATCCTTGAGGTGACGAGGCTGTGGACGAGGATGGCGGTGGTGTGGGGGGTGAGAGAGGGGCGGAGACGAGAGATATTGCGCAGGTGGAAGTAGGCAGACCGAGTGATGTTATTGATGTGGGATTGGAAGGAGAGTGAACTGTCGAGGATGACACCCAGGTGTGTGTGTGTGTGTGTGTGTGTCAATTGTCACCATTGCCACTATACCAACAATAACAATAATCCTCATGTATGTAATGTATGTAATCTTTATTTATATACCGCCTTTTCACTGCACATCAGAGTCTCAAAGCGGTTTACAATTGTTATTTTTGGGAGTGGGGGTGCCAGTACAGGAGGCACATGCCAGACCTATTGTACATATTTTTAGTGGTAGGGGAAACCGGAGCACCCGGAGGAAACCTACGCAGACACGGGGAGAACATGCAAACTCCACTCAGAAAGGCCCTGGTCCAACCGGGATTCGAACCCAGGACCTTCTTGCTGAGAGGCGAGAATGCTATCCACTCAGCCCTCATGACCAGAACCATTTGAGTTTTCATTGCAAGATTAATAACAATAATAATAATAACAACAACAACAATATTCTTTATCATTGCATCATTATAACCATAACAGTAATAATAATTCATAATTTCATGATGTACTGCTACCTTCCCGATTTTATGTGTATTCATTTGACAGTTTCCCTACTTTATTGTGTGACATGTGAGCTACAATCCACGTCCGACCGGCTCTATGTGTATTTATTTAATATTTTCGGTGCTACTCTGATGTGATGCATTAAGAGACAGGAGATGGTGGGGGAGAAGCTAACATTTCCTGTAGTGAGATGCAATTCTGGGAGCCAGAGATGAGCATGGAGATGACTGAAAAAAGGATCTCTTAATGTTAATCTATTCTTTGAAGTTACCAAAACAGACCCTCTCCTTCAAATTGTAACTAGATCCAACACTTCTGAGTCTGAGGAGATTTCAGTGCAATGTCCAAAGGATAATGGGCAAACAAAGAGTGATGTGAAGTAAATTACTAACTACTTTGAGCTATTTCTAAGAAAAACTGTCTCCATTGCTTTCTTTGTGTTAAGTCTGTGGTTATTTTTTCTATGTTTATATTTTGAATTATGGTTGTGCTTTATCCAACGTAAGTGAGTTTGGATTCTTTTCTGGTGGATTTCTCTGTTGAAAATGGGTTGAATTGAACCAAAACTGGACCAATGATGAAAAAAAGTGAGTTATGCAGATTGTGAAATGTGTATTGGTTTATATGGGTTCAAAGATTACATTGAAGTGAAGGAGGTGGTTCTTTTCATGCTTCTTTATAGCTTTTTATATGTATGTATATAAAATGCCATGGCAGCCATTTTAAAGAAACTGACTTTATTTTTGTATTCATTACAAAAGTGCTATCCATGTCCATGCAGTGCATTGGGATATACGTCCTTTTGAAGAAAAAGTATCGCAGATTTATGCTGGCGTGACATTATATTTTAGATCGAGTTTTGATGAAACAAGGAAGAGAATGTGTTTCGGGTCTCAGATTGTGACCAATCACAGCGGACCACTAGCCCCCACTTTCATGAGAAATCTACAGGTCCGTTAGCACAGACGGCTGAGTTAGTACAACAAGTGGCGGAGCTAACCTGAAGCTTCCTCGTCTTCGTCACCGGTTACTGCTTACACAGCGAAACATCCAGCCAAAAGAAAGTCTCGTTCCTCCGCTCTTCCCGGTTCTATCGTTCTATGGTCACACCATCCACGTGCAAATCCATATCCATGTATTATCCATATTGGGAGACGCTAGCTCCGTGAACAACAGTGGGTGTGTGTGGGGGGCGATAGCTTCGTGGGTGCGGGGAGGGGAGCAGAAAGAGCGAGGCCAGCGAGTCCCCGGCTTCAAAATCCCAAAGTCATTTAGTGCAGCTTTAACCAGTTATTATCAAGGTGATGGTATAGGAATTGAAAAGTACCTATAATAGGGTCTGTGCGTTTGTTTTGTCTGGACTAAAGCATTCCCTGAACCTAAATTCTTGCATAAAGTCTGCAAAGATGAATAGTTTGTGTCTTACCTCTGGTTTTTTCAACTCCTCCGTGACAAAGTTAAGGTTGTACCATCCAGCAAACGACCAGAGTCCTTGGTAAAAGGCCATTCCAAACGTGCTCACAGAGGTCCCTGTTCCAACAAATGAGTTTTCGAGGCTTAAATTATCCACAATAGTGCTGCTGTCCTGTGCTACAGCTACTAATCCCCCTATCACGATTGTGGTCAAAGCCAGTACTTTCGCCACAAGGAAGACCACCTGAACTCTCACGGCAACACGCACATTAAGACTGTTCACCGTGGCGACCAACAAAATGGCCGCAGCACCAACACACTTGACCACAAACTCGGGAGGTGCACACCCTGGGTAAAACGGAGCCAGGGAGTATTCTGCTATACTTATAGACATTGCGGCAATCCCGAAAGGTTTCGAGAGCACAATCAAATTTAGTCCATCAAAAAAGGCTGGGAGAGGGCCGTATGTCCTGAAGATGTAGATAAATTCCCCTCCGGAGTCGCCGATGATGGTCCCGAGTTCTGTGTAGCAAAGGGCTGCCATCATGGACACCACTCCTGACAGAGCCCACACCAACAGACTGGCTCCAGGACTTCCCACATAGCTCAGTACAAACTGTGGGGACATGAAGATACCAGATCCGATCATGGTCCCAGACACGATGGATATTCCTCCAATTAACCCGATCTCCCGCTTTATTTTGAGGCCTTCAGGTTGCTTATCCATGGTTGTCGCACTTAAGGATCTGCTAAATGAGCATGTCTCTGCTGCAGCTGCTAGTTAAAAACCTTGTAATATCAAAGTTATTCATTAATACATCACAGTGTTTTGCTCACCACACAGGTCAAAGTGGCAGTAATAAAACATTCGTCATTCTTTGCGGCAAGGGATAACTTTCTACATAAATTGTTACTTGCTACAAACTGCTCTACCATTACATTTTCCAACTAGAGATAAGAATGACATCTAAGGAGTGAAACGAATGGCCCAGACAGACTAATAACCAGAAAATGAAAAGTTTTAGGACGTCTTGACATGGTGTTGATGTTGATAAAGATAACAGATTTAGATAAGAAAATGTGCTCATCTCTTTGGTCTTTGGATCGGCCGCAAAGGTGGGTTCTTCTCCGGTATAGAGGCCGAACCCTACGATTAACCATAATATCTGGACGGCCCGGTTTGCTGTGGATATTATAGATCTTGGTTCTCAGCAAGAGGTCCTGGGTATGAATCCTGGTAGGAGCAGGGCTTTTTCTGAGAGGAGTGTGCATAGGTTTCCTCCAGGTGCTTCGGTATATGTACAATAGTTCTGGCATGCGACCCTACTCCCATTTCTGCTTCTGTGACCCGTCTGATATTATGATAGATCCATGCCCATTATGCTTCACTCAGAGGCTGCTCCAACGCTGCTGCTGTGACCTAAAGGGCTGTTGTTAGCTAATTTCTCCTTTGTGAGATAAATAAAGCACATCTCTCATCTCATTTATTAGAATCAACAATTTAAAGATGCAGACCGTGATTTTTTTCCAGACACATTTTTTAAAAATATTGTGGGGAAAACGTAAAACGTATAAAAATAGTGAAGTTATCATGTGTTTTAAATGAAACCAATGGGATTCGTTCATCCCCAACGAACCAATGGGATGTGTTTACCAGTGTTGCCAACTTAGCGACTTTGTCGCTAGATTTAGCGACTTTTCAGCCCCTATAGCAACTTTTTTTCAAAAAAGCGACTAGCGACAGATCTAGACAATGAAATTATCTTTGTACATTTGTAGTTCTAAACATATTTAGGGTGCTTTTTACTCACTTTTGTCTCTCCCACGACGTTATTCCTCTCTCCTACAGCGTCCGTTACAGTTATTTGCAAATTGCCAATTATGCAAATTAGGCGATGACGTCATTTAGCGACTTCTAGCGACTTTTGGGACAGCCAATAGCTACTTTCCTTACTGAGGAGTTGGCAACACTGGTGTTTACCCCCTTCACCCTCTTCCTGTTTCTCTCGAGTGCATCAGAGTTATCGGATTTTCTAAAACCTAAAATGGCTGAACAGAAAATGCCAATTTCACGTTTGCTTCACTCTCCCTGTTGTGAAAAAGAAATGAAAATTCTGGATGTTTGGTTTGGTGGAGAGGGAGGGAAGGGGAGGGGAGGGGGGAGTGGTTTCCAGTTGGTGCTACGGCTAAGCTAACAACATCGCTAACTGCTATCTTAAATTCAGGGGCGTCCAAATTTTTTAGTAACAGGGCCACTTTAGTTCACCAGACTAGACCAGGGACAGACATCACGGACTGAAAAACTGTCTTGACTGGCATTGGGCTGTTCTGAGCTTTATAATGATCTATAACAGGGCTGAAGTTGGCTGAATGACACATGTGTTTACCATCGCACCAGCTACAATAGCACCATTAACGAAAGTGACACAATCAAAAACCACGTCAGTACAATGAGCAAACAACGTCAACAACGTACTGGGCTTTAGAACAAGGTCAATATTGGCTGAGCTGAAGTTGGATGGATGACAAGGTCTGTGAAAGGCGCTATATATGAATAAGGATTACTCACTTATTTACCCCTGTATTCACTCATTCAGCTTCATGCAACATTTTGAGATCTCAAAGATGCTATTTTGTTTTTAATTGTTTTTAATTATTCATCTTAATTGACATTTATATATAAGTCATTGACTGGCAGCCGTTTTTGATGATTTCACTGATTCTCAAGACCCACAGAATATTATTTCCTAAGACAATGTGAAATATGAAACCAGACTCTGAAAGACTGGATTGTCTACTTTCATCAGCAAAAATAAGTTTATTTCTAGCTACTTTTATTGTCCTGTAATCCCCAGTCCAACAGAGGGTCTCGGACAAATATGACAGCCAATGAGTTAAGTATATTTCTTTTACAAAAACAGAAAACACAAGATAATTACCTCTCAGTAGACAGGTAAAAGTAAATAAAAAAATTATGTATAAAAAAAATAAATGTTACAAAGTGCAATTGTCCATCGTAAACAAAACAAAACTTAAATTGATGACACATTATACGTTTTTTTCTGCTGGTGCTACTTCTAATAGCAGCTGTAAGAACTGGGTGAGTTTGGTCAGAAGCCCGGGACACATCTTGTAATGAATGAAGGGGACGTAGACGATGACGCCGCTGAAAATGAACAAAGCGACGTAGAGGTACTCGATCTGGGGGCTGTCGATGATGGGAGCGAGCACGAGGAAGACGGCTGCGATGAGGACAGTTACAGGGAGGACAATGGGAACCTGAAAAATGAAGTCACTCACTGTTAGAAATACCTTTAAAGAAATAAAATCAAATCGGTAACACTTCAAAATAACTACACTTTGTTTAGGCTTAATAAATGTTTGAATAACACTTAATTAATCATGAACAATTCATTAATTAAGTGTGACCAACAGTTAATAACTATGTAACTACTACTGTGAGATTTCATAACACTTTTAAGCAACTTTTGTTAAAGTTAAACTCATCATTCTATCAATGTGCAGAAGCCAGTACTTTTCCCTTGTTGTGTCTATCTGAAGGCCAAGCTACATGGCACCGTGGAAGCTGCTGATTGGAGGTCTCCATGCCTCCGCTCTGTATAATACACTTGCATTCTATTGTATCTGTGATCGTGTGCTTTGTTCGTGCTGTCTCTACCATCGACAATAAAACATGTCTTCTGTCAGAATTTATGACACGATCCCAGACTTTGTCATCTTCTTCACTACGCAAAGGAAGGTTTCTCATCTGTACTTCTTAGCAAGTTTTCCCGACGTTTCGTCCTCAAACTAGCGGACTTCTTCAGGGAATGAATTCTCAGACCGCGCGTTGGAGATTTATAACCTATGGGTGTGGTTAGCCACACCCTAATCCTGATACTAACTCATAAACAATCTAAAGTCTGATGTAGAAGGGAGCAGGTCTAACGACCCTGCTGAGGCTAACGACCCTAACTCATTAGCATGTCACAGACCTATTGTCTGCTGGGATGCTCAAGTGGAGTGCAGGTCTCACCCCTCCTAACTCATTAGCATGTCACTGACCTTGTCCCAAGTTAGGGCGTTGTTTTTAGGATGTCGTCATAGATGCGAGGCAAAACAAATCTTATCCCTCCTCCTCTGTTAAGAGAAGGTTTTTATTTCCTCACAAAAATGGCTTCTTTCACCTCTCTCTCAAACCAATTCTTCTCCCGAGCCAGAATGTTAACCTCTGTGTCCTCCACCGTGTGGTTGGAGGCCTTGAGGTGGAGATGAACAGCCGACTGTGGCCCACTAGAGTTTTCTCTACGATGTTGGTAAAGTCGTTTCTGTAGAGTTTGTTTGGTTTCTCCAATATAGTGGTCAGTGCATTCCTCTTCACTACATTTAATTGAATACACCACATTGCTCTGTTTGTGTCTGGGTGTTTTGTCTTTGGGATGCACTCATTTCTGTCTTAACGTGTTGAAAGGTTTGAAATACACAGGGATTTTGTGTTGCCTAAAGATTCTTTGTAGTTTCTCTGAAACTCCCGCCACATATGGTAAGGACACCCCTCTCCTCCTACTTTCTTCTGTCTGTTGGACTGTGTCTCTGGCCTTTCTCGTCCTTTGGGCTTTATTAAAAGACCACTTGGGGTAGCCACATCTGGAAAGTGCTCTCTGAACATGTTTGGTTTCTCTGTTCTTTCCTTCCGAGCTTGTGGGGACCTGGTGGGCTCGGTGTTGAAGCGTTCTAATGACCCCGAGTTTGAGTTGTAGCGGATGATTTGAATCAAAGGCCAGGTACTGGCCAAGGGACAGCGCCAAGCCATTGGTTTGATATGTAGACGATACATGGGTTAAGTTAAAGAAACAGGAAGTGGAACCATTTTCAGCACACATTAACTCGGTGGACCCTTTTATAAATTTAATTCGTGAGGATGCTAAGGAGAGTGAACTGGCCTTTCTAGATTGTAAGGTCATCATACTGGAGAACGGACAATTAGAGACTGAGGTTTTCAGAAAGTCCACTCACACTGACCAGTACCTGGCCTTTGATTCAAATCATCCGCTACAACACAAACTCGGGGTCATTAGAACGCCCTAACTTGGGACAAGGTCAGTGACATGCTAATGAGTTAGGAGGGGTGAGACCTGCACTCCACTTGAGCATCCCAGCAGACAATAGGTCTGTGACATGCTAATGAGTTAGGGTCGTTAGCCTCAGCAGGGTCGTTAGACCTGCTCCCTTCTACATCAGACTTTAGATTGTTTACGAGTTAGTATCAGGATTAGGGTGTGGCTAACCACACCCATAGGTTATAAATCTCCAACGCGCGGTCTGAGAATTCATTCCCTGAAGAAGTCCGCTAGTTTGAGGACGAAACGTCGGGAAAACTTGCTAAGAAGTACAGATGATGGTGAGAAACCTTCCTTTGCTTTGACTAATCCCTGTACGACTGAGGGCTTACACAAACTAATGTAACTTCTACAGTTAATAAATGCTTAACTCATAATGAACACATCACTTGTTCATGATTGTTTAATAATTTAATAATTATGAAGTAACCATTTGTTACTACATATATAGATGGTTTGTTATATCATGATTAAACCACATGTTAATGATTAATAATTGTATACATGATATAAACTATTACTGCAGTGCATGATTTATTCAGTCAGTTACTCACAGTTAAGAGATTTTGTGAGCTTTTGTTAAGTGTAAACTATTTACACTTTATTACACATTTGTTATGTGTAATATGCAATAATGAAGATGTATTTATTATGAGTTAAGCACTTATTAACTGTATTAGTTAAGTAGTTATTAAGTGTTGGTCACAATTAATGAACTGTTCATGATTTATTAAGTGTTATTTCAACATTTACTAAGCCTAAATAAGGTGTAGTTATTATAAAGTGTTACCATAAAATCATTACAATAATAGGACCAACCTTGTACGGCCGAGGGAGATCTGGTCTTTTGATCTTAAGATATAAAAGCCCTATCATGGTGATTGCATAGAAAAACCAAGCTGTGAAACTTAAAAGAGAAAAGAGAGAAGGTTAAGTTTCAAAGAAAATGCAGAAAACTTCACGAATTAATCAAAACTGGGGTGTCTGACTTTTCTGTAAACTACATATTTATTCCAATGCGTCTTAAAGGTAACATTTTGTGTACAAATCAGACGTCTTCTTCTTACTGCAGCATCTTTTATCACTTATTTGTTGAAAAGTTTGAGACCCCAGCTTTAAGTGCGTGGCCTCTACCTGAAATAGTTGACGATACTTTGAAAATCCCCGGGGATGAGAACCAGCAAGGAGACAAACGTGGTGAAAATTAAGGCTGGAGACGGAGTCAGTCTGTGCACGTGGGCCATGGACAGAATATCAGGCTGAAACATCAATCAGAAAAACAAATTATTTTATTTTGAGGAGTGAGTGTAACAGGAGCGAATGTTTACCATGACAACTCAAGTTATAACCTGGAGTAACTGACGCTTTGGTTGCCATGGCAACTCAGGCCATATTTGCTATACGGTTTGTTTCTAAAAGAAGAAATGGAGAGGTATGCTGTGAAAAAGAGACGTTTTTTACAGCTTGGAAAGAGTATTATTCTACGATTGGTCTACACTAAGGCGCACACGGTAACTTTATTTATATAATTGTGCCTTTTATTTTGAAATCTGTAACGATTTGTGGTTTACTGTATGGTAACTTACAACAAGCTCTCCTTTATCTTTGTAGTTTTCACGGTGTTGAATATGCCTGTGTGAAATTAAAGAGGCTGTGAGTGATTTTGTTAGCTTAGCCGTAGCACCAACTGGAAACCACGCCGCCCTCCCCTCCCTCTCCACCAAACCAAACATCCAGCATTTTCTTTTCTTTGTCACAACAGGGAGAGTGAAGCAAACGTGAAATTGGCATTTTCTGTTCAGCCATTTCAGGTTTTAGAAAATCCGATGCACTCACGAGAAACAGGAAGAGGGTGAAGACGGTAAACGCATCCCATTGGTTTATTTTCTCCGTCCGCTCCAAAATATTTAGTTATTAATTCTTGTAGATTAAAGGCATCGGATCAATGCCATTACCATTTGAAAACACATGATAACTTCACTACTTTTAGGGTTTAGGGACGTTTTCAGACAATATTTAAAAAGATGCGTCTGTAAACAATCACTGACTGCATCTTTAAATGCTTTGCCTTCTTGCTCGTAGACTAGAGCACAGCAGTTACAGGCTCCCATGTTCCGTGTTTTTCAACCAGTGGGCCGTGGTATGTTAATGGACCATGGGAAACCTTTCAATATACAGTGCCTTGCGAAAGTATTCGGCCCCTTGAACCTTTCAACATTTCGCCACATTTCAGGCTTCAAACATAAAGATATACAATTTTAATTTTTTGTCATGAATCAACAACAAGTGGGACACAATCGTGAAGTGGAACGAAATTTATTGGATAATTTAAACTTTAAAAAAAAATAAAAAACTGAAAAGTGGGGCGTGCAAAATTATTCGGCCCCTTTACTTTCAGTGCAGCAAACTCAGTCCAGAAGTTCAGTGAGGATCTTTGAATGATCCAATGTTGTCCTAAATGACTGATGATGATAAATAGAATGCACCTGTGTGTAATCAAGTCTCCGTATAAATGCACCTGCTCTTTGATAGTCTCAGGGTTCTGTTTAAAGCGCAGAGAGAACCATGAAGACAAAGGAACACACCAGGCAGGTCCGAGATACTGTTGTGGAGAAGTTTAAAGCCGGATTTGGATACAAAAAGATTTCCCAAGCTTTAAACATCTCAAGGAGCACTGTGCAAGCAATTATATTGAAATGGAAGGAGTATCAGACCACTGCAAATCTACCAAGACCCGGCCGTCCCTCCAAACTTTCATCTCAAACAAGGAGAAGACTGATCAGAGATGCAGCCAAGAGGCCCATGATCACTCTGGATGAACTGCAGATAACTACAGCTGAGGTGGGAGAGTCTGTCCGTAGGACAACAATCAGTCGTGCACTGCACAAATCTGGCCTGTATGGAAGAGTGGCCATTTCTCAAAGATATCCATAAAAAGTCTGGTTTAAAGTTTGCCACAAGCCACCTGGGAGACACACCAAACATGTGGAAGAAGGTGCTCTGGTCAGATGAAACCAAAATCAAACTTTTTGGCCACAATGCAAAACGATATGTTTGGCCTAAAAGCAACACAGCTCATCACCCTGAACACACCATCCCCACCTCAGCTGTAGTTATCTGCAGTTCATCCAGAGCGATCATGGGCCTCTTGGCTGGATCTCTGATCAGTCTTCTCCTTGTTTGAGATGAAAGTTTGGAGGGACGGCCGGGTCTTGGTAGATTTGCAGTGGTCTGATACTCCTTCCATTTCAATATAATTGCTTGCACAGTGCTCCTTGAGATGTTTAAAGCTTGGGAAATCTTTTTGTATCCAAATCCGGCTTTAAACTTCTCCACAACAGTATCTCGGACCTGCCTGGTGTGTTCCTTTGTCTTCATGGTTCTCTCTGCGCTTTAAACAGAACCCTGAGACTATCAAAGAGCAGGTGCATTTATACGGAGACTTGATTACACACAGGTGCATTCTATTTATCATCATCAGTCATTTAGGACAACCTTGGATCATTCAAAGATCCTCACTGAACTTCTGCAGTGAGTTTGCTGCACTGAAAGTAAAGGGGCCGAATATTATTGCACGCCCCACTTTTCAGTTTTTTATTTGTTAAAAAAGTTTAAATTATCCAATACATTTTGTTCCATTTCACGATTGTGTCCCACTTGTTGTTGATTCATGACAAAAAATTTAAATTGTATATCTTTATGTTTGAAGACTGAAATGTGGCGAAATGTTGAAAGGTTCAAGGGGGCCGAATACTTTCGCAAGGCACTGTATCACATAATTGGTCAAAATAGTGTGAAAAGAAAATAATGTGAGAAGATTGGAAAGATTCATGGCACTTTTCTTTCATTTTCTATATATTTATTTTGATCATACTAAAAGCTACAAAGTTACATTTTTGTCTCAGCTTCAGCCGGTGGTGTGCCATGTGAGACTAATCTTCTGACCTGCATATTTTGTTATATCTGCATTATATCTGTATTACTTCTAAACATTATTATCTTAAGACCTGAAGGCATTTGTTGCGACCACATTATCACCACAATATCTATATCTGAAAAGAGTGTCCTTCTTATCTGAAGTGATGACGTCTCTGTCCGTATACACATTGTATCAAATCATATAAAAAGCCTTGTCTCCTCTTGGGCAGCCATGAAGGTCCTGGGTTCGAATCCCGGTCAGAACAGGGCCTTTCTGAGCTGAGTTTGCATATTCTCCCTGTGTGTAGGTTTCCTCTGGGTGCTCCGGTTTCCCCTACCACTAAAAACATGCACAATAGGTCTGAATGTTCTGAGTGAATGGTTGGTGTTTGGTCAGAGGCTTTGATGGACCAGTATGTCTGAACTCTGAACATTGTTAAACGCTTTGGGTGACCTTGGTCTGTAAAAAGGCTCTATACAAAGTCGTGGGTTCGAGCCCACCGCAAGACCTTCTCCACAGACTCCCACTGCTGTCTGCTGTCGTGTCCTTGAGCAAGACTTTTACCCCACTATGCCCATAAGGAGCGCGGAAGTAATGGCACGCTGCATGCCTTGGTGTGATGTGTGTATATGACTATTCTTCGAACCGAATTTCTCCATCGTGAGATCAATAAAGTATTTTTCTTCTTACTTATTTATTTGATCTGGAGGGACTCAAATATAAACCGTGGTAAATGTGCAATCTCTGCTGCCTCGTCTACATCTCACAACAACAAAACGGACTGCCTGTGACACACACTGGTTACAGATGCAAACCACCTGCTTGGGTTGTTGCAAGCAATGGTACAAAGTTATATTTGTATCAGCTGTCATTTCAACAAATGTGGGTTGCTATTTTTTGTCTGTGAATTTTGTTATTAAAAAAAGAAAGCTAATCTAATCTAATCTAACAAACTAGCAACCCACAAGAGAGACTCTGTATTTTTAACAAGAAAGATTATAAATGAAATGACCAATGATCTGAGGACACGGAAAATGCAGATGTTATTTAAAGAAGCAATATGTAAGATTTTTATGTCAGGTCATCATTAAAGGGCCCTAATCTGTTATAATAATAAAACATGCTCTTTTCCAATTCTTATTTAACGGATAACAGTAGTTTTGAATTTCAGAATGAGTTTTAAAGCCCCTAAATCTTGTTATTGTTTTCATTTCGATGTCCCGCCCTCCACCGTTTCACCAATCAGAAAGTCTGTGATGCGGGTTGCCAGAACTCACCGCGTTGAGCTAATCTCACTGGTAAAGTACCATGTGGCACAGAACTAATAAAGGTCTCGTTATGATTCTCAAATCATTAACAAAAAAGAATAAAACTAGGATTTCTGGTTATAGATTTGTTGTTGACAAAACTCTTGTCTATTCAGCTGTTATGGTCCCAGCTGGATTCGTCTGCATATCTGGCAACCTGAGTCAGGGAGAGTGGGAGAGGCTGCAGTACCACTTTTGGCCAGATTTTTTCATACTGCTCCTTTAAATTGAAAATATTACATTTGATCTCTCTCAAAGTAAAGCTCAGAAATGTGTTTTATCAGAAATTTAACACAGGCCTCTGCAACAAAACTAAAATATGCAATGTTTTTTGATAAAAGCAGGATGAACCCTCTAGGCGCCAGTTGACAATATGCAGTACTATTTAAAACGGTATGTCACACAACTATTTCCCTGACCATTGAGTGTGGTGCAGTGTGAGTTGTGTTTGTGTGTTTGTGTCCTGATCTGTGTCTGTCGGTGAAAAAACAAACAAGTATTTCATGAAAATCCAAAATTTGAAGCCATAATATGCAAATCAGATGAGTACATTTAATCCTATATACACTTTGGGCCATCCTTATAATTTCTATGATTTACACGAAGCCTCTATCTCGTATCCCTTTTAAGTTATTAAGAAATTAAGATATCAAAATTCAAAAATCAAAAACCTCAGGCGCCTTAAAATCCACCACAACCCTGTTTCTAGTAGTGCGTATAAAGTGACAGTAGTGGCAGGTCTATGAAGTGTAAGAAAAAGTTATGTTGTTGAGTCACTTCTTACCATGTGTCCTTCTCGAGCCGCAACAAAACAGACTCTGCCACCACTAAAAAATGTCCCATTGAGAGATCCAAAAGCAGATAACGCAGCAGCCACTGACATGATCCAGCCCCAGCTCCCCAGCACCTTGTTCCTGCAGATCAGAGGTTCTTCACAGTCAATCCAGAGAAAAGGCAAAAGAGAAGAGTTATTTATTATAATAATATATATATATATATATAGTCTCACCCCCATGTGACGGCGACTGCATTTGACATCATGAGCTCCTTTGGGGTCATCACAGTGAGGTAGCTGACATTGACCAGCAGATACAGTCCAGTGACCAGGGAGATAGCAATGATGATAGCTCTGGGGAGGTTCACCTGAGACCACAGTTTAACAGTTAGAACAAAAGGAAAATCACATTTTATCTACTGATATATTGTAAATAAAATAAAATAATAATAGAAACTTTATTTCCAAACAAATTATTTAAGTTATTATTATTTGAACATAACCAGAGTGCCTCTAGATCTAACATAATGGCAGTCATTGATTTATAGACAACTTTGAAAATACAGATTTCTGCTACTGATTTATACTTTCTCTAATGATTGGCAACATGTTCATTGGATTGCTGTCACAATAAAAAACACAGGTGAAATATTTGTTCCACAGTAGCTTCAAAAACTGTATCACTATTTAAACTCAATGATTGTCCACTGCTCAGAGGAGCTCCACACGGTGAAGGAGGCTCCATGGATCTATTGTAATAACAGACATCTGTTCTAGTATAACAGATCCATGCTCGAGCATCTGCTCCTGAAGGCCCAGGAGGTGTGTCCCTCCTGACAGTCCATGGTCCCTTCAGAACACTTGAGATTCCCCCAGATGAGCAGGAGACAGTGTGCGGAGGCAATGGGCAAAAAGGATGATTCAATATGAAAAGTTTGTTCAGTCAACATTGTTATTATATGGAATGACCTTAAATGCAGTTGACTAAATATCTAAAAACAAACTGTAGCAGTGAAACATGTAATCATATGTCACTGCTACAGTTACACATTTACAATATTACAAAACATCTTACTTCTGGATACTTCAGCTCCTCAGTTAAAAGGTTCAGAGTGTTCCATCCATCATAAGAGTATAACCCCTGATAAAGGGCAATGCCAATGGAATTCACACCAGTATTTGTTCCCTCAAAGGACTCTAAACTCCCAGTGGTTCCTTGGAAAAGCATCACACATCCGCCCACAGCAATGACGCTGAGAGCCAGCAGCTTGACCGCTGTGCAGAGCACCTGGATGAGGGTCGCAGCCCGGACACTGGCACAGTTCACCAGAGCCACAGCCAGGATGCTCACGGCGGCCACACACTTGAGCAGCTGCTGAGGAGGAGGACAGTCAGTGTAGAAAGGAGCCACCACGTACTCGGCCACACTCAGAGCTATCCCTGTGGCACTGGCCGGTCTCAACACGTTCACAAAGCTGAACACAAACACAAAGGCCGAGACCCTCCCTGTGGTCTGCAGCATGTAAACATACTCTCCTCCAGACTCTGGGATCACTGTGCCCAGCTCGGCATAGCACAGGCCCCCCAGCAGTGCCAGGGCCCCACAGCCTGCCCAGATGATGAGGCTGGCTGCAGGACTCCCGATGGCAGAGAGAACATACAGAGGTGAGATGAAGATCCCAGAACCGATCATAGTCCCCGCGATGAAGGACACTGCTCCCAGGAGCCCGATCTCCCTCTGTAGGCTCAGCATGTGCTTCTCAGGGGCCATCTGTGAGGAGTGTCAACATCCCAGCTCTCACATGCTTATATAGAGCCCTCTCCTCCTCTCAGGTGGAGCCTACACATTTCTGCTTCTGGTGTCACGGAAATTATCACCTTTAGATACAAATGCTTAATTAATCGGATGTTTCAATTGAATTTGGAAAATGGCAGGACGTAGACGTTCTCTATACATTGTCAGTGATTATTTTCATCAGTTTTGGTTCAAGATATTGACAAGATAGTTTGACCAGAAATAACCTTATGTGTAATGAAACGCGCTCTTACCTCCGGGCGCTTGAGCTCCTCAGTCACATAGTTGAGATTGTTCCAGCCGTCATAAGACCACAGCCCCTGGTAGAAAGCAATACCAATGGGATTGATTCCAACATTGGTATTTTCAAAAGAGTTTTCAAAGTTTTCTGTGTGCCCATTGATAAGCATGACCACACCTCCTACAATAATGACCGCCAGAGCCAGAACTTTGGCCACCATGAAGAAGACCTGCACGGACATGGAGAAGCGCACATTCAGACAGTTCACAGTCGCCAGGACCAGGATGGAGACTGCGGCCACCGCCTTGACCAGCAGTGACGGTGGAGGACACTCGGGGTAGAAAGGAGCCACTGCATACTGCGCAAAGCTGAGAGAGATTCCGGCCACTCCAGCTGGTCTGACAAACAGCACTGAGCTGAAGATCAACATGAAGGCCATGACGGGGCCAGAGGTCCGCAGGATGTAAATGTACTCTCCCCCGGACTCCTTTATGACAGTGCCCAGCTCTGAGTAGCAGAACGCAGCCAGAATCACCAAGACGCCACAACTCGCCCATACCACCAAACTAGCTCCAGGACTGCCAATGGTGAACAACACTGTCTGTGGAGACATGAAGATCCCAGACCCTATCATGGTCCCTGCGATCAGGGACACGGCCCCAACCAGCCCCACTTCACGCTTCAGGGCCAGAGTCTCTGCCTTTCCATCCATGACACCTGTGCTCACCTTTCTCAGAAACGAAGCGCTGTAATTGTGTGACCCAACTTCGACCAACAGAGGGAGAATCATTAAAGAGGCGTGTGCTACTGACAAGGCCACACTCTGGGAAGATACTTTTTATTCCAAAAACATCATATTTATTTGTTATGGTTCCAGTGAAAGTGTATGTAGATATTAGACAAATAAGAATCTGTATTTACATCTGTCTCATGACATGTACACACATGTTATAATATTGTACCAACCATTTTTAACACTAGTATAAACTATAAAGAAACAAACAGGAGTTTCATTGTCCATGACCTTTATTTTCAAAGTTTATTCATCTGTAAACGTAATTTATATGTAGCATTGTTTTTATGTAGCACTACATGACAGTGCTACATAAAAATTGCAGTGTAGTTTTCTGGTAATGAAATCCGTTCTCTGGAAGGATATATATTTTTTACATCTTGCTCAGGAGGCTTTGTCCTCTGCTCCTGTAACAAAGAGATGAGCTGATTTGCTTGAATGCAGCATCTGTGCCGCTCTCTGAGCTCCAGTGATAGAAGCCAGTTTATGTGCGTCGTAACGAGAGTAAAGGGCAGTGCATGTCAGACTGGCCTGGTCCCCTGGACCCCCCTCAGCCAGCATGTTACACATCTCATTGTAGAAATGTGGATAAGATGGAAGTCCATAGAAGACCAAGTTCTGAATCCCTTTGATTGTATACCTAGAGAAAGGGAAATAAAGGTGTTAATGCTTATCAACATTCACACAGCTTTAACTAAACACATGGACAGCTGTACTTTGAACTGAACAATCACATCAGAGGTTAATTATCTCTTGTGCCACTGACCTTTTGTAAAAGTGGAAGCGTTCAGTAAATAGCAAAAAGTGTTTGTCCCCTTTCTGAAAGAAGTGTCTGGCTCTGGACACCTCTGACTTCGTGGAGTACTCGCAGAGGCAGCCGAAGCTCAGCTCCTCTTTTTTCATGTAGTTTCGTAAACGGACGTAATCAAAGTAAGAAGGAATGTAGATCAGGGTATGGGACATGACAGAGTCCTTGTACTGAGACAGTACTCTGTCCACAAAGAACTTGAACCTGAAAAAAGCAGAACTAATTCTTAACCAAACTACTTTATAATCTTAATTTTCTGTAAATCTTACCGAGCATCTTGGTCCATGAAGCTGTCTGAATGGAACATTTGAAAAACATGAGGCAACTGGAGCAGCACTTGGCAGATGGAGCCGGTTTTTGGAAAATTTCTAGTAACAACCTAAAGGAAAAATAATAAATGCAACAAATAAATGACCAGGTGAAAAAATGATTTATTATTAAAAGGCTCTAGCAGATTTTTTCTGGTTGAACTCAAACACACACACACCATGTCCACTTTGAGAATGTTCTGAGTCAGAGTAAACAACTAAAATGAGGGATTATATTTATTCACTAAACTGGTGCTATGATGTCATATGTGGCGTGCAGGTTCAGGAGCAGGGATTACAGCGGCTCACCTGGCCCCTGTAGTTAGAGCAGTGCTTGGTGAGGATGTTGTTTATCTGTGGGTCCTGTATGGAGCTGAACACCAGAGTCTGTCTGTAGTGTTTGGCCCAGTTATTGAGGCTCCACATCCGCACTCGGGAGAAGTCCACCCCATGAGAGTCCAGTGGCTGCAGGTTCATATGTCTCATCACATGCTGCAGACAAGAAAAAGTCAGAGGATTCAGTATCATCAAAACCACCCACCCATTCATTTTCTTCCGCTTCATCCGTTGCCACTTCCCAATCCACACACATTTCCCTACCCACACACATGGAGAAGCAGCGGCTCTACTCCGAGCTCCTCCCGTTTGACTGAGCTCCTCTATCTCTAAGGGAGTGCCAAGCCACTCTGCGGAGGAAGCTCATTTCGACCGCTTGTATCCGCGATCTCGTTCTTTCGGTCATTACCCAGAGCTCAGGTAAGTAGGTGAGAGAGGGATAGATCAAAACCAGTTCTAACAATCATATATTTATATCTTAATACTTTTACCTATACTGAATAAAGCCCCCACCAGCTCTACTTAACTTTCCTCAGCTCTGCTCTACTCGATACGGAGACTTTCCACCGGCCTTTATACATTTTTTTTAATTATTTTATTTTTATAAACATTTTTTTTACTGTACTGGTACTATTCTTGTACCTGCTTGTCCTCGGTTCATAAAGTCCTCGGTAACGCAGGTGTTCGAGTTGAGATGTTCATGTGTCATGTGTTGGACTCTTGAACACTTAGTAACCTGTCCCCCCGCCCTCTAGAAGTCATCTTACGGCCCCCTATAATGTCACTTTCCTGCTTGTCACCCTATCGCACTGCCTTTTGCATATTGTGTGCAACATGTGCACTTGTATATTGTACATGGTGACTGTAATTGTAAGAATTCTGTAATAATTCTATTTTAAATTTTATACCGTAGAAGTGTATGCTAATGTTTATTATTTTTATTATGCCTGACTCTATTCTCTATTCTTTACCTCTCTTTGACTGTTGCACTGAGCCAAAGCAATTTCCAAGTCTGTGACTTCCTGTTACTTACGTGGCAATAAAAATCATTCTGATAAGTTTAAAGAAGCAATATTTTAAAATCTGGCCAAAAGTGGTACTGCAATCACGATCAATAATCTGTAGTACTCTCCCACTCTCCCTGACTCAGGTTGCCAGATATGCAGACGAATCCAGCTGGGACCATAACAGCTGAATAGACAAGAGTTTTGTCAACAACAAATCTATAACCAACACCTTTTTCACAAAGATAGAAATCCTGGTTTTATTCCTTGTTTTGTCGTTAATGATTTGAGAATCATAACGAGACCTTTTTTAGTTCTGTGCCACATGGTACTTTACCAGTGAGATTAGCTCCACGCGGTGAGTTCTGGCGCCCGGATCACAGACTTTCTGATTGGTGAAACGGTGGAGGGCGGGACATCGAAATGTTATCAGTTAAAGAAGTATTGGAAAAGAGCAGGTTTTATTAATACCTTTTGACAGATTACGGCCCTTTAATGATGACTTGACATGAAAATCTTACATATTGCTACTTTAAAGAATAAAAGCAAATAATAAACAGTCATAGAGTGATGCTTCGATGTGTCCTTGAGTTGCTTATTTTCGTTGCATTTTGACAATAAGAAGTCAAATTGGTTCGAAAGGGGACCGGAACAAAAGTTACAGAAAGCTTTTACACATGTGCTCTTGAAGCCGTAGAACAGGAGAGAGCTACTTACCAAAACATGTTCCCAGTTCTGCATCAAAAACACGTCGGCCTGGTCCACCACTAAAAGTTCTATCGAGGAAAGAAAGTCAAAGTCCCTTTTGCTCTCTCCTTCTGCTCCCAGCACCGTGCGAAGGCCCAGAGGAGACGCAATGATGATGTCGGACGAGTAGAAGGGAGAATAGAGACGCACACTGCTCCTGATGATAGAAACACCTGATGACAAACGACAGGGCAGTTACTACAGGGGGAAAAGCTTTAAATATGATGACAGTGCTACATGCCCAGAGTAATTTTCCATTGCGTTGGGGCTATTTGTCTATTTTTCTTAGTCTACTGATCTATCTTAGTCTCAGCTGATGATCTACTTTCGTTAGTTATTTTGTTAAGTTTGCTTTTAGTTTAATTTAGGTCACAGGGTTAAATAGGGCTATGGGGGGATTGCGCAGCGTAGAGGCGTTTTGGGCACATGGTGTTTTTTACCAGCGAGAGGAGAGGCAGCAGTTTGGACATTTTGTTTTCTCTACCCTGCGGAAAGCCAACCTGAAAACGCCTGAGTGGCATTTTGATTTGTTTTGGTTGGAGCTGGAGGAAGTGTGTGTGGATAGGGAAGTCTGGGCGTCTCTGCTTAGACTGCTGCCCCCGCGACACGGCAAAGGATGAAGTGGAAGAAAATGGATGGATGGTTTAAGTTATGGACGAATCGCCACTACACATTGATTCCCTCAAGACTTTACTATCTTAAAGTTGGAGAGCAATCTTTCTCTTTCATTCTCCAGAAGCCCCGCCCCCAGGAGGTGATTGACAGGAGAGAAACCAAAACAGCCAATCAGCGCAGTTTGACTCAGCGTATGTGTGTTCGCTTCTGTTTTTCTGCTATTGTCAGCGACTAAAAGTGCTAGCATCATGGCAACTTGGAGATATGTGTTTTGGATGTAACTTTGTGAATTTGACCCAGAGGCAGGTGAGGGTGGTGGGGGTGTGCTCTATACAAGAAACGGCTTTAAGTGCTTTGAGTTTTATCATCACACATGTGCATAGACTGTGAAAAAATGAGAAAATCAAAATATAGGACCTTTAAAAGAGTATTTAAATTCTGCTTACCAATCCTAAAATGGTCATCCACGTTGCCAGAGAAGACAGCGTGGTAGTCGTCCGGCCTTCTTAAATTAGACGGTTTGTCTTCTGGGTCTTCACCAAATTCCTCCTTGAACCTCTTCTTATTATTCACTACTATCTTTTTGTTTTTGGTTTCCAACAAATGAATGAGAGTTTGAACAACATGCAAAGCAGTGCCTCGAAATGGCACAAGAACCAAAACCTGGAGAAGGATAAGTGCATTAGAAAACACCCAAAAACCCTGCCTTATAATGTCTTTACCGGAGGTGGCAGTTTGGAGTTTGTCAGTATAAAGCATTCTACAGCATAATGTTATTTTTGTGTTTCAAAAGCATTCAATAACATCTGCCCACGGGACTACCGAGGAAAATTAGCTTAAAGATGCAGTTAGCGATTTTGTTAGCTTAGCCGTAGCACCAATTGGAAGCCACTCCCCCCTCCCCTCCTCTCCACCAAACCAAACATCCAGCATTTTCTTTTCTTTCTTCACAACAGGGAGAGTGGGCGGCAAACATGGATCTATATAATAACTGGATAGGGTATTACTAACTTATAGCTGTCCCACCTATGGGCACAGGGGGCGCTGTGGTACTGCAGACTAAATTCACGAGAGCTACCCAGAAAAAAGCCCCATAGAACTCAATGTAAACTAAAACAGCTCGACCTCAGCTGACAGAGAACCTGACAGAGAACCTGACAGAGAACCTACAGCTTTAATAAAGATCGGATTTTGTGGGGATTTTAGTGTCCCTTGTCATCCTGAACTTTTTTTCTTCTTAAATCCTTCGGTTTTCTTTACTGCCACAAACTCTGCTCCCTGCCTTCCCGCTCTGGCTCCGTTCTTCCGCCGTTCTGATCAGCTCTGATTGGTCAGAGCGCGGCCGAGCCCCTCTGTGCGCGTGCATGAAAGCCACACACGCACGTTTGGCGCGACGCATCATGGGAGATTATCCACTGCGCAGAACCGGGAGGACCAGACGACGCCCAAATACAGGCGAGTTCAGCTAATCTCCCGATCTCCATGAAGTCCCATGAACTGCTGAGCACAAGCCGTTCATTTGAACAGGGCGCCATCTTGGATCACCGGGGCTTGGCGGCAAACGTCAAATTGGCCTTTTCTGTTCAGCCATTTTAGGTTTTAGAAAATCAGATAACTCAGGTGCACTCGTGAGAAACAGGAAGAGGGTGGAGGAGGTAAACACATCCCATTGGTTCGTTGCGGATAAAGGTGCACTTTATTAATCCCCGTAGGGCAATTCATCCTCTGCATTTGACCCACCCTGATGCTGCTAGGCTTACGTCAGGAGCAGTGGTCGCCGTAGTAACAGCGCTCAGGAACCCATCTTCAAATGTTGATGCTCGGCTTGGTCAGGACCAGAGCTGGAGGATTTAACCTAGTGAGCATGTTTTTAGTGGTAGGGGAAACCGGAGTTCCCGGAGGAAACCTACGCAAACACGGGGAGAACATGCAAACTCCACTCAGAAAGACGAGGCGAAAGTGCTATCCACTCAGCCACCGTGCCGGATGAACGAATCCTATTGGTTCATTTTTATCGGTCCGCTCCAAAATATTTTGTATTAATTCTTGTAGACTATAGGCATCTGGTCAATTCCATTGCTATTTGAAAACACATATTAACTTGATACTTTTAGGGTCTAGGGACGTTTTCCAACAATATTTAAAAAATGTGTCTGGAAAATAATCACTGACTGCATCTATAATTTAGCTAACTCTGACACATTTATATTACATTTATATAATTATTCAACATGCACTGTCCTGTTTCAAATAAATAAACAACAATTTTCATTAAAGCCGCAAGCGGCGATGAAAGGCCTCGCCCCTCTTGCGACCGCCTCCTGGGCGCCGGTCCCACAAGCGTCACGCCGACGAATTGGCAGCCCGATCTGACCAGGATTACGTATATAAAAGCTCATTTATATGATAAAGTGCGTCCCTAGTGGTCACCTCCGGGACATGCACCCTCTACGTAGAGTAGTATTTTGCTCGTACAGATGTAAAGATTTGATTTTGCAACTTTGGTGAAGATCGGAAAAGTTTAGGTCAGAAGCCTTCCATAGGTGGCGCTGTAGAGTCATATTAGGTGTGTGTTTTCACACCATTACTCTCAGGTCATTACCAACTGTTAGTGATGTGAGTTTCAGCTCTGTAGGTCTGAGCCTGTGGTCAGGAGAGCATCAAACATGGAGAAATTCCCCACTACCTCGCATGAAAATGATAACAAAATTCTAACTTTTATGCGATGATTGCATAACTTCAATCCGTCCAGATGGAGAAATGACATGGTAGAAATCTGTGCGATGAAAATCCAGGAACTAGTAAGAAGCCAAAAATGCGACACCTTGGGGCACAGAGCATTCAGTCGCTCTGCTCCCCAGCTCTGGAACTCTCTCCCCTCCGACCTCCGTAACAGACTCCCTGCCACTCTTCAAATCCAGACTCAAAACTCACCTGTTCAGACAGTCCTATAACACCTAGTTATGCGCGCACCCTCTCAATATTGTACTCTGTTTTATTCTGTCGCTCTTGTTTTTATTGTTTTTAATGTGTCCATTGTACAGTGTCCTTGGGTGTTCTGAAAGGCGCTTTCAAATAAAATGTATTATTATTATTATTATTACCTTGAACTGCCTGTAGGTGGCGCTGTTGCACTCACAGTTGTGTGTTGTATATCGTTGTGTTCAGGGTCATACGCTGTATTACTGAATTCATTTGTAGCCTCATCGGACAAACATTTTGCCCCAAAAAGCTCATTTATTCCCTTTCCGGCGCCCCCAGTGGTCAGGTGTGGGACGTACAACTTTTGCGTAATGTAATTTTTTGCTCGTCTCGGTCCAGAGAATACACTCAGCGATTTTCGGGCCGATCCGAGCACTAGTGCCCTATTACTTTCCGACAGGTGGCGCTAAAGAGCTCATATTGGGCGAATGATTTTAGTGTCATTGCGTTCAGGCCATAACCTAATATTACTGATGTGAGTCTCAGCTCTGTAGGTCTGAGCCTGTGGCCCTCAGGGCTCAGCGAAAATGGCCAAAACGAAGGCCTTATTCGCCATGGCGAGGGACGAAAACGGTGAAGATTTTCTAACTTTTGTTTGATGATTATATAACTTCAATCCGTCCAGATTAGGAAATGACGTGGTAGAACTCTGTGTGATGAAAAACCAGGGACTAGTTCGAATTTCTAAATGAAAAGTCAAATTAGTGGCGAAACTTCGGCCCATCATGGCCGACTTCCTGTTGGTCCCAGACATGTGCTTAGACCGGCTTTTATGCTCGTCTCATAGAGATCTATCACTCATCCGAATTTTGTGCACCTACTCCAAAATATGCAATCCTGCCTCCAATAGAAATGGAAAATTTTGAATTTTCAAGGGGGCGCTATTGATTCGCCTTTTGTCGGACAATCTGGAAACGTCCGTTTTATCAAATTTTTCGCCGGACCGGTCGTTTTAGACCCCCCATGTGCAGACTTTCGTGCATGTCTTCAGGGTCAAAAATTGAATTGAAGATGCGGAAAAATAATAATAATATGAAACCGGTGAATAACAATAGGTCTCCCCTATACTTCGTATTCCCTATACTTCCTAATGATTATTTCAATTACAGAGACATACTTTCACACTAAGATGAGTACTTTCGCCACCTCCGATCTTTACCAATGTCGTACTTTACCTTGGGTCTGGTGAGCCCTTGGTCCCGTGGTTCGTCCTGTGGCTCAGAACCCGCTTTCGTTGGACCTTTCTGCTCTCGTAGCTGGGCGTTGTGAGCCAGGACTTGGGAGTTTGCTTTCAGGACATGGTTGAGCGCGTGGACACAGTAAGCGCTCCGGACCTGCGCCCCTTCTTTGATCGGACACATTTCGGGATAGAAGAAGTCCCGGTACGAGCCCATGATGGAGAGAAGTTCCATTTGGAGAGGACTGACCGGTGTGGGAGAGTCAGGGGTCTGGTTCAAGTCCCTCCATGCCGTTTCCAAAAGCTTATGGTAAACTGGGAGTTGCGTGTCCTTGTGCACGCCGAGAGCACAGAGCCTTTGGAGTGGATCGGTGCAGAGGAGAGATCCCAGTTTTGGCCACTGTGGAAGGAACAAAGTAAACAAAACAAAAAAGAGATTGAAAGAGCCGATTAAGAACCTTTTGGGAGACTGATTTCTTCTCGGACAAATACCTTAACTTGAGTCTTGGCTTTGCTGCCTGTTGTGATTCGATCTATATCTTCCTCGCTGAGCTCCGTGTCTAAATGCTGTACAAAGGCATCTAAGTGACAACAAAAGAGAAACTGTCAAAACAAATTCAAATCTGACACCGTGGTCCAAAATAACTCGCACGTCACGTAACGTTGTCAAAAATATACACATTTTGTCCTCTACGCGATCAAAAACAAAGGAAAGGGACTACTTTATGAGCCAAAAGCCAGCATTAAGCTCCTTAGCAACGGTTGTCAAGGCTAACACAGAGGAGAAAAAGCAAGCACTTAAAATGAGTTAAACCTCCATTTAACTAGTTTTAACAATGACACAAAACAAATATTTAGCATGGAGACTTATTTCAACATCATGCTGCATCCTCAGGTGGAGTGATATGGAACTTGTGAATTCATGAATGAAGGGAAGGGTTCAGGTTAGCTTAGCAGTAGCATGCGACCCAACCCTCAGCACATGAACGCCGTTTCTGTAATAACACAGTCTGTGACGGAGCCTTCAGCTTGAAATGAGAAAGTATTACACTACATTAGGGCTAAAGTCTGTGAGTGATTTGTCTGCTATACTTGACACGAGCTAGCTTCCACTGACAAACTAGCAGCTAGCAAAACTCGACTAGCCCTGGCTGCGGTCCGACTTTTCTTATACATTGCCTCTTCCTCTGATTTTCTCTTCTTTGCCACAACACGGCCGGCGGTAAATGTGAAACTGGCAATTTGGGGGTTCTGTTCAGCCATTAAGGTGTTTTAGAAAATCCAAAATAGAAAAGCTCTTTCGGGCCTACTCAAAAATATTTATGATTTAATTTTTGACGTCATGTCCGTTCCTTTTTCAAAACACAATATAACTTGACTACTTTTGGGGTTTAGGGACACAGTATTTTAAAATTGCTTCTGGATAAAACATTGACTGCATCTTTTAAAATACATTTGACAGTTTAAACAGTATTAATCAACACAATAGTAATAATACAAACACAATGGGCTGAAAAAGGGCCAATATAACTTTCATTTTTGGACATTTTTACTGACAACAAACAATGATTTTTATGTGATCGATATGTCACAACTGAGTCACAACTCTGAAATGAAAGCATAACCATTGGAGCTGAGTGAATCTGTACAAAGGGGAAATACATAACTAAATACAAAGCCAGTGTATTAGTACTTTTGCGAGCCACTGTAAGCATCATTTATTATTTACCTTTGTCATTTTTGTGCTGGCTTTTTCCCACCTCCTCCTCCCCGTCGTCCCTCTTCTCTTCTTCTTGATCGAAGTTGTTTTCCAGGCAGAAGCGAGACTCATTTTCATTGTCGATAAACTCTCCGTCGGCCGGTTGCTTCTCCTCGACGCCGTCTTTCACTTCGGACAAAGCCCCGGTGTCGTTCCCCCCTGCGTCCTTTTCCTCTTCTTCGCTGCCGTCGTCGTTTTCATTTTCACCTTCTTCGTCATCGTCTGCTGCAATGAAAAAGTCTAATGTCTTCAGAGAGAAAGGGGAAAGTGTCATGTCGCCACGTTTGGAATAGAGCAGCAGAAGTCCCCAGTGTGCACAAAGCAGGTACAGAAATACATCAAGGTTAAAGGACAACTCACCCTCAAATCCACTTTTTTTTGCTGATAAACGATATAAATGAGTGTCCAATAGTGTTGTCTACATATCCTGGTCATAATCTTGTCACTTTGGTGCAAATTAGTTGAAAGTTAGACTTTCTGCCTAAAACCGTCTGTGAGGCGCCATCTGCTGGCGACCTGTATTACTACATTTGAATTTTTAATCTGGCGCCAACACTGGCACAGAAGTTGGACCTGACGTCAGCAGCCCCCCGCCCAGAGCAATGTAAACGGCCCAGTCTCGTTCACGCCCCCTTTAGTCCTCCAGGCCACGCCCATTTAGAGGAAGATTTGAACAGGAAATGTGAGTAACGTAAGCTCCGAGGAGCGGGGGTGAGAAACACTTTAAGGAAGTACAGAAATAAAACAACACAAGTGCGATTATTAAAGAGCCTTGTTTAAACTTATAACAGCGTGTGGAAAGAAGCTGCATCTCAATCAGTGGGGGCGGGGCCCGGCTCAAAAGTGGCCAGAATGACATGCTGCAATACCACCCCGGGCCTGTGGGGGTGGACCCAGAAGTTGAATTAGCCAATGCTAACATATAGCGTTGGCAGACCTCTCGAAAACGTCTTTACAGGATGGTCCAAAAGTTGGCTCTTGGCCCAAAGCTCCGTTCCAAATGTGTGTCAATGCTGAGGGAGTGTTTTGGACCACTCTAGTTTAGTCGCCGTGGACTTTAGAAGGCACTCGTTTAAATGAATGGGGCTCGTGCAGCTGACGCATGCGCAGATGCGTTTTTTTTTCACATTTTCCAGCCCCCGCGGCCATTTTGAATCACTTAATGAAAGCCCAATTTTTTTTTCCATTAGTTAGAACGGCGGAGATAAGCGTGACTACGTCCTTTTATACAGTCTATGATCTCAATGAATGATATCTTCTGCCATAAGACAATAAAAACCTCTAAACTTTAAAGAGGCAGTCATAACAATGTTTTCCACTGCACTGGACAATAAAACAATTACAGCATTTTTAGAATCATTCAATCGACATATAAACTTAAAGGTACACTGTGTAGTTTTTACTCCCATCTAGCATTGAGATCATATATTGTTATTTACAGTACTACGGTGGCTTTGTAGGACAATAAGACGTCTTTGATAGTGGTCCCCAACTCCCGCTCAAACTCATTTTGTCCCTTATCAACCACGGTATTCCAAGATGGTGCATTGACACAGAGAGTCCTCCAGCCTCACGGACATTTATGAGTCAAATTCTGAGTCTATGACAACAATTGAAAACATGGAGGAGGTCATTATTCCTAAAGAGGTCACATTTGTTATTGCTTATTATGTTTTTTCATTTAGTGCAAAATTACACAGAGGACCTTTCATCATCAGATTTATCAAGACAGCTCTCGGTGTTTACTCCATTTCACAAAGAGTTCACTGGCTCTTGTCCATCGGCGGTTTTTAATAACATTTGTATCGCATCATCATATGCAACTGTATTTTTATTTATTTTGTATCTATTCATTTGATCCGGACAACACACATTAATGAAGTTGAACACAAACTGTAGAAGTGCCAGATTATAGCAAAACTGCTCATTTACATCTGTAAGTCTCTGAAAGCTGGACTTTTCATAATTGACCCACAGATGTGCTGTGTGCAGTGGTGAGCAGTGGCTCCAAACAGAGCTCTTGTGTATAACATCTGACTGTACATGGCCTCGTCTTTCTTTTATTGCCACTTTTTATTGAACATAATTATATCCAGCACAGACTATAATTTCAACCTTGAACCTCTGAGCCAAATGTGACATGTACAGTGCATTTCTCCAGTGTGAGGTCAATAAAGTGTACAGTATCTTATCTCATTGTTCAAACGCTCAGTTATGATGTGAGCGAGGTACTTGACCGCATCACACAAAGTCAGGATGTTCTCCAAGAGCATAAAGTCAGGAAACTTCTGTGATCTGTCCTCCTTAGTCCGGCAGATCCCCAAACTCAGAGCAAACATTTAACAACTGCTGGAGACCGACTGAACTCAGGCTTTACAACCACAGAAAAGTGAAAAGGAGAGGACCACACTCACTTAGCTCTCACCCTGCAGAGGAAGACAGCCTGCGGTACGATTGGAAGCATTTGATCTTTTACATAGGCCCCCGAGTGAGTCACTATTGGACGCTTTGGGCCTTTGACAGATTAGGGCCATTTAATGATGACTTGCTAATCTTACCGCTACTTTAGGGAAGCTATACCCGATTTATTTTCTAATGAGTTCATAGAAAGGCTTATTACTACATACAAGTTGTATTATAATCCGTAATTTAACTGAACTTGAGCTCATTGATTCAGCGTGGAAATAAATCAGGCCGTAAAAAGTGCTCACAGAACGAGACTGCGTCCTCTAGCCTCTACAGCGCTGCTAAACACAGTAGCATGTTAGCATAAGTGGCTATAACTTAGGGCTGGGCGATGAAACAATAACGATATATATTGCGATAGACACGTGTTCGATATCAATAGAAAACGGGGTCGATAGAACTTTCGATAGTTTAACTTCAGTCCGTTCGAAAAAACAGGAACGAATCACAGGAAGTAAAGCAGAGTCAGAAGCGCACGGCATTCTGGGGGATGTAGGCAAAGGCTTCTCGACCTATCACAGCCGACTACAAACCGCAAAACTTTCTGGGAAAAGCAAAAAAACAACCGCACCGTGTGTAGCGTCCATGGATCATGGATCTACGATAATAGCCATGGATCTAAAGATTGTGTTTCAGTGCCGTGTCAGTGGTTAAACACGTCCGTGCGAGGAACAGCATGTGCGGCGGGAGAGGCAGAGCATTCGGCAAAAGCAAGAGATTCACTTTCCGGAGCCACCACGGGGACACAGGACACTCAAAAACAGCCAAAACAGGAGCTAAACCAGGACTAAACCAGGAGTAAACCAGGACTAACTATGGGGGAGACTGCTGTGAACATTTGGCTCCAGCCTCATTCCCCCGTGACTGTAAACAAGGCTGCTAACATGTGTTAGCCCACACGACAAATGTATTTACTTACGTTTTAAAAAATAAATAAAAAACAATCAATATATATCGTTATCGACCGATATGAATTACTTATATTGTGATATAGTTTTCAGCCATATCGCCCAGCCCAACTATAACTCCTCTGGCTGTAACTGCAGACTCAGCAAAACAGCCCAAACCACACAACAGTGAGGAAGAGAAGAGGAACTAAAACCAAAACATGATCAAAGAAGAAACCAAGCCCTGAACAGAGCTAGCTTACATCGTATCCTCTGGAGAGACTGGTCTATGGGAGAGACCTGCGGGACCGCCTCGGACTATCTACGCTCGGACTATCTACGCTCGGACTATCTACGCTCGGACTATCTACGCTCGGACTATCTACGCTCGGACTGTCTACGCTCGGACTATCTACGCTCGGACTATGTACGCTCGGACTATCTACGCTCGGACTATGTATGCTCGGACTATCTAGGCTCGGACTATCTAGGCTCGGACTATCTACGCTCGGACTATCTACGCTCGGACTATCTACGCTCGGACTATCTACGCTCGGACTATCTACGCTCGGACTATGTACGCTCGGACTATCTACGCTCGGACTATGTATGCTCGGACTATCTACGCTCGGACTATCTACGCTCGGACTATCTAGGCTCGGACTATCTACGCTCGGACTATCTACGCTCGGACTATCTACGCTCGGACTATCTAGGCTCGGACTATCTACGCTCGGACTATCTACGCTCGGACTATCTACGCTCGGACTATCTACGCCCGGACTATCTACGCTCGGACTATCTACGCTCGGACTATGTACGCTCGGACTATGTACGCTCGGACTATCTACGCTCGGACTATCTAGGCTCGGACTATCTACGCTCGGACTATCTACGCTCGGACTATCTACGCTCGGACTATCTACGCTCGGACTATCTACGCTCGGACTGTCTACGCTCGGACTATCTACGCTCGGACTATCTGCGCTCGGACTATCTACGCTCGGACTATCTACGCTCGCACTATCTACGCTCGGACTATCTACGCTCGGACTATCTACGCTCGGACCATCTACGCTCGGACCGTCTACGCTCGGACTGTCTACGCTCGGACTATCTACGCTCAGACTATGTATGCTCGGACTATCTGCGCTCGGACTATCTACGCTCGGACCATCTACGCTCGGACTATCTACGCTCGGACTATCTAGGCTCGGACTATCTACGCTCGGACTATCTACGCTCGGACTATCTACGCTCGGACTATCTACGCTCGGACTATCTACGCTCGGACCATCTACGCTCGGACTATGTATGCTCGGACTATCTGCGCTCGGACTATCTGCGCTCGGACTATCTGCGCTCGGACTATCTACGCTCGGACCATCTACGCTCGGACTATCTACGCTCGGACCATCTACGCTCGGACTATGTATGCTCGGACTATCTACGCTCGGACTATCTATTTTCAGACTACATTCGGACACGGAACTAGCGTTAATCTTTCAGTTGTATATTTTGTTAGTAGTGCGTTGCTTTTGCACCGTTTCATCAGTGATTGTTGTACAGCTTACAAGTTGTGCTAATGCTAATGTTAGGATATAGATCGCAAATAAAACTAGACGGCTCCGTGGGATGAGAGCGTAGGGGAAATGAGAAGCCTCTGAGCGTGTTGGGGGCGGGGCTAAACATTCAAACATTGCAGAAACGGGTATAGCTCCTTTAACAGAGAAGAAATATTGAAAAACTCTCCATTGTGAGATCAATGAAGTTTGTCTCGTCGTATAAACAAAGCGTGGCTTGCCTTCGCTGAGCCCGTCCTCCTCTTCTCCCTCATCTTCATCACTTTCTTCACTGCTCTCTTCTTCCTCGCTTAATCCCTGACGTGGATTCAGAGTTGAAAGCAGCTTCTGATATGCAGTCTTCTGTTCTGGCTCTTCTTCTTCTTCAGAATCATCTTCATATTCGTCCCCCTGTGCGTTGGGTTGATCCGGACTATCAGGTGCCTAAAAGAAAACACTTATTTATTTCATTATTATAATTAACTGTACATATGTTTATTTTTTACTTTTTATCTTAGTTTATTTTATTTTTATTTTTCCTTTGCTCTTTGTTATCTTATTATTTATTATTATTTTTTATTTTTATTTTTATCCCCGATCCCCCCCCCATGATAAAACACAATAAATATCTCAGTCATAAAAAAAAAAAATAATTAACTGTTTTGTTTATCTCGGAGCTGATGGACTAATCCTGGTACTGGACTTATATAAAGAAAAAGGACATTTCAGATTGTTCCATTTTCCAAAAAGAGTACACCGCAACATGAGCTCTGAGAAAAATGTTCAGGAATAAATTATACATATGTTTTTTTAAAAATAGTTTTGAATTATGGTTTTATATCTTGTCCCCAAGTCCAGTTTTACACTTTCAATCAGTGGCATCAGGTCTCTGCATCTGAACCGACTCGGACCCGGAGGAGCACAGGGACTGGACTCCTGCTGGGACTCTGAGGAGCACAGGGACTGGACTCCTGCTGGGACTCTGAGGAGCACAGGGACTGGCCTCCTGCTGGGACTCTGAGGAGCACAGGGACTGGCCTCCTGCTGGGACTCTGAGGAGCACAGGGACTGGCCTCCTGCTGGGACTCTGAGGAGCACAGGGACTGGACTCCTGCTGGGACTCTGAGGAGCACAGGGACTGGACTCCTGCTGGGACTCTGAGGAGCACAGGGACTGGACTCCTGCTGGGACTCTGAGGAGCACAGGGACTGGCCTCCTGCTGGGACTCTGAGGAGCACAGGGACTGGCCTCCTGCTGGGACTCTGAGGAGCACAGGGACTGGCCTCCTGCTGGGACTCTGAGGAGCACAGGGACTGGACTCCTGCTGGGACTCTGAGGAGCACAGGGACTGGACTCCTGCTGGGACTCTGAGGAGCACAGGGACTGGACTCCTGCTGGGACTCTAGGGAGCACAGGGACTGGACTCCTGCTGGGACTCTGAGGAGCACAGGGACTGGACTCCTGCTGGGACTCTGAGGAGCACAGGGACTGGACTCCTGCTGGGACTCTAGGGAGCACAGGGACTGGACTCCTGCTGGGACTCTGAGGAGCACAGGGACTGGACTCCTGCTGGGACTCTGAGGAGCACAGGGACTGGCCTCCTGCTGGTACCTAGGGTCAGGACTAAACATGGGCAGCGTTTCAAATGTATGCGGCCAGAATGTGGAACGGTCCCAATGTTAGTCTTGAATGATGTTATCTCTGTCTTGTAATTTTGTCATGTTAATGTATTTTAATAGCTTTTTAACATCACAGGGGACTACAGATGAAAAATTGCCTCCTTGGCTAATTCTGGCTTTTTTTAACTCATGTTTTATCATGTGTTTTATTAAATTGCATTGTCCCCCTTTGAAATAAACTAAACTGAAACTGAAGATGTGAGACAGGCCTCCTCTTTGACAATGTTTAAGTCCAGGCTGAAAACTGTGCTCTTCAGGGACGCACATGACTACTTTGAAGCATTTATTTTGTTATCTTTTTTTAATACTTTTTTTTTCTATGTTTTGTGTTTTATTATCTGTCTTTTAATTGCTTGTGAAGAACTTTGGGTTACACTGTATGAATTGTGCTTTAAATACATTTGATTGATGAATTTTACTTACATGTGTCATTTGTCAAAAATATTATATTTGTATATATTATTTATAAAACGAAACCTGTCCCTGAGGTTCAGGACAACAGTGTTAGCATGTAGATAATATATGATAAGAAAAGATAAACTTCATTGATATCACAATGGAGAAATATACATGTCACATTAAGCAGACCCAAGTCCAAGAAAAAAAAAACTCATGGATTTTCTAGTTAATGGGACTTGTAAATGTAAATGTGTCATTTCCATCACATTATATATTGAAAATAAAAGTGTAATCATGTAAAACATAATGCCACCATCAGAAAATGATACAAGACATTTAACTAAAACACTACACTAAACTTGTATCGTTAGTTTCCATAAATTGCAGACCCAACACTCACCACTTCTACAATCTGAGTTCTTTCTGGTCGTTCGTTGACACTAAAACAAAGAGTGAAGTTTAGATTGAGTTGCACACGTCATGACCTTATATGTAATGAATAAATCTATCCAAATGCAGTTGTGTTGGGTTTTGTTCTGTGGAGAAGAGTCTCTTCTTGGATGCGAGATGAGATGCTGGAGGTTCTTACTCGTCATGAAAAGGATGCTCCTCTCCAAAGTCTTTCAGGTGTTTCTTCTGTTTTTTAGATAAATTAGTGAAAAGAGACTTGTTTTGCCTCCTCTTCCCCATGATGCTGTTGACACTGTGGAAACACACGTGTCGAGGGTAGTTCCGCCTTCTCTGCAGCAGCTTTGCACTGCCCCCTACAGGACTGGAGAGGAACTACACCCAGGCTTGGTTGTGTTAAAACTGTTTTAGGACACAAATAAAGGGCTGAACTCTTTGTGAAGTTGGGTACCTGTAGTTTTGGCCTCTGATGACCATTTTTTCTCTGACTATTTTCTGGTAACATTAAGTAAATAAAAAAGAGTGTATAGTTGCTGTCTAGGGCCAAGGTCTAAATTCTTGTATTGTGAGGCTGGGTTTCTACAATTCCCGTCTCAAAGATGAGGCTAATTTTTCTGAGATTTGATTAAATTTGGAGATCTGCTATACAGCCAACTGGATTTGATTCATTCATCTCAAAATGTGTGATTAGACTGGAAATAAGGATACATTTCTATCCATGGATATTTATCACTTAACTAAAGTTCCAGTTGCTCCAGTCCTGACACATTGTATCTGCAGGTGATTTGTATTATTTTATGGTGATTGTCCTAGTGTAGATACTTGCATTTATTTAAAAGGTAACCAATACGTATACAATATTTTTATTAGGAGTATTTAAAGGTTGTCACATTTTGACCGTGGTCATTTTAAGTAGAAAATCAAAACACTGTTTATGCATTCCTTTACAGAACACTGATACACATTCACATGTTTCTACATTTCATAATGTCTATTCACCTCAGTGCAGAACAGGTGGCACCATGAACACAATGGTACAGTGTGTATAGACGGACACGTGTAAACAGGTGCATAAATCCTTGCATATAGTGTGTATTATGGACACACGTTTCAGTAGTCATCAGACTATAGAGTAACAGCCTGAGCCCATTTGATGTGTGTTTGATCTTTGCACACAAGGCAAATGAATTATACAGACATGTTCAGTGTAAAATACAGACATTTACGTTACTTATAATCACACATTTGGTTTTCAGGTTAGAACATGCAAATATTTATCATATTTCTGCTGCCAAACACTTACAACCTTGTTTATACCAATTTCATTTACCGGTAATAAATAACATCCTAATAATGGATATTAAATGTAAACATTATTAATGATCAATGGTTTTGAAAAAAACAAGAAGAAAGCAAGCAATGAATAACTTTCTAAATAATCAACCACAGACTGAATGTAGTCAACTCTTTGTGGCTTTCTTTAAATCATTCACTGTCAGGCTGTAGAGCTGTAAACATTGGCAGCGTTTTCCACCAATCCAACCACGAACATGGAACTGATGCACAACACGGTTCTACAGAAAGGGACTAAAAACACAGAACAATGTTGGAACCAAAAATCAATAAATGCATTTTTCGGGGGCTGGTGGGTTTGTGGAGAGCTTTATTGTAGAAAAAGTTACTGAGAAGTTTGGCCTCTCATAAAAAATTAAATTTTTGTGTTTCTTCAAATAAATAGCATTTGATTTCTGCGCCTATAACTCTCTTATCTTTTATCTATAGACAGATTAATGTACTGAAATGTCTCCACTGTGAGACGAATGAAGGAATATCTTATCTTGTACACAGAGGCATAATCTTGGCTGGTCAGGTGAGAAAAACTAGACACTATTATTTGCACTTCCTTTTTTTGGGTTTTTGCACCATGATTATGAAGATGTGTTAACAGTGAGAGGTATTGTTTAAATGTGTGAAAAAACATTAGGTTATTGTTTGTCTGGGCCAGAGGGGCTTTGGAACCACAGGGTTTAATTTCTGAAGTTGGCAATCTCCAACCAAAACCTTCAACGAGGAAAATCCTCAACTTCAAGTGTTAGACCCTCAGCCCATGTGGAGATTGTCACTGTGAGGGAAAGATGGAGCTGAGATTGACTGTTGCATTTGTAGAATATCTGCAGTGAGCACCAAACTGAGCCAAGTCAAAAGTTCTGCTCAATCTACGTTTGAATGAATCCTGTACGTCTGTAACCCTAACCCATGGGATGGTTTTGGGCCTCTCAGGTGGAAGATAGAGAGGTCTGAACATTTCTGCATAGACAGCTGCCTCTGCTCCGGATAGAGCAGAATAAAGTGGAAGTTGCTTAAAGTATGGATTTGATGTATGCTATTAATGATTGGCCTGATTTCAACTGATAATCAGAACAATTTCAAAATGTGTTGATTTTATTGACGGTATTGCTTAAACCCTTGTGCTGCCCTCGGGTCAAAAAGACCCGTCACAGGTTATTAAAAGTATGAAAAGAATGTCCTAAATTAGAGTGTAAAAAGGGTTTAAGTAACAAAGGGAAGGTCAAGTTAGGAAAAATCATCATTATTCAGCTCGGAATATTTGACCCGAAGAAAGCTCAAGGGCCAACCATCCTTAACAGTCCATTATAGCTACCTTAAAGTACTTTGTTTTAACTGCAAATACGTGAAAGGCCCCAACAAATGGAACGTTTGAGGTAAGTGTGGCAGGATCTCTTCACTGATACTTTCTGGAGGAAGCCGTGGAGGTTGGTGTCCAAACTCTTCCTTGCCATTTATTGCTTTGGTTCTTCAAACATTCAAACTTCTGTCTTTGTGTCGCATCATAAAGAGGTTTCCACACAGGTGCCGTTTCTGTGGAACGCCCTGTGACTGTGGCAGTTCTCACTGCAGTGTACAATGAGCACAGGGTAACACAGGGCGTCATCATACTCGGGCGGCTCCTCCTCGTCTGTGGCGTGGCGCTCAGAAAGGCAGCGTGTGTTTTCACTGGGGCTCTCTGTGTCGTCCAGGCTGCCACTCCTCCAAAAGCAGCTGCGCTGGGAGCCGTAGCGTCGGGCCAGAGAGAAGCGGCTGCTGCTGAAGGGGATCCTGGAGCTGGCTCCGGTGCAGATGCTGAGGGCGCTCCTGGAGAACACAGAGGAGCAGCTGATGGCTCTGTGGCAGCGCTCACAGTTCTGACGAATCCCACTGAAACTTGAGGGACATGAAGCGAGATCCATGAGGCCGGCCTCAGAATAACTGGGCACCAGCTGCTGGTTGGACCTGATGTGCCACTCCAGCTCGGTGCTGTCGATAGTATTCACTCGAGGGATGCGTCGCCAGTATGGCCGCTCATCGCAGGGGGTCACGGGGACATAGTCATGGCCAAAGAGCTTCTCTACTCGATAGTGTACATAGGCAGTGCGGTACTCTGTGAAGACTCTGAGGGGCCAAGAAAAGGTGAAGAAAGAAGCAAACCAGAACACGTACTGGGACAGATACCAGGGGTGATGGTCTGGGTCGGACAGCACCAGGACAAACTCTTTTAAGTCGATGTTCTTGAGGTGCATTCCCTCCCGAGCCTCCATGTAGTCATCTAGGCCTTCATTGTCAGTGAAAAAACGTGCTCTTTGTGTAAGATACGAATTCTCTGATTCAACATTAGCAAAGCTAAAGCACTTAGTAAAGCGCATCTTTGTCAGCGCAGACTTGTCGAGGCCCAACAGCTGTTTTGAAACATCTTTAACCCCACAGTGACTGTGGTCAAACTCAGCTTCTGCTACATGTGTGTTTACGCGTTCATGGTAGACCTGGGTACTGGTGTACGCATCTCCGTTGCGATAGCGAGTGACTTGTCGAGTCCGCCGGACATAGTGGTAGCTGATGGCCTTCCACCAAATGCAAGGTTTGGCCTGCTGCATTCTCTGGATGCGTTCATAGATACCCTCCACATCCACTTTGTGCTGAAGTTCATTTTTCACGTGGCAGTGCCAGCACTCCACCAGGTACACCAGGTAGAGCATTCCCAGCAGAGCCAGAGGGATGTAGATGTATCCATCTGAGCAGGGGCTGTCATGGTACATCATGGACTTTCCTTTGAACGCACTGTCAAAGGTGAGCCGGGTCACCTTGGTCACATGACACCACACCATGGCTCCCATGCAGCCGTACATGAGGATGGACAGGATCAGGCATTTCCAAAAGCTCTCTCTGCACAAGGACTTACTCAGAGACTGTTTGAGAGGCTTTTGCTGTGGAACAAAAATAGAAAACAGTTAGTTGCTATTTTACCATTTACCCTAACCCTGGTCAATGCTTTATTCATAATTAATGACATTAACACACGTGGCCAGAGCTTACCATTACTCAGACAAGAGATAATGTAAAGATTATTAACAACATGTACGTCTGTGGGGCTTTGTTTAGTGTTCTAAAAAAGTGTACTAAAAAAAAGATCTTCAAGACATTTCCGTGTTAAGTTCCATCCATCCATCCATTTTCTACCCTTTAATCCATTTCTGGGTCAGGGGGGTGGCAGTCAGAGATGCCACCCAAGTCTCATAGCACCAGCCCCTCACTGATCCTCTGCGGGTGGTGAGTCCACAGGAGCTGAGATCTTCCAGCGGGGGCTTTTGGGCAAAGTGGGGTTAAGTGTCTTGCCCATGGACACAACAACAGCAGTCATCAGTGGGAGTCGGTGGAGAAGGTGTAGAGGTGGGAATTGAACCCACGACCTTCTGGCCTTAAGGCCAATGCTCTACCAACTGAGCTACTGTCGCCCCTCCGTGTTAAGTTAATTAAGCTAAATATGTTAATCATTTTTCGTACTGTCACAGCAGTGAAGTCATGTGTCAGAGTGTCCAACATTAATGTTTTTCACTCTCCACAAGAACAATCCCACCTGTTCTCTGGTGTCCTCCTCCTCGCTCACGGTGGTGGTGCTGGTCTCGGTGGTCGTCGCTGCAGAGGCTGGAGGAGACATGGTCCAAACCGAAGCTTACATTAAATGACAGGGCGTACAATAAAGGCAGGTTTCACTCTGGGTGATTTTTCAGCCAAATCACATAATTCCCGGTCGCTGCGGTCAATTAGGTCCAATGGAAGCGATCCCCATTGAATCCCCATACAGAGCTGTTTCCCTGCGGCTGCAGGAAAAGCCGTACACAGAACACAGGGTGTGTGTCTACGTCTACGGCAAAAGCCGCATCCCACTGCCTTCAGTCGGGCTGTCGGTGCCGCAGTAACATGATCCGGGGGGATGCAGCGGTAAGGAGCTCGTCATTACAAGAGCCTCTGTCCCTATAATAGATCCATGCTCTGTTCCCAGGGGCCACTGCATCAGTTCAGCCGAACAGAGGATGGAGACAGAAACCAGCGCCTGAGAAGGAGATGCTGAGGCTGAAGCAGGTGAAGGAGTGGGGGCGGTGATCACACCACCAGGGGAACTTAAAGGGGAAGTTATCTTTCTAAAGAAGGAGCATAAAAGAACAAAACTAAAGCAAATCCATTCTAAAGGCAGTCACAGAGTGAATGATGACCATTCGGCTCCAGGACACGTGACCAGCTCATACTATTCCTCATGACAACAACACTTTTCCCAAAGTCAGACTGAGCCTGGGCTGGAGTTTGCTACAATTGCTTTGCATGGCAATATCCCTCAGAAAACTGCAAAAAAAACAACCTTGTAGAGTATCATGTAGAATTCCACCGACATGTGAAAGCCTGATCGTGGCCAACAATAAAAACTAAGCATTACAAGGTCTGGTCAGTACAATGATGAGAGACCTCTGGAAATGCTTCACCCACAGCGTCTGGTATATTCTCATGAGTGACTGATAATTTTTAAGTTTATTTAAGGAAAGCCCCTTGAGATGAATCATCTCATTTTCGAGGGAGTCCTAAAAAAAGTCCTAAAGGGTGGAACATAGTGGTTGCCTCACTTCTGTCAGTCTTCCCCAGGGCAGCTGTGGCTACAGTCCTGGTTTATCAACCTGTGTATGGAGTGAATGAATGTTGCCATATGAAGAGTCTTTGAGTGTCCAAAAAGCACTATAAAAGAACCAATACATTATCATTATTATTATAATTTGGAGTGAGATTGATTTTGACAAATGAAGTCCATTTGTAGGGTTGTACAAAAACAGTGCAACATAAAGAATAAGATTGTAGCACACCTTGGACAATGCTAAAAAACAACTCAATTTAGGACAAAATATTATATTCTGTTGAAAATGGCGACTTAACAAAACATTCATTAACTGCAGTCAATACATGCTGCTGAGAGATTACTGGTATCTGTTGCACTAGTTTTCACACTCAGTATTTCCTCACTCAAGTCTATCAAAGATAAGAACAAATCAGAGAAAACTATTTAGAAAAACCAAAATCACCACTGTTTTCTGAGGTATTTTTTACTTTATGTCACAGAATTTCTAAAGCAGTGTTGGAAATGTGAAATCTGATGAATTTGGGACCATTATATTACGCTAATTTAATCTGTTTAAGTCTGGTGTAGATACGGTGCCACTTACACAATATTTAAATATACTGCAGTGGTATTTTACTGTTGGCATCCCTCGGTGGCTCAGACTTCGTCCTAAATCATTCTCCAACCGAAGTTTTACACGAGGCTCCTTTATGTCATTTAAATATCATTACATATTGTTTACAAAAAATAGTATAAAAGTACAAAAAGTCACATTTACACATGTTTCACGTTCTAATTGTTCAGGTCCATTTCTGGTGAGGGTTTCTCTTGTTCATTTTACGGCTTTTCCCAAGGCCTCCTTTTTTGTTGACGTGGATTACCCTTAAAAAAAAGAAGAAAAAAAGAATTATTATTGAATACACAATTGCTTTTAAATCAGAGGTTCTCAACTGGAACGTGTCGGGACAGTCTATGGTCGGGACCCAGCATAAACAGACCTTAAGAACTTACTTTAGTGCTGACACAAAGATACAGTGAATAACGTATTATCAACTATTTTCTCATTAATATTATCAGTAATTTCATGTAAAAACTTCAGTCTCTCTCCCTACTTCCTTCAGACAAGGTCAGAAATTTGGGGGTAATACTGGACTCAGACCTAAATTTCAATAGCCACATAAAATCAATAACATCAACAGCTTTTTACCATCTGAAGAACATTGCCAAAGTCAGAAATATAGTGTCCAGGGCAGACTTGGAGATTCTTGTCCACGCATTTGTCTCCAGCAGGCTAGACTACTGCAATGGCCTGCTTACAGGTCTGTCCAAACAGACCTGTAAGCAGCTGCAGTACATCCAAAATGCAGCAGCTAGAGTCCTGACAGGAACCAGGAAGTATGACCATATTAGTCCGGTCCTCAGGTCTCTGCACTGGCTTCCTGTGGCTCAAAGAATAGATTTTAAAACAGCTCTGCTTGTGTACAAGTCTCTCCATGGCCTTGCACCAGAATACATTAGTGACATGTTGGTGTCATATGAACCAGCCCGGACTCTGAGGAGCACAGGGACTGGCCTCCTGCTGGTGCCCAGAGTGAGAACCAAACATGGGGAGGCTGCGTTTCAGATCCATGCAGCTAAGATCTGGAACAATCTCCCTGAAAATGTGAGGGAGGCGTCTACTCTGTCAATGTTCAAATCCAGGTTAAAGACTGTTCTGTTTGCCTGTGCATACAACTGAAGGATTTTATCTCCATTTGTAATGCACTGCTGTCATTTATTTATTTATTTTTTTAAATTTCTTGTGTAACTTTGAAAGTGTTAATGGTTTTATTCTTTTGTGTGATTTTATTGTTTTTATTGTGTTTTAATCTTTTGTGTGATTTTAATGTTTTAATTGTGATTCTGGTGTTTGTTTTATGTGATGATTTGTGATGTGGACTGTGAAGCGCTTTGTGTTGCCTTGTGCATGAAAGGCGCTCTACAAATAAACTTTGATTGATTGATTGATTGATAAAAACATTTATATCAATTTTAGGCATCCTTGTTGAGTTTCTCCCTGCAATCCTTGTTCTCAATCGTACTTTAAACGTCCACTTTGCTGAAAAAGTAAGCTCGCTGACTGCATTTTGACGGCTTGATTGACAGCTGCTCTCCCCTCAGTATGGCGCCCATGTGTGCTTTGGTCACATGACTGCATCAGAACCACAGCCGCCCCATCAGTCTAGAACCACAGCCAGGTTTGGGTGTGTACTTACAGAGTAGACGTGGGAGAGGTTGTTGAAAAGCACCTGCCCCGCGCTCACTTTGTTCCTGACCCCTCGGATGGTCCCGTTCTTGCTGCAGATGTTGACCCTCTTGTTGGTGAACCTCATCTCTCTCTTGGCACTGGCGTAAAGCAGCAGGTCGTCCGGTTCGGCGCCGGTCTCGTCCGCAGGGCTTCCCTCCATCAGTCCGTTCAGGTGGCTGTTGGCCTCGCTGGTGGGTAGCTCCACGCCGTCCTGGTCCTGGTCCCGGTCCGTACCTTTACGTGTTTGTTTATTTCGAGCAGATAAGTGTACAAGAAACAAAAGTAGAATATCAAAATTATTAGCCTGGTCGTACCACACCATAGTCCAAATTACATGTGTACGGAAGGCTAAAGCCAGGCTACAAAATGATCAAAATTGTGCGTAAATTACATAACCCTGAGATACATTTACATAATACAAAATTATAAATATTATGTACACAAGAGAAACACATTTAATCCTAATCCTGGTGTCTTTAAAACATATTACTCATTGAGCTTCCTATTTGCTCCAGTACAAAATCAAAGCGAACGGCACATTTGAATCAACTGTTCAGGTTTTAAAGTAACAATTAATGGCTTTAAGGACATATACAGACAAATAAGATACATATTACTATGCAAAACATCTGCATGAGGGAGATACCAATAATGCTCAAGGACAGTAAATACTAATATGGTACATAAAGGACAGCAAATAGCAAAATGTTTATTGGTATTTGCGCGGAAGAGCACTATCCTCTCCTCCTTCCTACTTTACCTGTTTAGCATTATTAGGATTTTGACTGTAGTTTGTTCATTGCTATTCACCCGGTGTCCCATTGTCTGTTCCATGGTACGACGACGGGACCTCTGAGCCTGGCCTCTTCCATCTACACCTGCGGACTGCCCCGCCCGACCCGCCTGGGAGTGCTTCAGTCCTGCACCGGACCTGTCCACGTTCAGAGGCCACTGGTCCACGTTCTGTAGCTAGCTTAGGTCCTGGATCTACAGCCTGTCCATCTGTGGGAGCGGATCCCTTTCTCAAACTGTAAAAAAGGGTCTCCCCGAGGTTTCTCACTTTTTCCCACTGGGTTTTCTTATGAGTTGTTCCTTGCCGATGCAGGAGGGTCTGTTGGGCAGTTAGTGTCCAACTAGAAGGACTGTGATGATCCAGGACACTTTAACATTCTACAACATGTATGACATTTATCAACATGTGTTCTATAATCTTTATGTGTTTAAACTGTTGATTCTCTGATCTGTGTTGGTGATTTCAATGGTTTTGTTAAGTCTCTGAGATTACTTCTGTTGTAATTTAGGGCTATACAAGAATAAATTGTTTTGTAAGATTTGGAAAATACCAATATGGTTCATAAAGGACAGCAAATACATACATGGTAATGAAACAACAGGGGAAATTACAAACATGCAAGAAGAGGACTTGGGGGCGACAGTGGCTCAGTTGGTAGAGCATTGGCCTTTGAGCCTGAAGGTCGTGGGTTCAAGCCCACCATAAGACCTCCTTCACCACTCCCACTGATGACTGCTGTCGTTGTGTCCTTGGGCAAGACACTTAACCCCACTTTGCCTGAAGCTCCTACTGAAAGATCTCAGCTCCTGTGGACTCAGCACCTGCAGGAGGATCAGTGAGGGGCTGGTGCTCTGTGGACTGGGTGCAGCTCTGACTGCCACCCCCCCGACCCAGAAATGGATTAAGGGGAAGAAAATGGATGGATGGATGGAAGAAGAGGACTTGGCGACATGGAAATACTGTATATTCCAAGGCACATTATCTCTATAGTCAGACCAAACATTGTTTGTATATAATCTGTGAACCTGTACCTGTGCTCCCTGTGCTCCCTGTGCTCCCGGAGTCGCCTGAGTGTGACACCGATCTGCCCCAACCCGCTTCATCCTTGAACACCTCCGTGAGCACCCGGCCGCTGTTGGCAGATGCCACTCGGAAGCGCACCGTTTTACCAGCCTTATCCCTCACCGATTTCACTTGTGACCCGTCCATTTCACACCCAAAGACCGTTCACATCCTCTTCGCACCCTTTCACCGACCTTGTGCAAGCCGGAAAAATGTCCAATTACCCAACAATAACGTCCACTGGCGCGTCAAACCTGCCTGAGCTCAAAATACACAGAGCAAAAACTAGACAGACAAGGAGTTGATAATAGATGAGCTCCTGCCATGGTAACAGCTAAAACAGGCAGTGGTTAGTAAACGGATAGGGCCTTGTTCAATTATTGATTTGGATATTTACACACAGCACCACACACAGGCGTTCAGTCGCAGTCAGACATGTTAGACCATGTTTCTGGGCGCACTTGAGATGACCTTTTGGGAACTCAATTCGCCTGTAAACCTCCAGCTGACCCCGAGATGTTTTTAAAAGGAATTATAAATGTCCTTCACTGCAGACAAATGCTACTTCACAAGACCAGTGCTCAGACCAAACAACTAAAAAGGTCTATTAGAGAATTCATACAGAAGGCTGTAAGGAAATTCTGAAAATTCTATTAAAAAACAGTCTATTTTAGGGTTGCCTGATTAGTTGACATTGACAGCTAAATCTTACAAGCACTTATCTGTAAATTACTTTGCAATGAATCTTGTATGTCATGTACGCTTTTGAAAATATCTTGAAGTTCTTGTTATTATTCTGAACAAACTTACATAATATCAAAAATCAGTCCATCTTAAAACTCAAAGAACAGAATTCAAATAAAAAAGTCTTTTGATCTAACACTGAGAGTGATCGCAGGATACAAATGTGGCAGAGACAAGACGCTTCTTTACACCAAAAGATAAAATGCCTCTTACACGCCCGGGCGTACGCCTTCTCTCCTCCTTCGATGACATCTCTTTCAGCTCCGCCCTGATTGGCTGGCGGTCCGCCCAAAAGCAGCAGGTGTGCTGACGGATCTCTCTCTCTCCCACCAGCCCTCTGACACACTAGGCCCAACCACGTCCTGGGACAGACGTGTCAGGCCACGCCACTTGTTTTTCGTATAATTTGACTTTCCACACACTTGCATTGAACACGTACATTTACACAAAGGTTGTCATACTGACTATCACTCGCACCTCAGCCCATTTCTCACTTACAGAACATTACAGTAACATATTTTCATTCAACACTCTTATCTACACATAAGGTTATCCTACTGCCACTCATATTACACGTACACTGATCGCAGTAATATTATTATTTATCAATAAATGCCAACAGGCTTTAAATCTGGTTGTTGAGTCGTTCCCCCTTATTCTTTGTTGCAGCCACAGAGCCGGGCTGTAACAATGCCCCTTTACAGAAGAAAGAAACAAAACAATCTCAGTTTCAAGTTTATCAATGAATGATAAGGGGAGGATATAATCAAGGTTTGTTATTAAAGTCATACCTACAACATTCTCTGTGAGTGGAGATTACCGGGAGTTTGAGGCATTTTGATTAGAAATGTACTAGTTTTGTCTAATCTTGAATAGTTTCTTGGGTCTTTACTTTTACCGGTCTGGCTTTGACTGCGCCGAGAGTTAATGTGGGGATTCTTTGTTGTGTTTTGTTTGGGAAATAAAACGTTATATTTATCCTCACAGAAAAGCCTTTTATAAATATTGTGTGCAGTCTCAAAAAACAGTTTAACTTGTGGAAAAAGGCATTCGCTGTATTTCTGTTCAACAAGTCACAGTGACAAATACATGTTCATCTAAACAGACTTCAGGTTTATCTGCTTCGTCCTTGTATACACTGTATATTATCAGGTCCTATTATCTCTGTATACTGTAAATATGTACATAATCACAGATATGTATATTCCTGAGTACCTATATCCAGATTATTCTATTCTCAAAATGTTATTTTGTTATTATTCTTAGTTTCAGATTGTTACTTTAATGTTGTTTTTTTATTTTGAAACACTTTGCAAGCTTCTGTGACAATGCAATTTCCCTGTGGATCAACAAAGTCTGTCTAAGTCTATTAAAGGTGATCTGAAGTAGAAATTATTTCCACATCTGGACATTATTGCATGTGACTACGTGAGCCTATAAAATTTCAGAAGCTAAAAAGGGTAAGGTCTAGTTAATATTGTGATGGGAGACCTCAGGGAATACATAGTGTAAAATGTCTAACTGTTATTGTGTCCCTATCAGACACTTTAGAGTCTAGTGTGTGTGATGGTATTCTGGCATTCTGCCCCAGGACAGATATGACTCCACTAGTCGTTTATCACCACATACAGAACAAATAATCCTGTGTGAGGCTTCTTTGAGAGTCCAGAAAAGTCCTATAACATTTGTGCATACTTTTCCATAATAAACGTATCAAAATAAAATCAGATGTTTTTAATACATCCTTTTAGCGGTTAGACACCTTAGCTTTACTTCTGTTTACCCATAATTTAACTTTACAGTCTGGGTTTACCGTAGGCAGCAGTTTACCTCCAGTCCAGCAGGTGGCAGCACAGACTCCTGCAGACACGCAGTCTATGAGCAGACAGCAGCAGGCGATGAGAGGTTTGTCCTTTTGCATTCTCTGCGTGGATTTACTGCCAAAGACAAGCACCATGCATGCACTTCACATATTTATTCTTATGACAGACACCAAGAGCCTTTGTCGTGTTGTTTTTGAGTGAGAAAAGCTTGTGAGTAGACGATGTGTGATCTTTTGCTTGCGACATGTTTCTAACTCCAAAAACAAGCTTTGCAATGGGTCATGGTTCACTTTCCACGTGGTTTTCTTACGTGTTTGACAGAATTGTGCTTATATACAAAGTCCTTCCCTTGAAACCCAGGACATACTGTACTTCAGCTGCTGGAGGTTTGCACCGGCCACTTCCGCTGTCAATAAACACAAACTAAACTCTGATGAAAAGGTGACATCCTCATTTCCTTTGACACCTTTATATGAACATAAATTATCCTTTTTCCATTAATTAATCTTAAAATGTGTTCAATTTCAATCAGCCCAACATGGGAACTTCTGTTGTGGATCTTAAAATACCAAGGTAAAAAAAGTTAGGAGGTATTTTTTCTGAATTCGGATGCCGCCTTTAGAATTGATTGTTAATCGTTCCTATCAACTCATACAATATATTATTCTTGTAGGGCTGTCAATCTTTTAGTTTTTGGTCAACTTTCACTAACAATGTATGTGAAAACGGCAAAAAAAAAAAAATATATATATATATATATATATATATATATATAATCGGTTGCTGTAAGCCTGTACAACGAGAACTGCTGAGTCTGTCACTCACTTCCGATAATAATTCACTATATATAATCACTTATTATTACTGCCTTACAAAATATCCATACGTCTGATATTTCTGTCTGTAACTAAGTAATTTTTAGAGCGCATTTTACAGACCAAGGTCACCAAAGCGCTTTACAATGTTCTAGTCACTTTACCTGCTGTTATTATTACACATTTGTAAATATCTCTGAACCAAGTGCAATTATAGCTCCAGTTTGATGTGTGCAAGCTCTGTATTATTTCCTTCTTTTTTTCTCTGCTGTAATGTTTGGAATTGACTATGGCTACGGTAGTTGTTTATCACTGTGTATGGAGTGAATGAATAATGTCTTTGAGTGTCCAAAAAAAGCGCTAGATAATAAAACCAATGCATTATCTTTTTTGTTTTGTTAGCCCAGTTTGACTTTAATATTGATTCATATTTAAAGTATTTGTCACGCCTCCTTTTCAGTTGCTATTGACAGGGAATTTGTGCTTCAGTTGTGGCCTACACTGATATTAAGTTAAAATCTAGTTTTATGTATGTACTTGTCTGGTGCACACTCGGGGCTACTGCAACTGTATTCCAATGTGGTTTTACTGCAAATGGCAAATAAAATGAACATGATAAACAACTGAATGTGTAATATATCTTTTCAACTCGGTAAAATGACAATAGTTCAGTCAATATTCAAATTAGGAGAGAAATTATGTTTAAAAAACTATCGACCCGTCTCCCTTCTGCTAGTTTTCAAATAGACTCAAAACAGCGTAGGATATTCTTGTTTGTAATCTAGTAATCTTTTTATTTATATACCGCCTTTTCACTGCAGATCTGAGTCTCAAAGCGGTTTACAAATGTTAATTTTTGGGCATTTGTCTCTCACTCCACACAGAGATGGGAGCGGGGCCAGTACAGGAGGCACATGCCAGAACTATTGTACATATTTTTAGTGGTAGGGGAAACCGGAGTACCCGGAGGAAACCTACGCAGACACGGGGAGAACATGCAAACTCCACTCAGAAAGGCCCTGGTCCGACCGGGATTCGAACCCAGGACCTTCTTGCTGAGAGGCGAGAGTGCTATCCACTCAGCCACCGTGCCGCCCATGTTTGATGTTGGGATTGGATCAATGCGCTTTGCTTTTGACCTAACTTTTTCCAAACCACTACCAAAGTTTTCTTGTTTGCGTTTGCTATTATAACGTGAATAAATATTTGTAAATCTTTTGTGTGTGTGTTTAGTGGTTGGAGGTTAAGTGTCTCAGGCCCAGTTTTTAAACCAGTAACAATAACATACACAACCTTTAACTTCACTCAGCCGCCGTTGGATAGTACTCGCCTCTCAGCAAGAGGGTCCTGAGTTCGAATCCCGGTCAAAACAGGGCCTTTCTGAGTGGAGTTTGCATGTTCTCCTCGTGTCTGCATAGGTTTCCTCCGGGTGCTCCGGTTCCCCCTACCATTAAAAACATGCACAATAGGTCTGAATGTAAATGAGAGAGTGAATGGATGGTGCTGGGTCAGAGGCTTTGATGGTCCAGTGTGTTCTGGACTCGCTTCTGTCTTCACCGTGTGTGGAAGGATTGGAACAATATCTGACTCTGAACATTGTAAAGCGCTTTGGGTGATCTTGGTCTGTAAAATGCGCTATATAAATAAACATTACTTACTTACCCTGTGTTTTTGTGTTGCAGAGACTGGGTGGAGCACTAACATGCAGCGTTTGGTGGTACACGCCCTCGTCATGAGACAGTTGGGAAGGTTAAACCCGCAGCACTTGGTCGCAGCCGGATATGGACTCCGCCACACTGAATGGTGCCCCAGGACAATCCACACGCGTCAGCTCTGGGGCTGCTCTGTGGCCCCTGCACACACTCACAGACCCTCCTTTAGCAGCAGAGACGCACTTAGGAGCTGGGCAGCCCATCATTTACGGTTTAAAAGTAGTAAGAAGAAGGGTTTTAGTCGAACTGGACACGTGGAGGAGGAGGAGGAGGAGGAGGACGAAGATGAAAAAGACCCAGAAGACAGCGATTATGAAGAAGCTATGGAAGACCCAAATGTGCCCAAGGACTACAAGGACCTGGAGAAGAACGTACAGTCTTTTCGTTTTGACATCGTAATGAAAGCTGGATTAGACATGGCACGGAAGTGAGTCTGACTTTGGAGGTGCAAGCTCGGTCAATTATACTTTATCAATTCTAAATATTATTAATTTTTCTTTTACACTAGCAAAATTGAAGATGCATTCTATGGAAATAAGCTGCGGCTAAATGGACAGAAACTGATCAAGAAAAGTAAAACGGTATGTATCTATGAAACCACATTCATCTGCTTTTCGCAAATTCCTGATTGGTGACTTTCTCCTCAGGTAAAAGTCGGGGACACGTTAGACCTGGTTTTGGAGGAAAACCGAGAAACTAACACGGTTAAATTGATGAGAGTTGTTCTGAGAAAAGTTTTTCCTGAAGCCAGCAGCACAGACAAACACAAAGTTGCATTAAGGCGCTGGAAGTCCCTTGAGATTTCTAAAACAGATGCTTTAAAATCCTGAACATGACATTATTAGAAAACATTAACTCATTGACAGCCATTGACGTATTTGTCTAAGACCCTCTATTAGACTGGGGATTACAGGACAATAAAAATAATAGAAACAAACTTATTTTTGCTGATGAAAGTAGACAATCCAGTCTTTCAGAATCTGGTTTCATATTTCACATAGTCTTAGGAAATAATATTCTGTGGGTCTTGAGAATCAGTGAAATCATCAAAAACGACTGCCAGTCAATGAGTTAAGCACATGCCTGAAGTTGTACAGTTAAACACAGATTAAAGATCTTTGAAGTCATTGGTTTGAGTGCCGAAGTAATTACTGTTGTTTAGTTTCATGGCAAGGATTTCTTTATTAGAAATGGGTTATCATGAGCTATTGTCATGTTCACGTTTCATTATAAACTTCTATAAGGCTTAACATAAGCACATTATTAAAACAGTGGCACAATGCTACATCAATAACTAGAATCATCTTAAGGTAATCTCTAAATGCAATGTGTACGCAATTCATTGTTATTAATGTTAATTGATTTAAGGCTACAATAAGTATGTTAAATAAGCTATTTGGCATATAAATAGACTTTAGGTGAATAAGACTACAGGTGTTAGCACAAAGTATAGAACAAGTGTAACAGCTCGGCTCACCCTTCAGGACAGCATGTAAAAAATCTACTTTGTGTTTTCAGCTTATATGATAATTGTGCAAGTGTTTGACATAAAAATGCTGCCTAAATAATACATGTTGAAACTAGGATACAGTACTCGACCTCTTGGCCTTCTTTAAAATGTCACACTTTTTGCGATTTGGACGGCGACAGCGCTCATCAATGCTTGGCACGCACTCGTAGTGCCAGACTTCCTCCACCTTCTCCACTGGATACACCGCCTCCACGTAGTGACGGATCAGCCTCAGACGCACCGGGTCCAGCTGCTTCTTGTTGCAGGCTCCTGAATGGTTGTACTGTAGACGCAGGTTTTCCTGAGTGAATAGTTCAGGGAACAGCCGCACCAGTAACCGAGCTGCAAAGTTCCCAACGGAGAGACTCTGCTGGACAATCTCCCGCACCTCAGAGTCCGAAAGCAGGTACAAGGAAGGTACTGGGAACTCTGGGACGCACACACTCAGTTCATCCAGCGGTATTTTACAAAAGTCTTTGCTACTTTTCTCAGGGGGTAAAGCTGGAATATCTGACTCCTCTCTGATATTATCTGCATTAAATTGGCTTAAATGACAAAAAAACTCTTGGTCAATGTCCTGGCCATAAACTTTCCTTTGTTGTAAGTAGGATCTTCTTTGCTCTGTGTCACGTCTTCTACACCTCTCATCCAGTTTTCCCACAAATTCCATCATCCAAACTCTGTCATTGTTTGCTTGTGGGTAAAGCAACTGCACATAATGACGGATCAGATTCACACGAATGGGGTCGAGCTGCTTCTTTCCAAGTGAGCCACTGCAGTTGTACTGCTTCCTTATGTTTTCATGGGTGAAAAGCTCAGGAAACATGAGCACCAAAAGGCGAGATGCAAAGTTACCAATGGACAAGCTACATTCATAATTTATTTTTAGCTGATCCTTTGTCAATAAGTATTCTTTTGGAACGGTAAAGTCAGGAGAAGTCATTTCTAGATTGTCAAAGTCTACAGGTGAAAGTAGAGACTTTTTGGACTTTCGACTTGGTCTGTCACAATCCCCTTCCCCCAAAACACTAATGCTACAGGCATCTTCAGAAAAATTACCATGGCCAAAGCTTTCATCTGTGACATTGTCAGATTCACTGGCATTTCCATTACTGTGAGCACCTTCAAGTGCATCCTCCACATGCTGAATGCACAACTGCAACCAGCTCTCCTCAGGCACATCGGGGAAATTGGCCTCCATATACTTTCTGATCATTTCCACCTTATCTGAGTCGAGAAGCGGATGTCCAACACTCTTACCACTGGATCCAGCTGGAATCTTTCCCTCTTCAAACAACTCAGGAAACAGACGATGCATTAGAAAAATAACAAAATCCTCTGGAGTGGAGCACTCGTCTAACTCCTCTGAGGATTGAGCAAGTGTCAAATCTGTCAAAGCAATGTTTGGCTGGTGATTTAATGACATGTGATCTTCCATTTCTAAACCCTGTTCATTGATGAAGCGATAGGTTTGCGGCTGCTCAGAATTCATCTCTGCACCTGTAACTGTCTGCTTCCTCTGCTGTCGTGGGCTCTCCATGTCTTTATGAGCCCAAAAACGATTAAAAAAGTCATTAATCTGAAGCAGACATTCCTCCTGCCAGACACTGTTGCTCTTGACAGAAGGATAGCATACCTCCACATAGTTACGGATCAGCTGCAGATGCAGAGACTCCAGGCTTCTCTTGGAGGCGAAGCAGTCATGTGAACACTCTTTAGCTTTGAACACTTCTGGGAAGAGATGCACCAATAACCTGCAGCCCAGCTCCCCAGCGTTGGCCGTCTGCTCCATCAGCTGCTTTAGCTCCTCACTGGTGAGTAGATATTCTGGAGGAGGCTGAAACTCCATCGTCTCAGTAGGTTTGATCTGCTTCTTTATTCGCATGACTTCAATAGTTAATAAGTCCACCTTACTGTGCAATTGGGTCATACTTGAGTTCAGGGTATTAAGAATAAAAAACATTTTCTCAATCAGTGGATACACTGGAGTTTCGGAATGACATCCTGTGGAGGAAATGTCATCCAGGCCATTTTCATCGGCTCCTTGGAGCTTGGACGAGAGGATGCTGTTGAGCAGGTCCACTGAGCCCTGTCCCACCTGTTGCTCCAGACTGGGAGCGGTCTTCTTGTCCGAGATTCGATGTGTAATCCCGAAAAGCGGTTTTCTGTGGGAGACTTTGGACCTCTCGGGCATACATCCTTGCTTCTCTTCAGTGATGAGACAAAGAGGTTCATGACGTGCCGTTTCATCTACAGAAGGCTGCCGCATCTGAAGAAAATAAACCCTTATTATCAATGCCATCAGCGAACAGTAATGCCACATTGCTTTACCTGGCCACAGATCCTTGCCCTCTTGATAACGTTGGACTGGTTTTCTGTTGACAATCGTTTTGCAGCTTCGAACGGTCCAGAATATTCTCCTCCACGTGTGTCAGGTGACCCACCACTTTCAAGATCGTCCATGTCGCCCTTAACATCTTGTGCATTCTTGATCTGTACAGGAATTGAGAGTAATAACAAGCTGTATTATTAATAAATATGCATAATAGTGAACACATGACTAATGTTGTTACTTCTGGGAAAAGACATACTACAAACATATTTGCAATTGTTGACAACAAAAAATGCAGATTAATAGCATATGTGCAGTATAGTCATGTAAAATTGGCTGTGCAAAAAGCCAAAAGATGTGCTACACAAATATGCTACAGAACGACTACTTGGGCAAACAATTTAATTTTGTTAATTTCTCTTTTTCCCCACTGGGTTTTCTTTTATGAGTTGTTCCTTGCCGATGCAGGAGGGTCTACTAGAAGGACAGTGGAGATGATCCAGGACACTTTAACATTCTACAACATGAATGACAGTTATCAACATGATGGACATCGGTCTCTCCCTATGGACCAAAACATATGTGTATATTCTGTGTCTTAATTGTTGATTCTCTGATCTGTGTTGGTGATTTCAATGGTTTTGTTAAGTCCTGAGATGACTTCTGTCGTGATTTAGGGCTATACAAGAATACATTGTTGTTGTTGTTGTCTCTGGGAACAACAACAACTGATTAGTGAGAAAAGATTAGAAGGCAGGAAAGTTATGAACAATAGCACCTGTGCTTTAACACATGTTCGTCCAATGTTATTGTTATGTCCATATTCAACAAATATATAAATGCAACAAAAAAACAAAACAAAGGAGTGTGTTGACCAATGTCCTGGATCATACATGTCCTGGATCATACATGTCCTGGATCACACATGTCCTGGATCACACATGTCCTGGATCATACATGTCCTGGATCATACATGTCCTGGATCATACATGTCCTGGATCATACATGTCCTGGATCATACATGTCCTGGATCATACATGTCCTGGATCATACATGTCCTGGGTCATACATGTCCTGGGTCATACATGTCCTGGGTCATACATGTCCTGGGTCACACATGTCCTGGGTCACACATGTCCTGGGTCACACATGTCCTGGATCATACATGTCCTGGATCATACATGTCCTGGGTCACACATGTCCTGGGTCACACATGTCCTGGATCATACATGTCCTGGATCATACATGTCCTGGATCATACATGTCCTGGGTCATATATGTCCTGGGTCATACATGTCCTGGGTCATACATGTCCTGGATCATACATGTCCTGGGTCATACATGTCCTGGGTCACACATGTCCTGGATCACACATGTCCTGGGTCACACATGTCCTGGGTCATACATGTCCTGGATCATACATGTCCTGGGTCACACATGTCCTGGGTCATACATGTCCTGGGTCACACATGCCCTGGATCACACATGTCCTGGGTCATACATGTCCTGGGTCACACATGCCCTGGGTCACACATGTCCTGGGTCATACATGTCCTGGGTCATACATGTCCTGGGTCACACATGTCCTGGGTCACACATGCCCTGGGTCACACATGTCCTGGGTCATACATGTCCTGGGTCGTCACTGTTTTCCTGCTTCGGCCAAGAACAATTAAACCAGTGGGGAAAAAATGCAAAAAACCACAGGGAGGCCCACAGTGGGAAAGACCCGCTCCCACAGAAGGACAGATCCGGCTGAAGACTGCTCCTGGTCCTAATGTAGGGTCCTGGTCCTAATGCAGGCTCCTGGTCCTAATGTAGGGTCCTGGTCCTAATGCAGGCTCCTGGTCCTAATGTAGGGTCCTGGTCCTAATGCAGGCTCCTGGTCCTAATGTAGGGTCCTGGTCCTATGTAAGTACCAAGCATTATCCCTGCACATGTCGGTCCCTGACACTGGTAAACTTTCCCAACACTTCTAGCTGTTAGCGCGGTCCAAACTGTAATGCAGTCTGTTTTCCTGCCGCGCCAGAGCCAGTGTTGTCGTGGACAGAGCCTTTGGAGACTCGTGAGAGAAGCACGCGGGGTGTGCGCGTGAGCTCACCTTTAGGCGCCATGGACCCCCGCAGGACACCCCCGCAGGACACCCCCCGACATGCGGTCCGTCTGCACCGAAGGCCACGGAGCGTTTATCAGAGAAACCAGCTCTTGTTGTTGTTTTCTCGGCCGAACACAGAGCTGCGGTCTCGCGCGACGTGACGTGTTGCGCGCAGACTGTGTCACTTCCGGGCAGCTGTAGACAGTTCCGGGTAAGTCCAGCAGAGGGCGCACAAACTCCCCGGGGCCACTATGGTCCCCTCACAGCCATTGATCTGATCTCTACTGGCTTCATTCTGATTATTTACAGCAGGGGTCTCCAAGTCTCCAACCTGCGGCTCACCAAAGGATTTAGAATTCAACACATAATCCTGAATTAATAAATTTTGAGTAAGTAAGTAATGTAAGTAATGTTTATTTTGTAGTGCATTTAACAGATCGAGGTCACCCAAAGCGCGTTACAATGTTCAGAAATCATTCATTTGATTCATGCCATGTCTATTATGAGTATAAAATATATACTTATAATGAACTAAGGATTATACAGTATTATTTACATGTGTTTTCCATGTTTTGTCGTAATTATCACGTAGATCTTAATAAGAACTGCAGAAAGGAGTAGCTCTCTGCCTCTTCTGTTGGATAAAAGTAGCTCAATGATTGAAAAAAGGTTGGAGACCCGTGATATACAGTATATGCCGAACAATATTTCAAACAATTTCACATTTGGGTATCAATAATAACAAAACTTTTTAGTCAATCGTATCATACCAAATTCCACATTCATTCATCTGAAATTAACAATCCTCATTTACCATCTTCCTGTGGAACTGCAATAATACAGAAACACAATAATAACAGGACGTATGCAATAGTTGTATGTGTGCAATAACAGGAGGCGTGCAATAACGTGATGTGTGTAACAACGGGATGTATGTAATAACGGGGTGTGTGCAATAACAGGACGTGTATAATAATTCTGATGTGCGCAATAACGGGATGTGTATTAATTGGGTAGGTGCAATAACGGGATGTGTGTAATAACTGGATGTGTGCAATAACAAGATGTGTGTATTATTTGGATGTGTGCAATAACGGGATGTGTGCAATAATGGGATGAGTGCAATAACTGCATGTGCGTGATTACAGGACGTGTGTCCAAACTGGGTGTGTGTAATAACAGGATGTGTGCAATAAGAGGATGTGTGTAATAACAGGATGTGTGCAATAAGAGGATGTGTGTAATAACAGGATGTGTGCAATAAGAGGATGTGTGTAATAACAGGATGTGTGCAATAACAGGATGTATGCAATATTTGGATGTGTGCAATAACAGGATGTGTGCAATAACAGGATGTGTACAATAATTGGATGTGTGCAGTAACAGGATGTGTGCAATAATTGGATGTGTGCAATAACAGGATGTGTGCAATAATTGGATGTGTGCAATAAGTGGATGTGTGCAGTAACAGGAGATGTGCAATAATTGGATGTGTGCAATAAGTGGATGTGTGCAATAACAGGATGTATGCAATATTTGGATGTGTACAATAACAGGATGTGTGTAATAACAGGATGTGTGCAATAACAGGATGTGTGCAATAACAGGATGTGTGCAATAACAGGATGTGTGTAATAAGTGGATGTATGCAATATTCGGATGTGTGCAATAATGTGGACTCCATTCTTGATCTTGTTGGACTTTTAATGTGTGGACTTTTTCTCATTTGTCTTTGTTGTTGTAGCATTTAACCCTTGGGACCCTAGCCCTATGGGACACCGATAGAAAAGGACATAGATAGACATGGACCAGGTTAGGGTTATAGGGTTAAACACGGCTATAATCTGGAATCTTCCATTCATGTTTCTATTGTGTCAATGAGATACACTGTCCCATTCAAATAAATAAATTATGTTTTTCTGGCATGGCTACACTCCTCACAATATTTTAATGTTTTACTGGTCAACACTGCCCCCAAGTGGTGGTGAAAGAGAACAGCAGCAATTCCCCACTTCTCATATTCATGCTTATCATTTTACCTTCTGCACCTCTTCATCCTTCCATTTTTTCAGTTATTATGCAATAGACCATTCAATTTAATTTCTGCTAACATCCAGTGCTGTTATGTATAGACCCGATGACTAATCTGGCCTATAATAATCAGTCATCTCATGCTGGCACTGGCACTATTATCACACATCCATGATAGGCACCCAATGTTCTGTCCCTGGCCTCAAACATGCTCCAATGTGTGGCTGGTTGTCGTTATTGCTGTAATGAGCTGTCACTGACCCCTGTGCGTGCGGGGGTCACAGAGGCGAAGGGGTCCGCAGTGCTCAATCCAGGGCAGAGCTCGTTAAACAGTCATTTCTGTCCAATGCACTCGAATGTGTCAACGAGGCCGATGATATATAGCTGTACTGTTAATTCTAATCACTTTGAATCCAATTTTTAGTCATCATTTCAGAGTTTACCAAATGGACCTCTTGTGCTACCCTTGGGTTAATGTTACTATAGCCACAGTGCTTAAAAGTATAAGAAAAATAATTAAGGTTTGAAAGGGTCTAAATGAGGCAGGACTGGTCAAGTAAGGAAAAAAATATCAAAATTCAGCTCAAAAAACAATTATGGTATTTTTGGATCACTGTGCGGGTCAGTATGGCCTGAGGATAGCACAAGGGTTAAAGTGACGGATTCATAAAGAAATCATTCACTGAGATGCACGAGTAGCTAGCACTCTCGCTTCTCAGCAAGAAGGTCCTGGGTTCGAATCCCGGTCAGAACAGGGCCTTTCTGTGTGGAGTTGGCATGTTATCCCTGTGTCTGCATAGGTTTCCTCCGGGTACTCCAGTTTCCACTACCACTAAAAACATGTACAATAGGCCTGTGCCTCCTGTACTGGCCCCGCTCCCATCTCTGTGTGGAGTGAGAGGACAATGCCCACAATTGTAAACTGCTTTGTGACTCTGGTCTGTGAAAGGCGGTATATAAATAAGCATTACTTACTTAAAAAGCTATTATTAATAACCCTAAAAAATAAGTTATTTTTAAGTTAAAGGAAGACACGGAACCAGCAACATTAAATAACCTCAAATCAAATGAGTCTAACAATACTAAAACCCCAGCTTTCAAGTGACATGACCCAAGTATGACGTTCAATTTGCTAAAACTAAATCTGAACCGGTGCAAAAATATTCGGAATTAATTCTTGAAGAAAACAATGTCAGCAAGAAGTGTGTAAAAACAATCTTTGCACAAACCAGAGCTCATCTATGCGTCTACAAAAGTTTGGTTCATGACTATATTTGTCATTCTGGCAGTGCCCCAGTGTCCTTCCTTGTTTGGTCCTTTTAACTTTCCATGTAACTTTGCTCATGTCTGCTCACGGCGAGGCTGAATATTTTATGAAGGGCCCGAGGCTTTCCCTGGCAGAGGCTGTACCTCGCTGTTCCCAGGAAGTTCAAACTGTGGAAAGAGAAACACAGAAGGAAGTGGACGCACAAACCAGTAACAGACATCAACTTCTCCTCTGATCAGTCCCGTCCTGATCTGCCTCTGCCTCCAATTAATCCAGATTCATTTCTCTCTAGCAATGGAAGGTATGACATTTCCACAAGATTATTATTGTCACCAAAAATGTCTTGAAATATGTCAGTTTTGGTATTGACATTGTTTGTGACAGAATTATGTCTATTTTTTAAAAAGTCTAATCAGCAGCTTCTTCTCCAAGTGAAATAAAGAGGTATTCTTTATACATAGTGAAAGGGCATCCTCATGATATTGTTAAGTGGCTTGGACAGTATCATAAAACATTGGTTTTTGTCCCACGAGTGCGTTGAAATATGGATCAAACCTTTTCAAATTCAGAAACACACAACACAATTTCATACACAAGGCAATTCAAAGTGCTGAACAAAAAAAGATAGCATTAAAATCATAAATATTCACAGTATATTAAGAAGAAAGATCAGTTGTATGCACAGCTAAACAGAACTGTCTTTAACCTGGTTTTAAACATTGTCAGAGAGGAGGCCTGTCTCACACTTTCAGGAAGATTGTTCCAGATTTTAGCAGCATGAATCTGAAAAGCAGCCTCCCCATGTTTAGTTCTGACTCTGAGGCCAGCAGGAGTCCAGTCCCTGTGCTCCTCAGAGTCCCAGCAGGAGTCCAGTCCCTGTGCTCCTCAGCGTCCCAGCAGGAGTCCAGTCCCTGTGCTCCCTAGAGTCCCAGCAGGAGTCCAGTCCCTGTGCTCCTCAGAGTCCCAGCAGGAGTCCAGTCCCTGTGCTCCTCAGAGTCCCAGCAGGAGTCCAGTCCTTGTGCTCCTCAGAGTCCCAGCCGGAGTCCAGTCCCTGTGCTCCTCAGAGTCCCAGCAGGAGTCCAGTCCCTGTGCTCCCTAGAGTCCCATCAGGAGTCCAGTCCCTGTCCTCCTCAGAGTCCCAGCAGGAGTCCAGTCCCTGTGCTCCTCAGAGTCCCATCAGGAGTCCAGTCCCTGTGCTCCCTAGAGTCCCAGCAGGAGTCCAGTCCCTGTGCTCCTCAGAGTCCCAGCAGGAGTCCAGTCCCTGTGCTCCTCAGAGTCCGGGCTGGTTCATATGGCACTAACATGTCACTAATATATTTTGGTGCGAGGCCATGGAGAGACTCCCGGACCGTATCCAGTATTTAGTTTTATTTTGTAACTGGGGTGGGAGTAAACACATATTCTACTTCTTCTCACTCCCTTTCAAGCAAAGAACATTACTTCATTACAACATTACTTTATTCTATTTTTAACTTGATTGCATCGAGAGCCAAAGCTATTTCCTAGTTTGTGACTTCCTGTTACTCACATGGCAATAAAAAGGATTCTGATTCATTGTAAGAAAATATGTAATCTATGTATTAATATATATATTATTTACGAAATGTTTAGGATACAAGTTTGCGATGCTTTTAATTTTTGTTATCGTTTTATACTCATGCTTGAAATAAAAAATATTAATTAATTCCTTAAATTCTGTTAAACTATTATAATAGACACAGAACGCTTTCAAACTTTAAACTTGAATACAGTATGTGCAAGTCTACAGCCCTATACAAATCATCCAAGTATCTCTCTATGCAATCATAAAATCTTGATCCATCATCTCCGCAGCCGTGTCCTTCAGGTGTGGCGTGTGGGGGCAGCAGCTCCAGCACTGGCCCCCGCTTCACACCTCCACGGTCCCCTCTCTGCAGACACAGGCCTGGGAAACCACAGGCCCCCAGGCTGGCGCCAGTCTGCGGGACTCAGAGCACAGCAGCCAATCAATACCTCTGCATTTCCTGTCCATTTGCTCAGGTCTCTTCATTAATAATTACTGCCCAGCGGAGCGTCAGTGCCCGGGCTGGTTGGGCAGAGGGGAGGTGACCTTTCGCACCCCTCCAGTTGGCTTTAGTTGACCAGTGCAGACATAATGAACAAGAACAAGTGACACTTAAACAAGGATAACAATCTGTCTTTACCACTACGCTTTTATGGATCTCTTTAGCTTATAAACTGCATTTTCTATAACATTTTAGAATTATTTGTATTGGACTCTCTCCCCCCTGACCTCCGGACCATTGACTCTCTTCCACTCTTCAAATCCAGACTCAAAACCCATCTGTTCAGACTGTCCTAACACACACACACACACACACACACACACACACACACACACACACACACACACACACACACACACACACACACACACACACACACACACACACACACACACACACACACACACACACACACCTGTTTTATTCTGTTGCTCCTGTTTTTAATGTTTTCATTATGTCCTGTTCAGTGTCCTTGGGTGTTTTGTCTATGCTAAATGTAAGGAAATGATTTGTTTATGATTTGTGGCAAACCTCACATGACATTCATTTTCTTTGCACCAGTGGAGATATCTTAGTATAAGGTCTGTACCATTGCCCTCCCACCATTTTCATTATTATTATTTTCTTAGCACAAGCTTATAATGAATTAGCTGAATAAAAATGCATGGGATGATTCTCCTGTATTGTACTTATGTAAATGACCAAAAGAAGATTCAATATTGTTGTGTTTTTCACAATCTTCTAAAGAAATATGTTACTAATCAAAAGCCTTTTTACTGGGCATTTCTGTGAACCTGTTTGCAACACAAGGATGCCTCTGTTAGTATCTGTATCCGTACACAACATAACTTAAAAACCCTTAAAAATGAAACTACAGAATGAACCTATGTGAGCTAAAGATTAGTCTGACTTGGACTTTTTCAATGGCGGGTTATAAAGTCACGCCCAGACATAACGGACATGGCTCATTCCAAACTAACTGTACCAATGTGTTAAATTTACACAAAAAAGTCCCAACATGTCCGAGACAGCTACTGCCAAATGTTCACAGACTTAAGTTTTGTTCCTCACCACCACCACCAACCGTTCAGACACACACCAGGCTCATTCTAATGTGGGGGAAGTGTCTTGCCAAAGGACACATCCACAGTTTGGCACTTTACAGCTGCAGCCGCCCCACCGTTGTTCCCAGAGGTCTCCCATCACAGCACTAACCAGGCTCTGCCCTGCTTAGCTTCAGAGGTTTCACTTTGACTTTGAGATCTGGATTTTGCACGCAGGAACGGCCAAACTACACAATATAAAAAAATCATGAGGTACAAACATTATTGGTTCATACATTTTCATTTTTTATTTCTGCTTGAAGTAAGATTTGTCGCATTGTACAGACTCAAAAAAGGTTCATTTTGTCTTGAGTTAAAATGCCTTTTTTGTTCTTTTGAAAGACAAGTTTAGATGTATTACCTTGTTGTATAGATCTATCAACAGGCTTTCGAAGATGGCTCGCAGTTCTGCAGCCGAAGCCGAGCCAACGCAATTTCCAACTCTGTGACTTCCTGTTACTTACGTGGCAATAAAAATGATTCTGATTCTGAAACATGTTAACAAGGTAATACATCTAAACGTGTCTTTCAAAAGAACCAAAAAAAGCAAGCGACGTATCGTACAGTTTAGCGTGGACTGAACCAAATACGACATTGCTCTCGTGGCCGAACAAGTACCTTAGACATTAACAGATTTCAGGCACCGCTCACCCACGCAGCAGAGAAGAGCAGATGATGTAAAACTGAAGCAACACATTTTATCCATAACTGCACAGAGGTGATCAGAGCATCTCCCTCACGCTGCAGGTCCAAGTGTGTGCATCTAAAGGGCTCCCCGGTCTGACACCCGAGAGTCCGTGCGTGGGGCCGGGTTAGAATTTGGTGACGGCTGATGCGATGTTCTCCAGGGCGGATCGGGCCTCGGAGGCGGGGAAAGCCTGGATGGCCTCCAGAGCCTTGTTACTATGGAAACAGCATAAGTCTACCGCCGAACTCACGCCTTTGTCCGACTTGACTGTGGCCAGGAGCTGCAGAGGCACAACAACACACCGTCACACACACGTCCTTCTGGGTCTATTATGTCGGTATAATGTCAGCAGCTCGACACAGACAACTAGGGTCGTGTGCAGAACGGAGCAGAGCTGTTGTGCAACGCTTGAATCTGCTTTTGATTAGAGGGTTTCATGGGGACTGGGATTCCGCTAGACTCTAGAAGCCGGGGCATCTGGACAAGTCACGGGGAACCTAAACATCTATATCCATTCATTATTCTATTATAAAGATTGAGATTAAGATTAAGCATCCTCAAAAAAGCAATTTCTTAAGAATGGATTAGTGTTAAAGCCATTTCTTGTTTTTTTTATTATTAGATTTTTATTAAGAAAAGGGTCACAACAGATGCATGTATCATTTGTTTTGTAGTCCTCACATGTTAGGCGACAGTAGCTCAGTTGGTAGAGCAGTGGCCTTTGAGCCTGGAGTTCAATTCCCACCATGGGACCTACTCCAACTGCTCCCACTGATGTCTACTGTCGTTGTGTCCTTGGGCAAGACACTTAACCCCACGTTGCCTGAAGCCCCCGCTGAAAGACCAAGGCTGTTTCATCACTGACAGAGCAGCCATCTTCCTGTGGACTCACCCCCTGCAGAGGATCAGCGAGGGACTGGTGCTATGAGCATTGGGTGGCAGCTCTCATTGCCACCCCCCTGACCCAGAAATTGACAATAAAGAGCTTGAAAATGAATGAATGAATGAATGAACATTTTAGTAATAATGTTAATAATATCAATATACATAAAATAAAAATAGAAAAAACAAAAGAGAACAGAGTTTAAATTTCTCTATCGTTAATCAAAACAATTAGAAAATGTGGCTTGTGTAAACACTAGATGTGATTAGAAGTAGGAAAATAAAACCATCATATGTAAAATTTCTCCATTTTGTACCCGTCCTCTATTGATGGAGGTGTTAAAGCAATTTCTATGTTTCTTTAAGTCTATAAAATGTGCCTCCTTTACTGGGTGAAGATGATTCGGGTTTATCCGTTTGCTCGGCTGTTGCTGCGTCAAGACATGTTTTTGCTTCGGGCAGTTTTGCTCATAAATTCTGAAGGTGGAACGCCCTACAGCCTTTTGCAAAGTCAAAAGTACAGGTGCCAAAGACATTTTTATTTACAGAGTATTTAATATCGCAGGTAAAGATGTCTAGGGTCATGTTGGCTTCGATAGTCATTTATTTATGATTAAACACATGTCCTGAGTCTGGAAATACATTAGGGTCTTGGGTTTTAATCCTGGGTAATGTTTCTTTTTAGTTGAGATTAATAATGCATTGGTTTTATAAAGTTCTTTTCTAAAACTCTGGTCAGTTTCACAGACCAGAGTCACAAAGCGCTATACAATTGTTATTTTTGGGCATTCTCTCACTCCACACAGAGAGCAGGGTCACTAGTACAGGAGACACGGGGAAAACATGCAAACAACACTCAGAAAAGCCCTGTTCTGGCCGGGATTCAAACCCAGGACCTTCTTGTTGAGAAGCAAGAGTGCGATCTACTCTGCCACCGTACCGCCCTGTAATATTGTTATCATTACTATGCCCAATATCATTAATAACCACAGTAATCATACAAAAATGTTTTATAAATTCAACCCAGAAACCTGTGGGGCGGCTGTGACATACTGTTGTTGTGTCCTTAGGCAAAACACTTCATTAGCTAGTAAGAGTCTGGTGAGTGGGTGTATGACGTGTTGTGGTCGAAGGGGCCAATGGCACATACTCGTTGCCTCTCTTCTGTCTGCACCAGGGCAGCTGTGGCTACTGCCGTGTCTGTGACGTGCTCTATAAAACCAATGCATTATTAATCTCAACTAAAAAGAAACATTACCCAGGATTAAAACCCAAGACCTTAATGTATTTTTGTACTGTATTTGTGTCATTACGTTTGCAGTTTTTAAGTCTTTTTGCCCATCTTCTCTCTAAAACAATACTTAGTAAGTGACTGTGATAAAAACATTTCGAAACGCCGCCGCGGTCTGTCGTTCTTAGACTCCTCTTGACTTGTCTGCACTTGAAACTTTTGCCTCAAACTTGCTCTGGTGTCCCCTTTTGGGCCGAAGGGGTTTCTCTCACAATGCCACTGTCTCCGAGCCTCAGTGTCTCCTCCACAAATAGGCCGCAGTAAGTCATCTGGCCTGCTCCGGTTTCAGACAGGACCAGATAACCCCAAACACCAGACCCCTCCTCTGAAATGTGCTCTCCTCTTGCAGCTCATATCACTGCACTGGTTTCTCCTCTCACTTTGACTTTGACTCAACTCTGACCCAACTTAAAAATCAGTTATTTACATTTATAAAACCATTATGGGAGAACACATTTAGGTCAAACCCCTACTACACCGTCTCTTTTCTCTAAAACGCCTCAAAAATGGGGTAAAAATCTGTGTGAGATCTTGTGGAGCACAGACTAGCCTCGTGAAGACCTTTAGTTTTGGCCCCTGATGACTCATTTACACCAATTACAAGTGTGAATAATCTCTGCAGAGAAAGATCCAACTCCAAAGTCCACCAAAATATAATGTTTATTTAATTAAATTACCAGAATTTGGCCTTTTAACAATTCCGTTTTCACATCTGATGTCAGTGTTGATGAGATTAAAGGACCAGTATTAAAGCAAAAAGGTCCAGAAGGACATTCCCTATTCTCTTTTTAAAAAAAAAATAATTTGTATTTTTACCTGCACAGGCACATCGGCACGTTTCATCGAAGAAAATGTAAATGTCTAAACTAAATGTAGGTCTAAAAGAGACTCACAAAGGATTTCAAAAGGAGCGTTGATCTTAAAAGGAGGTACCATCAGAATATCTATCTATAAATATAATATTAACGGCTTATTAACCGAGCTCGAGGTCTGTATGGAGAAATATCAGACCGAGCCTTAACGTACAGACCGAGCCTTAACGTACAGACCGAGCCTTAACGTACAGACCGAGCCGTGGCGAGGTCTGTGCAAAAAGGCCAAGGTCTGATATTTCTCTGTTCAGACCGAGCAAGCGAGGTTAATAAATGTTTTATTATGACTCTCGTCTGTGTCTTTACCAATGCTTTTGAGATATTTGTGAAGTATGTTCATGTCCGACTTGGTTTTGTGTGATACGCGCTGCGGACAGATTGTCATGGTAACGGTCCGAGATGGGAAAATATCAGACCGGTAATCAGCCAATCAGAGCGCGCGTACGGTCCAAGTCATATAATAAATATGTGTATTACGCCGCTTACCTTTGAGTAATCCAACATACTTCTTGATGTTTGTGCCTAAAAAAAAAAAAGAAAAAGTTATTCAGAGCCATTGAACAAAGAGTAGATTTATTATTACTATTAAACCTCTTATTTTATTGTCAAAAATATAGTATACTAGTAGCCTGGTCTTACCTCACCACTGTACACATTTCATTTTGTAAGTGTAGGGAAATAATAATTGACCGGAGGCTACTATAGCACTTATTTTAATTTTTTATGTACCATATATTGAATTAACAAATCATAGCCGTTTCCTTCTCTCCTCCTTCAGATTACGCACAGAACAAAGTCCAGAGAGGCAAGAATCAGTGCATTTTTAAGCGGTTTTACTTGATTGTATTTATAACCAGGGCTGGACTGGGACAAAATAACGGCCCGGGCATTTTTGCCTTCTTGGCGGCCCAGGCATGTTTTTTCACGTTTTATACAAGTTTGTTTATACCAGGGGTTGGCAACTCAAAAGGTTCAAAGAACCATATTTGACAAAAAAACTAAAAACATGTGTCTGGAGCCTTGTAAAAGTACATGCAATTGTACAAATACAGTAAATAAATCTGCATTTTGACTCAGAGTTCACCTGCATCACAGTCTTTAGTAATCTTTATTTATATACCGCCTTTTCACTGCACATAGGAGTTTCAAAGCGGTTTACAATTGTTATTTTTTTTTTTGGGCATTTGTCTCTCACTCCACACAGAGATGGGAGCGGGGTCGCCAGTACAGGAGGCGCATGCCAGACCTATTGTACATATTTTTAGTGGTAGGGGAAACCGGAGTACCCGGAGGAAACCTACGCAGACACGGGGAGAACATGCAAACTCCACTCAGAAAGGCCCTGGTCCAACCGGGATTCGAACCCAGGACCTTCTTGCTGAGAGGCAAGAGTGCTATCCACTCAGCCACCGTGCCGCCCAGTCTGTTCATATCCATCACAGGCTGAAGTTTGCTGGAGCTGAATGTCCTTAATGGCCTTTTCTTTCACCGTCTTTGCGAAGGTTTTTGAAGTCTGAAAATAGGTGCTTTGAATTTGCGATGAATGAATCCTTCAGTGAACAGTGTTTAAAGCTTCATTGTTCCTCGTGTTGCAACAAAACTTCTCGTTACAAACATGAGGCAGTCTTTCCTTATTGACTGAAAGCAAAAGTTCATTCTGATTCTTAGTCCAGTCTTATCGACTCTTTCTTTCTTTATCTTTGGGATCCGTGCGCACACACAGTCTATGATGCACACACGGCGGTTTGTTTAAAACAGCCGACGCCTGGCACGGGGCCGCGTCACCGGATATGACGCGTCACCGGATATGACGCACTACGTATTGAATAATACTTATGCACAGCATTTAAAAACATCAAGAATGTTTTTCCCCTTACAGAAACCACATTCAAACTAGAAATAAAATATAGCCCTCCCAGCTACAAAGAGCCGCAGGTTGCCGACCCCTGGTTTATACAGTATGTGGAAGCAAATACTGTAGAGGATCAGGATATGTGCAGTTTCAACAATAAAATAAAATGCAATAGTCTACATTAAAGAGAGTAATAAACATGTCTCAGAGTGAGAGGTGGGCACAGACACCACTATTGTTTGTTACAGGGATGAGAATTGGTCAAAAAAAGTCTGAAATGCATAATGTCAGCCATTGGCTGTCACTAAATCTGTTTGATTTGTTCACAACATTTTACTTTTGGGCTCAAACATGAACTTTTGATGCAATGGAAAATTTAGGTACCCAAGCTTTAATTTAGTCACGCTTTGAGAGGAGAGACGCGGACTGTTTACTGCAGCGGTGTATTTATTGGGTCCACAGACTACGCTAAGACACGCATGGTCGTGAGCGGTTCCAGCAACTCTGAGCTGGATGCGGGAACCCCTCATTACAAAGCGTCCGCAGCAGCCCGGGAACACTGCGGCCGCTGAGGCGGCGGAATCCCGTTCAAGTACATACAGCAGGAGCCCGCGGACACGCACGCCCCCCTCGAACAATTCTCAACGGATTTACACTTTTCACAAACATGTTTTTGGATGAGGCAGACAGGCCGGCCCAAATGTGGGCATCGGCCCTTCGGGCATTGCCCGGTACGCCCAATGGCCAGTCCAGCCCTGTTTATAACCATATATAAATGTTTGCTGTATGACTCTCTAAAGCTGAAGATGAATCACGTACCACAATAGGAACTTTTTCACCTCCTAGTTCCACTATAATAATAATCTATAAAACCCAGGACTAAACCAGGACTAAACCAGGACTCTAATTGAGTTCTGATTAAAGCGGCAATAACTGACTTTGTGACATTTTCGAATGTGAGCGCTAGCCTTGCTCTTTCCGCTCCCCTCCCCGCACTTCACGTTTCTATCATAGAATGATAGAACCGTGAAGTGTAAGTAAGTAGTAATCTTTATTTATATACCGCCTTTTCACTGCAGATCTGAGTCTCAAAGCGGTTTACAATTGTTATTTTTTGGGCACTTGTCCTCTCACTCCACACAGAGATGGGAGCCGGGTCGCCAAACAGGAGGCGCATGCCAATCCTATTGTACATATTTTTAGTGGTAGGGGAAACCGGAGTACCCGGAGGAAACCTACGCAGACACGGGGAGAACATGCAAACTCCACTCAGAAAGGCCCTGGTCCGGCCGGGATTCGAACCCAGGACCTTCTTGCTGAGAGGCGAGAGTGCTATCCACTCAGCCACCGTGCCGCCCAAGTGCGGAGGAACGAGACTTTCTTTTGGCTGTTTCTCTGAGTAAGCAGTAACCGGTAACGAAGACACGGGAAGTTTCAGGTTAGCCTCCGCCGCTTGTTTACCTCAGCTGTCTGTGCTAACCACAGACCTGTGGCTTTTCTCAAGAAAGTGGGGGCCAGTGGTCCGCTGTGATTGGTCACAATCTGGACCCGAAATAAATTCTCTTCCTTGTTGCACAAAAACTTGATCTAAAATAAAATGACACGCCAGCACAAACCAGCGCTACTTATTCTTCAAAAGGACGTATGTCCCACTGCACTGCATGGACATGGGTTGAATTTAACTAATGAGTACAAAAATAAAGTCAGTTTTGCAGCTTTAAGTAAGTAATGTTTATTTATACCGTACACCTTTTTACAAACCACGGTCACCTAAGCGCTTTACAATGTTCAGAGTTCTCTAAAGACTAAATCTATAGGAGATAAACAGAAAGGGTTCTGAACGGTGGAGACAAATGTGGACCAAATAAAAGACCAGCAGCAGTTTGCATCACAGTTTCAGACACTGCACATGGTGTGAAGGGACCATGGTTGTCATACCAGCTGCAGCTGCTGATGCCACCTCTCCGTCCCGACGCTCTGCTGATGGAACACCACTGGAGCAGCACTTAGACTGAAGCTCGTGGGCTCCACACTCTTCACAAACGGCTGTAGTTCTGAGTTTAGCTGTGAACAATAAACAAAAACACAGAGTTCAGCCTCAGCAGTTGGACTAAGCGAGTGGAACGGCCGGGTCTGCCCTCCTTTTGCCTCCACTCTCGCTGACCCTATTAATGAGCGTGAAATGAGCAGTCTGCTGCAGGATGGAGGGAGTGTGATGAGGATGGTTCTCCTTCTGAAGCCCTGTGTCGCACTGGTCCCATGCTGAGACTCCCTGGAGCCAGTGAGGCCTGCAGATTGACAGCTACAGGGAGCCCCAGCAGGAGCCTCTCTCACTCGGCTCTGTCACTGCGATCATTACTGGCATCTCTTTGTCGGTGCCAACACGCCAACTTTAGGCCCAACCTCACACACTCTGAACAATCTGCTGTTTTATCAAATGGGAAAGGGTCATATTGACGTTTCAACCGTGTTCTGTGAGCAACTGGAGTGGCCCAAGACGATTAAAGGAGACATGTTACACACAATCAACATTGTCTTAATGTCTTTAACCATGTTACAACATTGTTTAATAATCAAAAACAAACCTGGAGTTGATTTTATATTTGTTCATGCTAATATTAGGAAAATGTAACTTTGTCTCTTCTACAGTATCTGTAATGGTATGACGTCATTATACCACTGACCAACGACATCCTGCTCAGAACAGTTTTGTCTGTTATTACAACACGATTACAATGACAATTTATTCTTGAATAGCCCTAAACCCAAAACAGCATCATCTCAGAGGACTTAACAAAACCATTGAAATCACCAACAACAGATCAGAGAATCAACAGTTAAAACCAAAAAAACATAGAACTCATATGTATTGGTCCATAGCCACACAGAAAGGGCCTGGTCCTGACCGGAATCCAACCCAGGACCTGCTACTTTTACTTTATTGTGGAATATAAGACTATATGTTTGAATCCAGATGCATCATGATTTAATTATCTAAATATATATAGTATTTTTATTATTATTTTTCCTATATATTATTTGCCATTCTTAATATACTCCTGACATTGTGATTTCCCGGTATATGATTATATTTCCTAAAGTAGGTAAAGTTATTTCCCTCTCTAAGAATATCAAGCCAAAATGGTTTCTTTGTATTCCTTTTTAAATTTTCTAATGTCTGGACATCCCTTCAGCTCCTCACTCATGGCGTTCCAGAGCCTCACCCCACAGATAGACACACAACAACTCTTTCTAGTTGTCACAGTGTTCTTGAGGTGACAAGATAAGTTGTGGGTTTTATTCTTTCACCCTGTGCCAGTGACACCAGAAAGCATGATTCGACACAAACCATAATTTAGGGTGTTGCCGAGTTTGTCTTCTCCTATTCATTAATGGGCAAACCTATGAAATGTCTGTTATTTTGTGTGTCTATGCCTATAGAAACCACAGCAAAAGTCTGTTATGCTTACTTTCTGTAGGATCATACACCATATTTTTCCACATTGGTCCTCTCAGTGTGTCTCCCTGTATTGTGAATAGTACAGCAGACTTGTTTGTTGTTCTTCAGCTCAGAGTCACTGTGAGGTTGCTTGTCCACAGTTCACAGAGAGGCAACATTATTGGCCTCCAAAGTATTTTGCAACGAGTCTTTCCACACTTACTCAGAAAATCAGCAGGAGATATGTGCCAAAGCATAATACATTTTCACAGCTTCTCCGTTCTAGCCACGACTCCTCAAAGACAGACACTCATGCTCGGCTCAGCAAACTATTTTCACTCATGTGTGAGCTAATAAAGAGTTCAGTTAGGTACACTTATAAGGGCATTTAGACTTGTGAACTTTCTATGGGACCCCCGAGCACACAGCGTGGGTCGCCTGTAGCTGAGAGTCAGCACCCCCGCTCCTCCTCTCCATGTGTTCAGCGGCGCTCAGGCTCGGGTCCTGCTTCGGGTGAACCCGCTGGTTCCGTCCACCGAGCTCCTTCTCCGAGGCCGCGTCCACGTCCACTCTTCGCCCCGACCACTCTGATTATTGGAGATTCCATTGTGAGACACGTCCGCTTCTTTAATGCGGTCACTCGCTGTATTCCCGGAGCTACTGTACCAGACCTGCTCATACGCCTCCCTCCTCTGCTTCAGTCCCTGCCTGATACCGTTTCCAAGGTAGTCGTGCATGTGGGAATTAACGACATGAAACTTCAGCAGTCAGAAGTCACGAAGAAACATTTTATGGATCTGTTCCACCTCCTTCAATCCTCCGGATTATCTGTTTTTATTTCTGGTCCAATCCCGACTGTAAACAGTGGTGTCCCCCTCGGACCCCACCGCACTCCCCCGCCTCCTGCTCACCAGCACCGGGTGAGTACAACGGTGCAAACACTGCTCCCTGTCCGTCTGGCAGTGTATTACCAGTCCAAACACTGAACTGTGCTGACTCCCTTCTGACTCTGGGAGCTAAAGAACAACAAGGGTTTTCACATTTTAGGCCAATTGAGACTGTGTGTGTTCCTCGCACCAGCTCAAAAATGTTTTTAAATTCTAAAAAACGAAATCAAAACAGGACAGCAGTTAGACGGTCCAACTCTGCAAATCTAATTTCTGTTCCCTGTAGAAATCAATCAACCACATTAATCGACTCTGACGTTATTTTTAAACTTGCTATGCTTAATGTCAGATCTCTATGTAACAAATCATTTTTAATTAATAATTTTATCACTTCTTATGATCTTGATTTTATGCTTATGGCTGAAACATGGCTGGACCAAAATACAGGAAATGCAGTTCTAATAGAAGCAACACCACCCAATTTTAAATTCGAATCCGAAATACGAGAAAACAAAAGGGGGGGAGGCATAGCTGCAGTTTTTAGAGAGCACTTTGTCTCCCATAGAATGCCCCTTGGAAATTTTTCATCGTTTGAGTATATTTCTTTTAAAATGGAACAAAAGCAATCTTCTACTCTTTTCATTGTCCTGTACAGGCCACCACAGTCATGTTGCGATTTTATTGACCATTTTACTGAACTACTTTCATTCGTGTGCACAGATTTTGATAGTTTAGTTATTACAGGTGATTTTAATGTACATGTTGATAATGTTGATGACAGAAATGCAAAGGAGCTGGCTTCTGTATTTGAGACCTTTGGTTTCATTCAGCACGTGAGTGGCCCCACCCACAGCAGGGGGCACACTCTTGACCTGCTAATTACAAAGGGGGTTAATGTATCAAATGTTAATGTAGTTGATGTTGCTTTGTCAGATCATTTCTGTGTATTTTTTGACATGTGTTTTGCTAGCAAACCACCAGCTGAATTTACAATTGTTAGAAGAAGACACATACATGAAAACACAAGTGAACTGTTCATGGGAATGCTAAATTTTGAGAAAACTCCATGCTCTACTGTTGATGAATTGTATAACTCTGTCACCACCAGTGTTCTGACTGTTCTGGACGCCATTGCTCCTGTGACGGTTAAAATAGTTACCAGTAAGAAAAAGGCCCCATGGACTAAGGCAGACTCGGTCAGGGCACAGAAGCAAGAGTGCCGGAGGGCCGAACGGAAGTGGCGAAAGTCCAATTTCCAGGGCGATTATGAAATCTTTAAAGATGAGTTGGGTGAATTTAACCGGGTTCTACGTAGAACAAGAGAAATGTATTTTTCTGACATTATTGGAGGTTGCAGTAACAATTTTCGTGTTATGTTTTCAACAGTTGGTAGATTAACGAACCCCCCTGTAAAGTTGCCCCTAGAATTTTCCTCTAAATCTAGGTGTAATGAGTTCGCACAGTTTTTCGATGACAAAGTACAAGGAATCAAAAACACTATCACCTCCACAGCACGTATAACAATGCAACAGCCAGAGAAGCTTTTTGAGCTAACTCACTTTGCACCTGTGGATACTGAAACTGTCAAAAAGATAATCATGAGTCTGAGCTCCTCCACATGTAGCCTGGATATATTGCCCTCTAAATTTCTGAAGTCCGTCCTGAGCAGTTTGTTACCTTCACTGACACAAATAGTAAACATGTCTCTGTCGTCAGGAACATTTCCTATGGCCCTAAAAACAGCAGTCATAAGACCTCTCCTAAAAAAGAGCAGTCTGGATCCTGCGGGACTTCAAAATTATCGCCCCATATCGAATCTGCCATTCATTGGAAAAATTCTTGAAAAAGTGGCCTCCCAACAACTTACTGAATTTTTAACAATGAATAATTCTTTTGATATGTTCCAGTCTGGGTTTAGACCCCACCACAGCACTGAGACCGCTCTAGTGAAGGTAACAAACGACATTCGACTTCACACTGATGCAGGTAAAGTCACAGTTTTGGTCATGTTAGATCTTAGTGCCGCGTTCGACACTGTCGACCATGAGATCCTCATGCAGAGACTGGAGGACTGGGTTGGTGTCACTGGCACAGCCCTAGACTGGTTTAGGTCTTACCTGGAGGATAGGAAGTACTCTGTGGAGATTGGAGACTGCGTCTCAGATGATGTGGCCCTGACCTGTGGAGTACCACAGGGGTCGATCCTGGGACCTCTCCTATTTAATCTCTACATGCTGCCGTTAGGTCAGTTAATACAAAGAAACAAAGTGTCCTACCACAATTACGCTGACGACACTCAGATCTATGTCTCACTGACTGCAGGAGAACATGGACCACTGGATTTGCTCCTTCACTGTATCCAGACAGATCAGTGACTGGATGCAAAATAATTTCCTCCAGCTAAATGCAGACAAAACCGAAATCATTGTCTTTGGTCCCCAGAAACAAAGAGAGGGCGTCATTTGTCAACTTCAGTCTCTCTCCCTACTTCCTTCAGACAAGGTCAGAAATTTGGGGGTAATACTGGACTCAGACCTAAATTTCAATAGCCACATAAAATCAATAACATCAACAGCTTTTTACCATCTGAAGAACATTGCCAAAGTTAGAAATATAGTGTCCAGGGCAGACTTGGAGATTCTTGTCCATGCATTTGTCTCCAGCAGGCTAGACTACTGCAATGGCCTGCTTACAGGTCTGTCCAAACAGACCTGTAAGCAGCTGCAGTACATCCAAAATGCAGCAGCTAGAGTCCTGACAGGAACCAGGAAGTATGACCATATTAGTCCGGTCCTCAGGTCTCTGCACTGGCTTCCTGTGGCTCAAAGAATAGATTTTAAAACGGCTCTGCTTGTGTACAAGTCTCTCCATGGCCTTGCACCAGAATACATTAGTGACATGTTGGTGTCATATGAACCGGCCCGGACTCTGAGGAGCACAGGGACTGGCCTCCTGCTGGTGCCCAGAGTGAGAACCAAACATGGGGAGGCTGCGTTTCAGATCCATGCAGCTAAGATCTGGAACAATCTCCCTGAAAATGTGAGGGAGGCGTCTACTCTGTCAATGTTCAAATCCAGGTTAAAGACTGTTCTGTTTGCCTGTGCATACAACTGAAGGATTTTATCTCCATTTCTAATGCACTGCTGTCATTTATTTATTTTTTTAAATTTCTTGTGTAATTTTGAAAGTTTTAATGGTTTTATTCTTTTGTGTGATTTTAATGTTTTAATTGTGTTTTAATCTTTTGTGTGATTTTAATGTTTTAATTGTGATTCTGGTGTTTGTTTTATGTGATGATTTGTGATGTGGACTGTGAAGCGCTTTGTGTTGCCCTGTGTATGATAGGCGCTCTACAAATAAACTTTGA